ATGATACTTATTCTTGTGTTATTTTTCTGTGTCAGAGTTAATGGTTTGCTCCCTGTCTAAATAAATAAGCATAATAAAAAAATGGTACCGTAGAGGCTTTCATTAACAGGCAGTATATAGCGTAGGCGGCGCTGGACGCGCAGCACGCCTTCAGCATCACGAGCGGCCACTGTGTGTGAGTGTACTCACGAGCAGGTCCGGCAGGGCGGCGTCGGGCGCGGGCGCCACGTGGTCGCGCGCCATGCGCTGCAGCACGCGCACCAGCGGCAGCAGCAGGCGGTCCACGTAGGCGGCGCTGGACGCGCAGCACGCCTTCAGCATCACGAGCGGCCACTGTGTGTGAGTGTACTCACGAGCAGGTCCGGCAGGGCGGCGTCGGGCGCGGGCGCCACGTGGTCGCGCGCCATGCGCTGCAGCACGCGCACCAGCGGCAGCAGCAGGCGGTCCACGTAGGCGGCGCTGGACGCGCAGCACGCCTTCAGCATCACGAGCGGCCACTGTGTGTGAGTGTACTCACGAGCAGGTCCGGCAGGGCGGCGTCGGGCGCGGGCGCCACGTGGTCGCGCGCCATGCGCTGCAGCACGCGCACCAGCGGCAGCAGCAGGCGGTCCACGTAGGCGGCGCTGGACGCGCAGCACGCCTTCAGCATCACGAGCGGCCACTGTGTGTGAGTGTACTCACGAGCAGGTCCGGCAGGGCGGCGTCGGGCGCGGGCGCCACGTGGTCGCGCGCCATGCGCTGCAGCACGCGCACCAGCGGCAGCAGCAGGCGGTCCACGTAGGCGGCGCTGGACGCGCAGCACGCCTCAGCATCGAGCGGCATCAGGTCCGGCAGGGCGGCGTCGGGCGCGGGCGCCACGTGGTCGCGCGCCATGCGCTGTCCACGTAGGCGGCGCTGGACGCGCAGCACGCCTTCACGAGCAGGTCGCGCGCCATGCGCTGCAGCCGGCAGCACGCGGCAGCAGCAGGCGGTCCACGTAGGCGGCGCTGGACGCGCAGCACGCCTTCAGCGTCGAGCAGGCGCAGGGCGGCGTCGGGCGCGGGCGCCACGTGGTCGCGCGCCATGCGCTGCAGCACGCGCACCAGCGGCGCGCAGGCGGTCCCAGGCGGGCTGGACGCGCAGCACGGCGGTCCACTGTGTGTGGAGTGTACTCACGAGCAGGTCCGGCAGGGCGGCGTCGGGCGCGGGCGCCACGTGGTCGCGCGCCATGCGCTGCAGCACGCGCACCAGCGGCAGCAGCAGGCGTAGGCGGCAGCACGCCTTCAGCATCACGAGCGGCCACTGTGTGTGAGTGTACTCAGGTCCGCAGCGTGGTCGCGCGCCATGCGCTGCAGCACGCGCAGCGGCAGCAGCAGGCGGTCGTAGGCGGCGCTGGACGCGCAGCACGCCTTCAGCATCACGAGCGGCCACTGTGTGTGGTCGCGCGGCGTCGGGCGCGGGCGCCACGTGGTCGCGCGCCATGCGCTGCAGCACGCGCACCAGCGGCAGCAGCAGGCGGTCCACGTAGGCGGCGCTGGACGCGCAGCACGCCTTCAGCATCATGAGCGGCCCGAGCAGCGCCGCGCCGCCTCCGCCCGCGCTCTTCTCGTACGTCGCGAGTCCCTCGAACGCGTACTTGCTCACCGACGCGTACAGCGTCTCCAGCTCCTCGTACTGTCATCGAAACGCAACTAGTTCACAAGACTGATATTGTCGACTCTACCGTTCGAGTGAGAACAACTTTCAAAATATGTATTTAACATATTTCTAAACTTCTAAACTTGACTTAAGAAACTTTCATAAAGTTACGATTTTTTTACTGTACAAGCCGTTCACTAACCTTAGAGGACTGAGCAGCCCCCGTCGGTTCAGTCGGAAATAGAGCGGTGAGCTTGGCCAGTAAGTTATGTGTCAAGCGTACAATCTTGTGGTTTGTGGACGAGACGCAAGCAGCGAGGCCGCGCTGCAGCGGCTTGAGGGCGGCGAGGACTTGCTCGCGCCTCAGCACCGCCAGTAAATAAACCAGCAGTTCTAATGCAGTACACGCATTCGCACATGCCGCCGCGTTTGTGTCCACGGTCGAAAAAAATACCTAAAGAGAAAAAATTAGTTCAAATATCACTTCATACAATAACTATACAATATTCAATTACGAATTAAAACTGATAAATCAATTTCTGAAGTATTATTACATAGGTACAAAGCCGAATGTCAATTCCGATATAAAATGCATGAAACAATCCACGCTTTTTAACGGCTCTAATTTGTAAGGGAAAAAGGTATTCTTTGCAAAATCAATCTTGTCATAGATGATAAATATACACCCTAACCACTATTGTTACACACCACTCATAAGACATACTGTAGAACTAAATATAACTTCTTCGGCTACTATGACAGTTCGGTTATAAAGACTAAATGGAAGGGTTCTGATTAATCAATATAATAATTTTATGTAGTACTATATAATGACTACATAGTGATATAGTGTTAACCCTAATAATATTAAATGGACATTAAATAGGGAATTTAGTAGTCTATTCAACGTCCATATATCAATTACTACTGTACATTGATGTACACATATACAATGGTTACAATTACAAGACTCACTTTGTCCAGCCAAGCAAGTTTGGGCTCACAGTGGTTTGGCCACACGTCGGGCTTCAGTGCTGCTTTCAGCAGCAACACGCAACGTCTTGAGAGCTGCTCGCCGGGAGAACCTCCCGATCCGCTGCCTGCCACGCTGCCTTCATTTACCTAATTCACATAAATTCCCATTTCAATATCTCATTTCTATACATTATATTACTAACTACAGCTCATTTTAAGTTTACTTCCATAAATTTTCTTTAGTAACAAATTCTAAACTATGAACATTAGTACTTTACCAGATGAATGCCAGATAAATTAAAAGCCTTTCTTTAGAATAAGGTTATAAGAATATTTACTTGTGAAATAGAAGACTTTAGTTAAATGTCATTCTCAACTGGGAAATACAATATAAATTACACAATACTAATATAATACACAATGTAAATTAGAAACTTTATGAACAGACTGTATTAACACAAACCTGGCAAGCCAGCCGCAGTAGCAGGTTAACGACGACGTCGACGTGATGCCGTTCCAGTGGCTTGGCGGCATCCGGTTCGAGCCGCGAGGAGGTCGCCTGCGGACTCGCCCACCCAGTGTTCAGCGCCTTTCGCGCTTCGCCAGCACTCAAACTGTCTTCCGATATACGCTTTGTGGAGCCACTTGGGGATGTTGCCACCTGGAAACGAAAATTAGTGCATAAAGAATCATCAAGATGCGGGATGTTATTAAAAATATAGCCATAGGGCTTGCATTTGAAGAACCATTTTTATTACATGATTGGATTGGAGAATTAGAAGAATTTTCGATAATCATCACTATTTAAAAGATATTAGAAAAAAGGGGTATTGGTAAGGGTGTGATCCTGATTATTTTCTCGTCTGCGGTTTAATATCCGAGATTTATTTCCCGTAACTAAAGCAAAAATGAGTTGGTATCAAAACAGCTGAATTAGAATAGACACCAACTGCAGGATTCCCTTTGGATAACCATTGGATAACTCTTTTATTTAATGTAACTATTTTTGTATGGTAACGTACCACGTTGTCATCGTGCGTGTGGTCCCGTATGCGTTGCAGTTCCCACTTGAGCGTGACCTCCGCGAGGTCGACAGCGAGGCGGCGGTGCTCGAGGGATGCCGAGACTGAGAAACCGAGTCGTTGCATCGCTGCCACCATGTGACCCACTAGTGCATGCCGCACCGGGTAGTAAACCTGTATGAAATGAACCACATGACGAGTTTACTAATGTATCTCCATTATACTCTAATAGGTTTTATAATAATGACAAAAAATCAGAGAGTTCTACAGTTACGTCCTAGGTGATTTGATACTATCTACAGTACACAAAATTAAAATTCACGTAGTAAATTTTAACTTCACTGTATATTATTAGTCTATATATGCACTTAAAACTTTGATCTCCAATCAATCAAATATTTAGTTATTTTAATTACAAAATTTAGAAAAAAAATATTATAACATAGTAATTATAAATGAAAAATACATTCATCAGTAAACACTCTTATGAAAAAATATTTTATTCAATCAATTATACTATGAGTGAATATATTATTCTCCACTCTCCTCCTCTGCTAGACCTACTTGGTATTTCATAAATAATGTACACTACCTTGAACATTCCTTTAACAAAGCCATATAGGTACCTTATAATGTCTGACGACAAGTTGAAGTATATGGAACAGTTGTTGCACCGAATGACCATCCTCAACGATGATCTTCTTAGTCCAGTGCGTGAGCATGGTGTTCCCGTCCTCCATACGCTGCGGCATCGCTGGTGTTAGAATCTCCAGCGCCTGCCGCACCACTAGCCTTGCCTCCACCGCGTGCGCTTTCAGCAAGCTGTGGAATACTGCAACCCAGCAAATGTTGAATTTAAATTGACATTTAACACCACAACAACCCATTAAGATTGTGGAGTAAGGGGGGTTATTAGTATTAGAGACTAATGTCCCTATAGCTAGCATTTTACCTTGTCAAGTCATACTGTCCCACCTGGAAACTATCGTGGTAACATGATTTTAATTTCATAATCAACTTTCGCTAGTATGTATATTACTTAGACAGAATTATACTAAGATACTATAAAATGCAATAAATTATTCAAAGTTTTGTACGACATTTGTAATTAATTATTAATATTTAAACAGAACAATAACAAACCTTGAAGAACGATACGCTTGTGTATAGCAAATTTAGCTATGATGTGACTCAGCAATAAGTGACCGTGATACCTGTAAACGAAAAAAAAAACATACAATACAAGTACACTTTATCAACTCAATTATTTAGGGCAAAGTGGATCAACTATATTGTATGAACTACAGTGGATTAACTATGTTGCAATACAATATTTTCATTCCATTAACAGAATGCGCTTTCATTAAAGCAGTATATATTTTTTTATAATTTATTTCAATTATTTTATTTACAAACAAGAGTTCATATTGTATTAAACAAACGATTTTACTCCTGTGCCAGTAACTATGTTTTTAGTATGTGACCGTATTATGTGTCCTCAAAACTAGCAGAGGTAAAATCTATTTATTTCATAAAATACACAACAATTTATATATTTTGTCTCACCTGGTAGCAGGATCAACGTAATTCTTCCCGAGCAAACAGGGCCAGGCGAAAGTCATTAACCGGCGGAGTTTGTTCCCTTGTTTCTTATTGTTCGCATCGTGAATGTGAGCGGACGCTTGCTCCAACAACAGACATGCAAACTGCAGTAGCGATATGCGTACAGCGTCCGAACAAGCGAATGGATTCTCTGGATCAATTACCTGTACAAATACAACAAAAGATGTAATATAATAATAGAATGTATGTGATTACATTTATATTATTATTATATAGTAATGCCTTAATCTTGTGGTTTATTTATCTGATAAATCAACATTATGTCAAGTCCTACAGATCATAATAGGACCAAACAATAGGTAGCCTGCTCAATGCTATTGATTGGAAAAGAATCATGATAGATCATTCAGAATTAGCAAAATAGCGTGTAACATATAATATTTAAATATTAATATACCATTACTTTTTAAATGTGTAGCTTACACATTTAAAAAGTTAATTTCAATAATCATTAGGAATTATATATATTATTTCTAATATTCAATTTATGAATACGAAAATATTGGACTTTGTTTCAAAATAGATATCACGCTAAATATATACTAAATCTGTAACACTTACATTATTGATGAATACCGAGACAACATTGTCTGGGTTATCTTGATAAGGTGCCGGTGGTCCGCCTACTATCTTCTGACCTTTCTCGAAGCTGACCGCAAAGCACGGTATCAAGATCATTTGTAATACTTTAGCCTTCAGATCCTGCGACATGATATCACTGGAAAAATGCTCCACGAAGCGCAAGAACGCAGACCGTTTCCATTCCACAGTATAGTTCTGAGCTACTGTGTTCTCGAGGAAATCACGAAGAAACTAAAATAAAATAATTTCTTATACTTCCAGTCCTACATATGCACTCTAACATTATAAATGCGGAAGTGTGTCTGTATGTCTGGCAGTTGACTTTTCATAACTAAACAGCAGAATGAAAGTTATAGAAAGTTTTAAAGAAGGTAGACTGTATCATTGTAACGGATGTAGGTTATGTTTTATTCAAAATAGAAAACAGATGAAATTCGAAGAAAACGTAGTGCAGTGAAAGATCATATTTTAGATTACTACATAGGTAAACCCAATTCACGCGGACATCGCAGCGGTTTATATGTAGTATTATACATGACAAATTGTAAAAGTAATTTATGTTTTTAGGTTTAAAATATAGTGGATTAAAAATTTAAACATTTTGGAACCCCTCAATAATAGGTAATTAACATTGTTTACTTGGAAGTCTGGTATAAACCGGTCACACAAAGCTCGCAGCAACTGGAACAACAGATCTATATTCGATGTATGATGGCAGAAATAATGTAACAATATTTTCACGATTAGTTTGGGCTCCTTCCAATGAGTGCAATCCACATTCTCCACCTTCTTATGAATATCCTAAAACAATAACATAAAATATTAATATCAGATGTTCACTTTGTTTAACAGAAGGAAAACATTTTATCTAACATCATATCGATATGTATTTTCGAATTAAGATGAACTGACAAGAAAATTATCTTTTCTCAAACAAAAAATCTTTAAATTGTATTTAACTATGTTATGACAACAATTTTTACCATTCTTAATCTTTTTATGACTGTAGTATGAAAGTAAACTACTAATTACTCTAAAGTATACTTACATGATACTGATCACTGCACCAAATACGTTTCAATAGCTCAATTAAATCATGTTGTGTCGCGAGCCACTGGTTGTCAAACTTGATCAAGAGCGATATAACGCGAATGGCTTGGAACTGCATCTCTGCCTTATCTGCGAGGGGCAGACTGGCGACCGCGCCGACACTGTTGGCTGCAAGTAGCTGCATGAGGCGGGGTTTCTTGGACGTCTGCAATGCCTCCCTGTATGCGGAACCGGCATCTGGATGCTTCACGAGGAACACGAGGAATCTACTCCATTGTTGGTCTTTTATGTTGTTATCGCTCAGGACCAGGTCCAGAGTTTCTTTAGGATATCTGCGAACATTTTAAATATTTAGAACATAAAAAAGAAAAGCATAGCAAATAGATTTATTCAGAAATGTTTTTAAATCGTCGTATAGTAACTAGTAAGTATATTACTGCGAATTATCTCGGCTGATCTCTGTACCAAAGTGTTAATATTACTCACACCAACAAATAACCAAAACGTAGTGACATAAAAACTAGTCAGATCTTAATTTTTCTTGGGCATCTCTCATACATGACATCTAATATATAGCAGTGGGTCAGGTGAGTTAACTATACAAACTTATTGAGTAATAAATAATAATAATATAATAAGTAAGTACGTAATAAGTAGGTACGTGGGTGACGCACCCGCCTCACTCCGACTAAACAAGTTTGTTGACCGAATGTAGGTTGTTTAGCTTATGGTAGCATTGTAAATAATTACATTCATACCTGAGTAGAAACTTAACAAGGGGTTCCCTGAACGGTGAGCCCGCTTCTATCATGAGAGCCTTCTCAGTGTGGAATATGAGGCGACAGAGCACGTCTATGAATCGCGGTGAAGCGGCAGGAATTTGGTGGAATATTCCTATTAAAATTATTATCTTTTGCTCATTCTCCATGTTCTTAGATACACTCTGAAGGAAATTGCCTCCTGAAAATACGTAATTGAAAAAAAAATGAATATATCATAATTTAAACGTTGAATGGGTAAACATCAATTAATATTATATCTCTTATGTTTTTACCAATTAATCTTTTTATCTTAATAACCTTAGAAACTAATTTTACCAACCTCTATCAGTTTGAATTGAATAGTCTAACAATTTTCTGAGAAGCTGCAGCAACTGTTCACATAATTTCTCACTGAACGTTGACGGAAACAGCTGAGTTAAATACGAGAGTCTCTTGGCGCCGTTTACACTGAGGTTTCGGTGATCGCCGAGCGTTAGTAATAAAGGTCTCATAACAGGATGGACCATTTCCATATCTATTTGGAAGCCAGATAAAAATTTTTGCATGCATTCAAATCCAACCTGGGGAAAGAAAATTATAAACGCATATATTGTATTTGAAACTTTAAAAATTACAGAGGTGTATAGATGGTACTATCGTATCTATAAACTGGCGTCAGCTGACTGTCTACAAATTGTATAACCTAAACATACGTCTAAATTCATATCCAATATTTTTTTAAATTAAAGTGTATAGTCTAATTAAACATTTTTGTTGCTTGATAATAGAAGCATTATCAAGATATAATTTTTTTTACATATACAAAATTTTAAATTGCTCAATCATAAATTGCAAATTATTCTACAAGTAGTGTCATAAGTTTCGAAAGCTGCATTTACCTGTTGTAATTCTTGATCATTTTTCTCTAATGATTTATATAATACTTGGAATATTTTCTCCCTACAATGCTTGTCTTGTATGTAATGGCAGGCCGCTAGTGCCTTCAACGCGGACGCACGAAGTGGCACCAAGTTGACACCTTTATAGCACGGCAACTTTCCTAACATCGTATCCTCTGCCTCGCATAGTGATAACAACTCGCGAAAGAAGATTTTATGCTCGTTTATATTTAAATCTGTAATAAAACATTTACAAATTTGACATTATTAACACTGAAAAGTGTTGTGAATTCCTTTTATACTTTTTTTATCAAAGGTAGTGTTTTTTTTCAAATGATAATTTAATCAACTTGAATATTAGAGCTTCTAAATCACAACAATTAGTCAAAGTCAGCTAGTAAATAATATACAACGTTTAATAAATAGTAACAACGAAATTACCAATAGTAAAAAGCCTTGGTTTCAGTGTAGTACAGAAAGTGGTCCCATCCATTAATCCCATTTGAGCATTAGCGGGCTGATGTCGTAGTAAGTGTTTTTTCGGTGGTATTATATCAGCTAATACCTCCCTATGAGGGTCCATTACTTCTGTTACAGTTTTATTTTGCAATTCCGCTATTAGTTCCAGCGATTTCATTGCCTAAAAAGAAACCATTCACATTAACATAAATTTAGACTAGATGACACTATTTAAAAATATATATAAAAATACATACCTGTTGTCGGACAAGTAAGTGAGGGCTAGTCACTTGAAGTACAAGTTCTTGAAGAACGTCGTGCAGTGCTCGAGCTTTAGCTGCGGCTATTTCTCCCTCAGGCTCCACACCCTGATTACCAGGGCCCAACACACACACGCGTACTAGACGCTCCAAATTAACTATAGCCATATCTATTGCTCCAGAAGAAACTTCGCCTGTCAAGTCCATCATCACAAATAGTACTGCTTTCAAAAAGGTAAACACATGTTTGTATACCCACTCGGGCGCCATCTTTTCAAACATAAACTTGACAGTGATACAGCCGCCAAGTTTGGCATACCATGCTCGCTCGTAGCACAACGACGACATTCGTTCAGCTAGATATTCCATTAGTGGCAAGCGACACGCCCTTTCCTTACTCCCAAGCACCGTAGCTGCTGTTTCAATCATTAAAACTAGCGCCAAGTGGCCTGGCTTACATAATTCCTTCTCTTCATGTCCCATAACGACAGCAATGGCATCGACGAGAACTAATGCATCGAGACCCTCTCTGGGGCCGGCAGTACCGGCAAACGGCCCAGCCTCTTGTGCAATAGCCACCATCGTGTAATGTCTTACTAACGAGATCATAGTGGGAAGCACATCGTTGCGCAGATCCTTGATGGCGGCCGCCACGAACATACCGGTCAATGCTGTTCGATGTGTATTTCTCACAATCAAATTGGTACATTTATAGTATGGTGTACCATTCTGAGACTGGATCTTACCGTCGACAAAACTTGGGTGGTTGAATAACTTTTGTAGAGTTTGTTTGTCATCATCTAAATTGAGCGACGCACATAGGTAGCACCTCAGCACTTCCCAACACTGTCGCCGGTAGAACGGATCCGTCGTGCTAGACTTTAACGCTGCAAAAGCTGTATCTATTACTTTATCCACTTCAAAATCTATGGGTTTCGATTGGTCTAAGAAGTAAGCTTGTATAGCTGGTGGAGCAGCATCTGTCTCGCGGTACTCCAACCTTTGTGGTTCTATCATCATTTTACGATTACCACCCCCAAATTTCCCAAGAACTCTGAATGCTATCCTCGCAACTTCGTTATTTTGTAAAGTTCTCCAAAGAGCTTGCATGAGATCGGCCCTAACCGGCTGAATATGTTCGTACAAAAAATCCGGTTGCAAGTTATCCACGCAAAGTTCTAGAGTACGCAAACCTTGAGATATTAATGTGTGGGAGCCATTCAGTGCGGACACTAACGGATCCATTAGCATAGGTAAGTAAGGCAACAGACTGCTCAGCCTAACAGGTACGGTCAAGCATAATTCCACGAATAAATCCTTCATGTGTTGCTTATGAAGTCCACTTTGGAGGCGATTCAAACCTTCCAATAGGTTGGGCAATAACGGCAAGAACTCTTGGTACAGTAAGTCGTGACTACCGCCGCCTATTGACCGGAACAGGGCACGCAAAAGAAGAAAGTAATTGTATGGTTCTTTAGCCGTCATGGCATAGTCCATGGCTTTGTTAACGATACTGTGGAGATGCGGTCGTAACATCTGCTCATTCTCATTGGGGAACAAACTAACCGAGCCAAACACTAGTTTGAATAGTCGCAAATATAAATTCGAGCGTTCTACATTAGTTCCCATCTCTTCCATTCGCTTTAGAAGATATTCGACAAGTACTGTGGCAAATATCGGTGATGTCGTTGGATTTGATAAAAATGTGTTAGCTATTATTTGTAAAGTCATATTTTTGTTTATTCTTTCTACCATATGAGATATGGTGGCTGTGAATATTTCTTGAAAGGTCTGCGAGTTCATCATGGAAAACTAAAAAAAAACATTATCATATTGAAAACCAGTAGAAATATATCACACAAGTAAAGTATAATAAATTTAAAAAGAAAACAAACTTATTTCGATAAAAATATAAACTATTCGATCAATCGTATCCCAAATATAACTTCGGACTCGGCATAACCCATTCCGCGGGAAGAGTAGGGGCGCTGTAGATGAAAAGTGTACTGACCACGCCGCTGAAGTGTTCGAGAACCTCCTTCTCCTCCTTGGAGCGCACGTGGGGCTGCGCGGGCGGGTGCGCGGGCTGCGCGGGGCGCGGCGCCGCCAGCGTGTAGATGTCGAGCGACTGCAGCCCCCACCGCACCAGCCGGATGAACACCAGCGTCTCGCGCGCGTCGAACTGCTTCGCGGACGGCGCGGGGGCCGTCGCCGCCGCCGCCGCCGCCGCACCCGCCGCACCCGCGCCTTCCGTGCTCGTCGTCTGTTTACGTATCGATCGATATTTTGAGAGGCTGATTGCGGAAAATGGTATCCAACTTACATTTACGACATATCGATGAGGTGGAAGAGATTCGTCATAAACTGTTTACCCTATCACTAGCAATGTATGGTACATTGCTAGCGATGGGGTCGGTTTGATCTCCACGCAGTTCTGCTTGGAAACCATCGTGAGAAATTTCTGATAAATATGTCATTGTGGGCTAACTGACCTGACCTCATATTCATCTTATCATCCTCCACTAATGTCTCGCCTGCGTAAACCGTTAAGCGCAGGAGGGTGCACCATTTCATTATTATCCACAAAAAAAACCATCGATGTGGGGGAGGAAGTTGTTAGTAATGAGGATAGTTGACCGTCTTGCTAGTAATGGTCAACACTAGGCTTCCGAACTACTCGTATATACAAATTCTATTAATTGCCTGATAATGTATTTGTAGTGATTGAATCATTAACTGTAAGTTAAGTAAATAAACTAAATAATTAATATTAATTATGTCAAGTACTTACCTTACAAGAAGCACACCCCCACGTGATGGTTTTGACGCCACACACTAAAGTTTTCACAAGAGTTCTATAATCGCCGACATTGAGGTTGCTCATTTGAGAGGTCGGAAAGCCAATTTTAGATTTCTCTTCTGGTTTCGATAAACTGTCGAGGAAGTCCGCTGTCGGCTTCTCATCTTCCACTTTTATCTCTACAGCTGGAGTACTCGGTGCAGGCGTGGTGGGTGTGCTTGGTGTAGCGCCATTAGCACCATTGGCACTCGGCGTCGTTTGCTTACTACTAATGAAAATTAAATATTTATCAAATTAATAATATACATATAACTAGCTGACCCAGCAAACGTCCTTTTGTCATATAAATTTAATTACTAATAACACTATTAAAAAATAGGGGTTGGTGGTAGAAGGATGAAAATTTAGAGTTGTATGTATTTTTTAATGCAACATTAAAAAAATGTGTCCAAAAATAAGTAAATTTTAGGGGTGGCCTTAGGGGTATGAAAAATAACTAGTAGCCGATTCTCAGACCATCTGAATACATATGTATATAAATATCATTCCATACAAATCGGTTAAGCCGTTTAAGAAGAATATGGTAACTAACATTGTTACACAGGAATTTTATATGTAAGATAAAATTGTAATGAATTGACTTCTATACATATTTATATAAATTGTAATGGTTGTTTTTTATATTAGTCTTAGATTTATATATATGTATATGTGGCTTAGATATATATATAGGGGCAAAGTGTTTATCAAAAATTTATAGCTACTATTATTAAAATATACAGTGAAATAATAAATTACCACTTAGCCATGAGTGCAGGCAGCTGTAGCTTGGATATGGTCTTGAACTTCAGTACGAAGACCTCGAGGATGCGCATGAGTAGCTGGCGGCCCTGGGGCTGCGCGCCCGCCGCGCCCTCGCTCTCCGACCGCTGGCGAATACAGTCCACCAAGTTGAGCAACAACTTGCACGACATCGTTTGAATACTAGAAAAGGACATAGCACAATCAAAACCAATTATTCAAAGACATTTCTCACATAAGACGTTATTTTTTTATATCTGTACGTTGCATTATCAATCTAAATTACAAACTTGATTTCATACCTTGTAGGAAGAGATTCGTCATGCACATTCTTTGAAAAAAGATGAGCTGCTATAGCTAGATCCGACAGTGGCAGGTGCTGACGTACGTGGTGCACAAGGTCAGCCAATGTGGAGTAAGCAAGTGGCCTCAGTGACTCATGTACAGTCCATCCACCACCTAATAGAACATCCTCATCGAAAAGACGTTCCATGTATGGCACAAATTCTGGAAATAGCAGATAATATAAATAAAATATTAAATAAGCCCACTAAGGTATAATAATTGTATATTCCAGATGGAGTAGTAATGTGTTGACAAATGTGGTACTTGACAATTTTTTTTAATAATCAGCACTCACTGTCTGATTATAGACATCACTCCTATGTTTCATCTGGTCACCCCCTATAATATCAGTGATTGTTACTTGCAGGGGTCAAACCTCTCCATACAAGTGCTAATTAGAAAATACTCTACAATATCTAATTAAACTTGATGAAAGTTTGTCCATAGAATAAGGCAACTAAAATCAAAATATAACTAGTGTGAGTTCAGATTTTCTTTAAACAAGTTTTTTTTAAATTACATGTTACTATATTATAAAAAAGTTACTACTTTAACTCATTACTCATTTCAGTGATGGGAAACGCAAGATCTCTGAATAGAGAGAGAAGTAATACTGAATAATAACTACACTGTAATTTGATTGCCTGGACTTCTTAATATAGCATAAATATAGTTATTGCTGTACCTAGAATTAATGTTAGGCACTAAGCTATAAACAACACACAGGAGATAAATGAGTTATAAAGTAAATATGTTATACTAACTGGTACGTAGATCAGTTGCGAGAATATGTCGAGTAGCAATCACCAACTCCTTTCGAAGATGTGCCACTTCTGGGGGACACAGTGTCAACAAGCCAATAATGCCTTTCACCATTAAATTGGCATGATTAGCAATAGTATCTTGATATATGCGGATGATATAGGCCAGAAATGCTAAAGTTTTTATTTGTGCACCCATAAAATCAACAAACACTTCCTTATTAAACGATGCAGACTGCCTGAAATGTTTCGAATTTTTAACACATTATTACATACATACATAGATGTACATGTTGTTAGTAATACTGCATTGATCTTTATGCTAGACTTACATACTTAATAGATTTACCAGTCTAACTATGAGCTAAACCTTAGCAAAGAGTTTCTTAAGTAATAACTATAAACCATAGATATAATCCCTAGCTACTATTATAAAAAAATATTATTTTTTGCATTTAACAAGCTGAAATAACACCTGATGGCAAACATGGTAATATTTATGAACATCACCAAGGGTCACATCAGCATGTGGCGTACAGGGCGCACCCCTTGTGTTGCCTACGATGGTATGTCTCCATCTCCATGCCCCATAATTTTACTGCCATATGTCATTCTCCAAATGATATGTAGCTTACAAAGTGTGGTGCTTCACAATTAAAATAGGAGGCAGAAGTATCAATGCAGATAACTTTGTACATCTGATAGAAATTGCACAAAGGGGTGTCCCTATAACTAATTTATTCCAAATAAAAGATTACCTGTGTGTTGCAGCAGGTTGCAGTGTTATGGTTTCCATAATAAGAGGTATGAAGTTGCTCACTTCCTGGTGGACATTTTGCTTGTACAGTTGATACATGAGAACTACTATAATCGGCAGCTCCTGTATTACTTTTAATGATAACACTGACCGGGGTATTAGGTTATACTGTACAACAAAATAAATAGTAAACATCAAGATAAAATAAAACATATAAAAAATAATATACATACATGTATCTTATTCTATACATAACAAATCAAAAGAAATATTACAGTAAGTCTACTGTAACATTTCTTGATATATATCAACATGTTTCCTGAAAAATATGTTACAGTATGAAAAACAAATTTACATAATTCTTAATACTCACGGTCACAACACTTCCATCAAGTAATTTTTTCTCAGTATGTATTGGGGTTGTGGTATATGTTTCCTGTAAAAGCTGATCAATATTGACCTCAGATAAATCCTTTACTCGTATTGTAGGTTTTGGTTCAAATATTTTTGGCAAATGATTTGGCAAATCTGAGTATATACCTTTCACCCATTGTAGGAATTTATGTATCTAAAATAAGGCAAACAATAAAATGTATGAATTATTTTTAAGTTAGTACTACAACAATTATAATTGTACTAGCAACATCAATAGGTGCTTGTTGTCAATGAAAATAATAAAATCAAAAACCAAATATTTTGAATATTATTAAAACAAAATTACTTAATAATACATGTAGTAAAATGAAATATAATAAAATAACACTAACATCCACATCTGTGCTGTATGGTGGTCTATACTGTTTGTGCAACTCCATAAATATCTTCAAACACACTAATACATTTTCCTCATTCTCAATTTCCATTAATTTTAACATGAGTATTAAAATACTCTTAACATATGGCTTCAGAGTTTCACTGATAGGTAAACGGTGTATCATTTCCAGTATCAGTTTTCTCACTTGCTGTATGTTATACTCGGCTATAAAGTGTGGCTCTCCATCTTGCAGTATCTTCAAGAATATCTTCAAAGAATGGTCCAGGAACTGAGGATACTGAGGTGAACTTAATATTACCTAAAATATGAGGTGAACTTAATATTACTATTCATCATATTACTACATGATCTTTGAAAAACTGGACAATGAAAAAGTATATTTGTATGTGAATATAGAATATTTTCTAATAAAAATACTGTAGATATATATTTAAATAGGCTCGCTTATAACATTCATGTAAGGATGTTAAATAGGAAAAGAAAATTAAAGTATATCTTTTACTATTCTTACAATTATTTCCATTTCAAAAACATGGAAGTAAAACAAAGAAACTTCGTTTTTGTAAATTTCCTATAATATGAGAATAAAGGTTATTTTTAATTTGATCAATAAATTAAATTAATAGCAATTTATGAGTAAATTTTAAATTTAATAACATTTTGTTAGTGGGTAGTATCACTAATTTATTATATTTTCTTTCAGGTTTTTTAGAAATACTAACAACACATAACATAACTAGCATCAATTTGAATCAAAATACTGATAAAAAGTATGTATTTTCTTTAACTTAATTTATACATTTTGTCAGAAACATTAAAACAGATTTTACAATTAAGAAAAAATATCCAATTTTTCTTTTCCTTTTAAATTAACTGAATTAATATTATTTATTTTATTAAAATTAAAACCTCAAAGTTTTCGCTGAGCTCCTGGGCCGCTTTGAGCTTAATTTCATCCTTGGCACCGGGATCGGCTAGCATGGTTACATAGCTGCGGTACGTATTCATTTGTGTATGAGGGTCTCCAGGACCCCCAGACGACATAGAAGTCATCATGTTGTGATTAGTCAACTATGAGTTGAAATACTCATTTTGAAATAATAAAAAAATGTTCAAAATATTAATACAAACAGTACTGTAAACTGTAACACAAGTTTTTCATATTTTACTTTAGCGTGTAATAAAGTATCAAAGTCAAACATATGCTTTTCTTTTTTGCATTTATAAAAGAAAATATAGAGAATTTGTAATTAATAATAAATCATTAATATAGATTTCAAGTATATTTTAGAACTGTAATAATGGATGGTGTTATGTTCGCAGAGTAAAGTCAAAACCACAAGTCCACAACACAATTACTAAAATTACTCTGTGAATTTTTTTTACTGACATTTGTCTTGACAGTGTCGTTCAATACAGTCAATTCTTTGTTCTTGATTCAATATTACTAGCAACACTGGTATCACCAGAGAAACTTAAAAAAAAACTCTATTGTTTATTCTCTGTCATCGGCATCGATGGATGCTTTTACGCTTTACATGTTATTTTTGTAAGATAAAATGGGTTGAAACAGAAATGAAAACAACACATTGGTCGTGAAAAAGTGAATATCAATTACGCGACGACGTCTTAAAATGTGATCATGGCTCAGTTTACAACATTATTCATAACACTGTGGCTTCGAAGCACGATTGTATATGGATACGAGTTTGTATCACAGTATCCTAACAGCCAACAGAACGAATCTTATTATTTTTATCATCTTGCTGTTGACAAAATTAGTGGTCAAGTGTATGCCGGTTCTCTAAACTGGCTTCATCAATTAACATCAGATCTAAAACCTATTCATGTAATTCCGACTGGACCCAAACTAGACAACCCTATGTGTCATGCTAGCGGGTGTTCTTCACCAGAAATCAGAACAACACACACTGACAATGTGAATAAAATATTAGTGATCGACCAAGAATCGAGAATAGTGTTAACCTGTGGTTCCGTCGCGCAAGGATCCTGTTTCAAATACAAGTTGGGCGATTTATCAGCGGAACCGGAGTTCATTGCCATTGGCGTTGCAGCAAACGACGCTGATGCCTCTACATACGCCTTCATCGGTCCTGAAAGGTACAACTCTTGGGACCGTTCCAATGTTCTATATGTGGGTACAACATTCACAAACAATGGAGAATATAGACATGATGTACCAGCAATAGCAAGTCGTGATCTTATGTCCCTTGAATTGGCTCAGTTCACATTCTCCAAGCAAAGTTTGATACAAATAGATGTTAAGTATAGGGATAACTTTTTAGTGCAGTATGTGTATGGATTTAATGCCAGTGACTATGCTTACTTTTTAATAATTCAGAAACATTCCCATCTTGCTGGTAATGAAGAATTGGGATATGTCACTCGCTTAGCCCGAACTTGTGTAAACGATGATAACTACAACAGTTATACTGAAGTAACATTGGAGTGCCATGTACGTGAAGAAACTGTTAATGGTAAGATTGAAGTAGTCAATTATAATTTAGTACAAGATGCTAAGATTGCTAAAGCTGGTGCAAACTTAGCTACTCAACTTGGCATTGATATAGGAGATTCAATACTTATTGCTTCGTTCAGCCCTTCAAAAGGTATAACTAATGATCCAATGTCAAAGTCAGCTATATGTGTGTTTTCATTACTAGAAATAGAAATGAAGTTTAATGAAAATGTGCACATGTGTTTCAATGGCAGTACTAAAGCACGTAATATGGGGTATATATCGGGTATGATTTCTGATGGTAAATGTCCCAGTGTGGGCTCTACAGGTAATATACTTAACTTTTGTGAAGTAGGTCTCAAAATTAGTGGACTTTATCCAATAAAAACAATGTCTGTAATTAATTGGAATGATACTTTAGTAACATCAATAACTTTGTCTGTGACTGGTATTCACACGGTAGCTTTCTTAGGCAGCAATGATGGTATGTTGAAGAAAGTTTTGATTGATGCTGATAAAGCTTTGGAATATTATTCTGAAGAACTTCTTCCTGGTCAAAGAATCCTGCCAGATACCACATTATCTCCTTATAGAAAATCATTATATGTATTAGCAAGGAATTCCATAGTGCAAATTCCTACTGAGAGATGTGTGGAACATGGAAATTGTTCTTCTTGCTTAGAGTCCAATGATCCTCACTGTGGCTGGTGTTCTTTAGAAAAACGTTGTACAGTTCAAAGTATGTGTCAAAAAGGTACCCAAAGTGCACCCAGGTGGTTATCTCAGTATACTGGACAACAATGTATTGACTTTGAACAAATTTTACCTGATAGAATATCAATGAATGAAATTACTACTGTGCAGCTCATAATTAGAACTTTACCAGAGCTACCTTTTGGTGCAAAGTATAAATGTGTTTTTGGGAATGCAACTCCTATAGATGCAGCAGTAACTTCAAGTGGGTTAGCATGTCCCACACCAGATATAAAACATAGGCCTAAGATTTTACAAAACCAAGACCATGTTTATGTACCACTCTCTGTACATTCATCTGAAACTAATAAAGACTTTGTATCTAGGAATTTTGCTTTCTATGATTGTTCTAAGCATACTACTTGTCATTCATGTATAATGAGTGAATGGGCATGTAATTGGTGTATCTATGATAATAGGTGCACACATGATACCTCTGTGTGTCAGCGAACCACCATTAGTGGAGAAAATAACCCAACAAAATTACTTAATCATGGTATTGGACATTGTCCTAGGATAAGACAATATAAGAAACCAATTTTACTGCCTAATAATGTTCCTAAGGAGTTGGAACTGGAAGTTGAAAATTTACCTCACTTACAACCTGGTCACACAGGATTTCAATGTATTGTGAGTATTGAATTAGCTAATATGATATTACCTGCTAGAGTAGAATCAAATCACTACATTGTATGTGATAAAACAACTTACTCTTATGAAGAAGATGTTGGAGAATACAATGTTAGTGTCAAGGTTGTTTGGAATCACAAACACTACATAGATACAATTACCATAACATTATATAAATGTGAAATACTTGGTTCACACAGAGAACATGCTGATTGCTCACTATGTATAACTCGTAATTCTATTTACCAATGTACCTGGTGTGGAAATTCTTGTTCATACACAGAATCTTGTCTTGAAAATCCTGTAACGGAGTGTCCCAAACCTAGAATAGATATGATTAAACCATTAAGTGGGCCTATAGAAGGAGGAACAATAGTCACTATTGAAGGTAGTAACCTTGGATTAAGAGTAGAAGAGGTAACTGGAAAAGTGCGCATAGGAGATGCATTGTGTGAAATAGTTGACTTTGAAGTATCTGTTAGCATTACTTGCCGTACTGGACCCTCTAATGAATCCACCATTGTTCCCGTTATTGTAGAGAATGATGCTGGCTACACAGAATCATCTGTTTTATTTAGTTACAAAAATATTAAATTACAAGGCATTTACCCAGCTCTTGGTCCTTTGTCTGGGGGTACACAATTAGGAATAGGAGGACAACATTTAAATATTGGTTCTGCTGTTTCGGCCTATTTAGATGAATTACCATGTGCTGTAAATAAAACACAAACATCAAACAATAGATTAATTTGCATTACACCTAAAGCACATACACCACGCATGATTCGCACACTAACGGTGGTAATTGATAATGCTAATCGAACATTATATGGTGACTTATTCAATTATACAGCAGATCCAACAATAATGGAAATAAAACCATTAAAGAGTTTTGTATCTGGGGGTAGAATGATAACTGTACATGGGACAAATCTACATACCATACAAAAGCCACTTATGAAATTATATTATGCTAATGAGCTTCTACCTGTAAATTATACAGCATGTTCTGTACTAAATTCAAATCAAATGGAATGTCCTAGTCCAGCAATAAATCAGAAATACCAAGAAATCTTGCAAGCAACAAAATCACAAACTAGTACACCTCAGATAGCAATGAAAGTTGGTTTTCTCATGGATGATGTTGAAAGCATGCATGATTTGGAAAAGTATTTCAATCCACCAAGGACACACATGTTATTTGTGGAGGATCCGCATGTTTATCATTTTGCTAATAGAATAAAATCGTACAAGGGGGATCCTCTAGTAATAGAAGGTGAAAATCTCATCAGAGCTAGTGATGAAACAGATGTAGTTGTAACAATTGGTACTCAACATTGTAATGTTACTAGTCTGACTATGCAACAATTGCTTTGTACACCTCCTGAAATACAGCCTTCCAATACGGATGAAAATGGTGTCCAGATTTTAGATATTAGTTTACCATTAGTTGTAGTGAAAATAGGAAAAAACTTAAGATTTCCAATTGGATATCTGCATTATGAACTATTAAGGAATTATAATTTTCCACCAGAAGCAATAGCGGGAATCGCAGCTGGTACTTTCTTTTTAGTTCTCATTTTCATGATTGTTTTAGTTATGTACAGACGTAGAAGTACGAAAGCGGAACGAGAGTACAGAAGGATACAAATACAAATGGACACCCTAGAAAGCAATGTTAGGCTGGAATGTAAACTAGCATTTGCAGAATTGCAAACTGATATGTCTGATTTGGCAGCTGATTTGGAACATTCAGGAATACCAACATTAGATCATGTAAATTATGTGATGAAAGTTTTTTTCCCAGGTGTATCAGATCATCCAATATTGAATGTTCAACATCAATTTATTAATGCACCCAGGACTAATTACGATGCAGCTATGCTTCAATTTGAACAACTATTAAATAATAAATGTTTTCTTCTGTCATTTATAGATACATTAGAAGCTCAAAAATCCTTCAATATCAGGGATAAAGTGAATGTAGCTTCGTTACTAATGGTTATATTAATGGGCAAAATGGAATATGCCACTGATATATTGAAGTCTCTTCTTCTGCGTCTTATAGACAAATCAATTTGTAATAAACACCCTCAGTTGATGTTAAGAAGAACAGAAAGTGTAGTTGAAAAAATGTTAACAAACTGGATGGCATTGTGCATGTATTACTATCTTAAAGATTATGCTGGTTCCTCACTATTCTTGTTGTTTAAGGCAATCAAACATCAAATAGAAAAGGGTGTCGTAGATGCTATTACACATGAAGCGCGTTACTCTTTATCGGAAGAAAAGCTATTAAAAGAGCAGATTGATTATCAAATTGTTACATTGCATATAGTTCAAGACGACTTTGATGATAAAATTCAATGTAAAGTTTTAGATTGCGATAGTATATCACAAGTAAAGGCCAAAATTTTAGATGCTCTTTTTAAAAATACTCCATTTTCAATGCGACCTTCCGTCCACGAAGTAGATCTAGAGTGGCGGCATGGTAGAGGTGGCCACGTGACTTTACAAGATGAAGACCTCACAACTAAAACTGTTAATGGTTGGAGGAAACTAAATACGTTAGCACATTACGGTGTTAAGGAATCCGCTGTAATGTCACTAATTTCACGTCAAAACGACAGTTTCAATACACCATACAAAATACCTTGCAAAAATTGTACAGGAATCTATTGTTCAAATTCTCATATAAGAGTATACAACAGTGATATTACTGATCAAAATGTACATTTCTATCATTTGGTCAAACCGATTGAGTATCAGCACATTGTAAACAAATCTTCAGAACACAGTCACAAAGCAATTCCCGAAATATTTCTCACGAGACTTCTCTCCACCAAGGGTACAGTGCACAAATTTGTGGATGATTTTTTTAGCACAATACTCACTGTGAATGAAGTTCTTCCACCTGCAGTCAAGTGGCTATTTGATCTCTTTGATGATGCTGCAAGAGCTCACGGCATTATTAATCCCGAGGTAGTACATGCGTGGAAATCAAATAGTTTACCTTTAAGGTTTTGGGTAAATTTGATAAAAAATCCTGACTTTATATTTGATATTAATAAAACGGCTACTGTGGACTCTTCGCTATCAGTAATCGCACAAACATTTATGGATGCCTGTTCATTAACAGAACATAGACTTTGTAAAGATTCTCCATCCAACAAGTTATTATTTGCTAAAGATTTACCAACATACCGAAATATGGTTATACAATTTTATCAATCAGTGTCTCAATTACCTCAAGTCACAGACCAAGAGCTGAGTACATCTATGCAACAACTCTCAGTTGAGCAGTTAAATGAGTTTGATACTCTTTCAGCCTTAAAAGAGTTGTACATCTATGTCAGTAAATATAGAGAACAAATTATATTAGGACTAGAAAACAAAATGCACTTAGCTCATAAATTAGATAATATAGCATGCACTATGGAAGGCGACCCTACATCTATATGCTGACTATATGATACTGTATGTTACGATTTAATTGCATTTACATAATTTATTTATATTACCTATTTTGTAAAATAAAGCTTTAATTTATTCTGAAAATACTCAGATTTAAAACCGATATGTATAAAGACTGTAATATAGCAGTTCCATGAATCTAGTTAGGAAGTTTAAATATTTTTTGCAGAATATAAGATACTTAATGATGCTAAGAATGATTATTGATAAAATTAATATTTTTTGTAAGCATTACAGAGAAAAATAAATTTAATTGGCGATACCATTTTAATACAGAGAATAGTAAGAAACTATTTGTATGTACCTATGTATTAACTCTCCCAGTGGCCATATTTAAGTGTCCATGGTATTTTTATAATTTTAGTGTTAAATATATTCACTATAATTATTTATTTATTCTCTTTCTCGTAATGATCAATTCATAGTTATTACAAGTGATGTGGATCTGACACTATTTTGTATTGTAAATTCTTAATTGTATTTAAAATATTTAATTATTAATGTGTATTATGTTAAGATGTATGTGTAAAGAAAGAAATCTTATGTAAGGAAAATGTTGTGATATTTGTATCTGGAATATTGATAATATTGTCAGTATTTTAAAGGCACTATGCAAATAATACCCCAGTTGCACTTTTCATCGTTACCTCCATTGGTAGTCTGTACCTTACTAGGATTATTATAACAAACTCAATACATTAATAAATTAGTGAGCAATTCTTTTATGATAAAAACTATGCGAACAAGATATTATTTTTATATGCTACATCTACATACATGTTACTTACCTTTAAGTGTAAGTAATGTTACAAAAAAAATGTAGTCTTTAAAAAATTCTTCCTCTACGAAGACCTGAAGAAAAGATGCCTATGTTCATATTGATAGCGATTTGTACTTACAAATATTAGCGTCAAAATATAATGCCTATTAAAAAAAATTTTTAATTCTAGTAAACACATGTTTATATTTAATTTTACTTCATACATATTAATTGTGTTATTGTCAATCAGTTGTATCAATCGTAAAACTGGTAACAGGTTTATTAATAAGTATTTGTGAAAACTTGTAACAGTTGATTAAAACAATCATCATTAGACAACATTTCGAAAACATGATCTCATTTTTGTTTACTTATTTGCTCAAATTGTTTAATGCTGTATGTATATGGCAATTATCAGCTCTCTTAAAATTAATTATAATATTCCATTTACAAAATATTTTAAGATAGAATAGATGTAACTCGTTAGTATATGAATGCATCGTAAATTCACCCGTCTCTTAAAATTTTATATTATTAGAATATAATTATTTATCAATCTTTTTGTAACGAATAATTTCAACATGAATGGGATAAATGAAAAACACTGAACTGTGTATTATTTTTACAATCATATTTATTAGACAAGTATATAAATATTCTTCTTTGTTTTATATAAATTACCTAAATTAATTTATATAAAACAAATTAATTCCCACTTTGCCTTTATTACATAGAAATTAGTTTTAGTATGTGTACAATGTATAACAGAAGTAATGAACTGTGTATATAATTCCAGTGACACATTAATGATAGCGATAGACATTCATGAAACAGGAAGTGGTGGAATTAGTACAATAATTTGTTAGGTACTGATAATTATAAATTAATTTTAGTTTCGTTATATATAATACAACATATTATAAATTAATTTTAGTTTCGTTTCTGGATTACACAGTCTAATAAAAAAATATGTTCATCGCTATACAAATCACAGATATTTCTTATAGGTTCTTTATTAGGCTACGATTATTCAGCACGTGGCAAACAATCGTAAATTGTGTCAAATATTATTTTCCTTCTAACTTTCTTTCAACCTATATTCCTTTATAAGAGTTGAATACTCATTGGGTTTCAGATTATTACATATGAGTGGAACACCCTTTCTATATGCTACTTTTGGTAATATTTCGGATTACTTTTATGAAAAGACTACACAAAATATCTTGAACTTTTATTGTTGTCTTAAAATGTCAATTTTGTCTCTTAGAAAACCGAATTATTTTAAATCTTTACACCTCTCATATTTAAAACAAATAAAGTAATAGAATATTGAAATATCGAATTATTCACATAAATATTACATCCATTATAATGCAAAATATACCACTGGACGCTATACAATGTAAAAAAAGTGTTATTGAATCTCCCCATTAAATAAGAAGGCAAAGTTTTACTGAAATACAATTCTAATTTGAAAAATTATTCGATATTTTTCAAATTATAAATATATTATCTTTATAAATAAGGGATTTAAAAATAATTTTAACATTAGATACTATATAAAGCACCAGATATAAACCTACGTACTATAAAATAAGTACTGTACAATGTAGTTCATACATTCTCTTGTTTATTATTTCTTTCAATACATTGGACGTACAAATGTTTTGTGCATACACACCAAAGAACATTTTTTTTTTCTTAAATACACACGATAATTATAAATGTCAAATAATGGTCCCTAAATAATACAATACTGAAAATAATTAAAATGGTTCTGTAATATATTTGAAATTCTATAAAAGACAATATCTCCATTTTATAATTTAATTCATAGATTTTGTAGGTTTAGCGTCATAACTATACCCAAAAATTTACTGTCACATTTTTAACATACATATTTTTCCAATTTGTACAAACTTTAAATATGCAAGTATATTAATTACAAATAGATAACCAATATTTATTTAATAAATACATATGTATATCAATTATTTATTAAACAAACATTGGTTATCCGTATACATCCTGCCTTTACATATCTAATTGCAGACCAATTATGTATATATATTATCGGATTAGCTGTTATTTGTATGTGTTTAAGACTGTTAAATTATTTAATAGATTTATTATTTTGTTAAAATCCGCTACCACTACTATGTATGATACCACAATTTTATGTTATGTTACCTTACGCTATTCCGGCGTCTAAGTTATGACTTGGTCGCCTAACACTCAACACTAGGCTTCCGAGCTACATCCGAGCTCTATTCATAGCCTGATGATGCCTCGTTCAGAAGCGAAGCACGTGTCGTAATATGGGTGTAGATTCAATAACGGTGGCAGACTTAAATACGCGGTTTCCGCACTGAATATTTGTAGTCTCATACATTCTATTCTATCATCTGCTTCTTATCACAATTATATGGTGTTATCATACATCATGTATCCATTAATTCATCCATGTTATTTACTACCTTTCTTGCCATAATATCGTTCACACAGTCCATCCATCTCTTTTTCGGTCATCCTCTATCCTTTGTAACCATCCACATTCATATGTAGTACCTTTCTTAATTATTCAAATTATGTATTGAGTTTATGCGCGTGACATATTATATATTTTTATCGGAATAAACAAGCTAGCTCACTACTAAAGCTATAGCATTTCAAACACTCGTACATATAGATCCATAAATTCCTTTGTAATGTTTTCCATTATTGAATATTTCAATGTCTGCCAATATTATAATGGGCAGTTATTTCTCTTTCCAAAGCTAGAAACAGCCTTTGATATAATGTATCTTCAGTAGTCAGTAGCAGTGTTCTCTAAAGAACTTAAAGTATGTTGCAAAATGTTAATAATCACTTTAAAATAACTAAACAACTAAATATGAATTCTGTTAGATCATAAAAATACATTAAATGGAGTATAATAATACTATTTAACTTGTAACATCATTATGATATGGATTATTATATTATTAAATCCATAGGATTCTATACACATTTTGAAGTAATAAAGATTGGTTAGATATATAAATTATCAACTAATAGATTACTGCTATTGTAAAACATTACAATGATATTAAAAGTGGATCTAATATGATAAAATATGCTCAGTATATTTAACATTCTAAATATAATCTCAGAGATTCCTTTAATGATGTAAATCCCAAGGCTAGTCTACATCACAAAGAATCTACAAGAAGTTCCTGCAATTGGTGGTTTCGACTGTACCTCGTTATGAAGTGTAAGTTATTCTACTGTATACATTGTACATAGCGCTATTACAGTCGGTACTTGTATTATTTGATGTAACTCCCCGTTTTCAATATTTTGGTTCATACAAAAATACTGCTCATGTACATCACAATCTAAATTATAATAATATCATTCGTAATTTACAAAATATTGGAATTATCTCAAATATCAACAGTCTAATGGAATATAGGCAAACCGATAGATATTAAAATCATTTCTGTACAAGCCCTACAACATATTATATACTAAATGTCGCGCTGTTTGTGCTACATCGAATTTTCACATTTTTTATATTTTTTTTTATGTGAAAATGCTTATACAAATATTGCCGTTATATGTCTTACATAAGAAAATCAGCATTTTCTTGACTTATTAGAATATTCGAAATCAACTATATTATCACACATCATTCAACAAAATGGAATATAGGAACGTATAAAATTTGCCGAAGCTCTTGTGCTATTTATTATGCATAATAAATATACAAATCATCCGTTTAGTTTCGCCGCTTGTCTCCATATTTGTACAGACTGGTAACTACGTTATAATTGATTAGTTTATAGCTGGACGAAGGAGTAGTATTACACTGTCAACTATATAGATATATTTGATAATGCAATAACTCCCGAAAACTTTAGTAGAAGCTTCACTGGTTTTAGTATATTTTTAAAAAACACTGCATTTATCTTCAAGTAATGAGACAAACAGTCGGTTCCTCCTTACTAAATACTCAACACTAAACTACAGCGTATAAAAATAATGCAGGTAGCGTGCAAAAAGTTGCCGTTTCAATGGGAAATTTATATCATGCACAAAATATTATTTATTGAGTACTTATTGCACCACAAAAATAACCCGCGATAATCAGTCGCTATAAAAAAAACTAAAAGCATTTCGGTACTTTCTGCACGCAATCTGTATAACCATTATAAATTCTTTATTCTTGGGGCCTTAGCCTTAAAGCCCTTATGTCTAGTATTGACAATATGTCCAAATAGATGATGACCAGATGGATACCCCACGCATTACATAGATTAGTCCAATTTTGATGTTTAATGGGGTATAATTTATTCTACACCTGCAGATTTATTTTATTGGAATTTTACACTTTCGAAACTTAAGAATAGATTTTTTTACCAACAAAACGATGACGGTAAAAAAAATATAGAATCGCTTTTGAGCACTCACTTTGAACACCATCAGCCATCGTCCATTAGGGTCTATCGTCAACGCTAGTCTTTATAATTATTATTCGAGCTGCAAAAATTAGTATGCCTGTTGTTGTTTTTCTAGAGGATCGCGATATACTATTGTAGCAGATTTGATTAGATCCGGTTCATCATCAGAGACGGCGCAGTCGTTGGCTATCGCTACATCTTTAGGCGAACATTTGTTGTGTGCCATCACCATACCTCCTGTGAGACCGATTAGGGCGCGGTCCAGCCAGTTAACTGGGTTGGCATATATTAAACCACCCTCATAGAATCCCAAATGACCACCATGTGCCAGTTCCAGGTACATTGCTTTATCATGTGAACCTGTAATATATGGATAGTTCTACATATCAGAAAATAAATACATTCGTAATTATAATTAAAATTGTAACATGATTCATATTTATACAACTTATAGATATAAAATAACCTAAGTAGCATTATAATATAAATGACTATAATATTTTTATTGCATAAAAGTGATAAACTAGATAACCCACAATATACTAGATATATTGACAACTAAATAGTGGAATTGTATACATTCTACTTTTTACTGGCAACTGCATCCGTGTGACTGACATTGATGACCCGGATAATAAATAGCTTGTTTCTCTCAACCCTCAATAAATTGTTATCAGAAATTGTACTATTTGAATTGACAGAGCGCCCTAGAACGTCCTAGAGGTTTGCTGCTCGACATCGTCTATAAAGGTTGCGAGTTCAAATCAATCTAACGTCAAAAAACTGCCTTTATATTGCTGATTAACTCTACGATGACGGAGACATTGGTAACACAGCACATGAATCCTATAGATGGCGGTAGGCTCACGCCTGGACACGTTACGTTTACAATATCGACAGATAATACCTCTGACTACCTTATTTAGGATAACGGTCGTGATGGTATATTATTTCAATTGTTTAGACGCGAAGAGATAACAAACTGACAAACTTTCTCAATTAGTGTATGTTACCTTTGAAATGCGTTATGTATAGCGAAGAAATCAAAATAAATAAAGTACCTAGTAGATGGTTTCAAGAGAAAGAAAGATTAAAGAAAAGTGTATATCTAAAGTCTAAGGCGCATCTCAGATTAGGAGGAAAATCAACAGGGCATGAAGAGAAGGACAATATATAACAAAATAATGGCGTCATAGAAAGGATAAATTCCGTAAACTGCTGTTGTTGAAATTCCAAGTCATGGCTAAAAGCGCTTACATACTGATTAACCGGAGCAGTACGTGTTATATCTATTCTGCTACATACAAAATATTATTAATATTACCTACACATTACACACTTTCATATTATAAATATGAATATGTATGTTTGCTTTTTTTGTTACTTTTTAACAGCATTAACATAATTTAGCTATTAACCATCTCAATCATGTATTATTTTAGAAGCTAGATGACATAGAAAAAAAAAATCAGTCTTATTACAGAATATAAAACACCTCTTTTTTTTTGTCGAGAGGTAAAAATAATACTTACTGACAAATTCTCTAATAATGGGCAGAAGAGGTTCAGGAACAATGGGGTCATCACGAGCATTTATAAATATCATTGGTGTTTTTATTTTATCTAGGTAAAAAGCGCACGAACTCCATTTATAAAGATCTGCCACAGTCTCGAATCCATGTATTCTTCTGCAACACAATATAATGACGTTTTAAATATATGGTCAGACTAGTCAAAGATCATTTTGCCTAACTCTGGTCTCGTGTGCTCCTCAAAACGCAATATACGTCATTATTACAATTTGTTTTGACAATCCAGACAGCGCCATGTAGTCCCTAGCTTTATAGGTAGAGAGATTGTTTATTTTATTTATTTGTTTTAGAGCTTATTTCTTGTGTAAGTATATAATAATTATATAGAAAACATATACTCGTATGTTTCATCGTGTGACGAATCGAATCCGCAATCATCAGAAGGAAAGCGGTGTACTAAACTGCTAGATCCACGAGGTCGTAGTATTATGAAAATAAATTCCGATCCAATGAAATGTCATTGAATCGGAACTAGAAAGTGTAAAATAGGGCAATCTAATAATATTCAATGAATTACACTTTCGATACACTAGCAAATATTAACTGCATATTTCGTGTTCAATGTAAAATAACTGACATTATTATCAGCTATATATGTTAGGTATAGTGTTAATTACTTCTTCAAAAGAACAGTAGATACAAAATGGTTTGAATCAATGATTTGAATTCAGAGTATTCCTGGTAAATTGATGTGATCCAATTTAAAAAAAATTCAAGGATCTGTTGTGAGACATAAAATTTAAAAAATTCGTCAAAAATTGTTATGTTTGATAAGGTTTACAGATACAGATTCGAAGTAATTGCAGATTATATTTCAATGAATGATTATTCTAGAATAAATTCTAGAGCCTAGACACTTTACGCATGTTGTTTGTGCATCTTATTATCATAGGTACTTGTCTACTAGGTACTGAAGAGACCTCTGATTAACGGACCAGAGGTCACTGTATCATTAATTAGTTCTTTATAGCTATTCACGTTAGGCAACTCACGATATATTTTTGCGCTTCGAATCAACATATTCACCATTGCGTAAAATAGGTATGTCATAATTCGTATACATTAATTTTCACCTACTAATGTCCACAAGTTGGTAACTATGAAATCACGTATCGTGAGTAAACCCACATGAATATTCTATTACGTCTTCCCGGCAGTCTACATCAGTCATGTCAAAGGTACGGCCGGCGGACCGCATCCGGCCCCCGACCTGTATTAATATGGCCGCGATCTTTATAACTTTGATATGTTTTTAACAATTATATACTGTATAATTAAATAAATAAATAATTGATTACATTTTTTATTTTAATCTGGTCCGCCTAAACATTCTAAATTATAATAGGTATGTGTCTGTCTGCAAAATTCAGTTTGACACCTTTGGCTACACTTCAAATCTGTTCAACCATTTAAAAGTGATTAATTAAGAAACATTAAATAATTTACCTACTTATATTTATTACTGTCTATGCCTGTAACTTCATACGTCAATAGATTAACTCTTAAGTTTTTTGTTTATAAATTGATTGGAATGAAACAATCACAAAATGCAGCGCTGGATTAAGAAAGCACGGAGCCTGTAGTTTTTTTAATTCGTAACAAACTTTAGTTATTATTTTTTTAGATGTATGTCGGTGCCCTCCGCGCACCGACAAGCGTAGCATGTGCCACCCCTGCTATTAAGCTAGTCCGGCATTGAGTAAATGTGCGAAAAGTAATATACATATATATAAAAAAACAAACATGATAAGTATTTCGTCTCTCGGTTACATAAATCCAAAAACGGTTTGTTTTTATCTTTATATAAAAACGGTTGACATGTTTATAATTTTATTATAGCTATATACGATTAGTAAGATTACCTTGAATAGGCCTCGTCGAGATCTGGCAGAGTACCCGCAGATACGATCATTTTCTCGTCCAGAGAGTGCCTGCTCTTCATTTCGGGACTTAATAGCATCCTTTTATGACGTGTTATAATATTTCGGTGGTTATCTGTCATTATGTATAAGTAGAAACGACGGAAATTCTGCCATTGTAAAAGATACACCATTGTACTGAAAATAAAATTTACTTAGATACTTACTAACTTACTTAGATAGGCAACCACAAATCTGACGATACGAGTAGAACTTGCACTCCGAGGATACATACGAGTTTCTAATAAAACATACTATTTTTGTATCTAATGGAAACAAACACACCTCGCTCGTATGTAAGATATAGATACCCTTATAGGTTTCGAACCGGTGGTAGCACAAAACGCGATTAACGGGTTATGTTTTATAATACTTTGTTATGAGCTTTGCAAATACGAAGCAAGGTAATCAACCCAGAGTACGTATTCGATCACAGTATTTAATTATGTACTTTGATGCCATTTTTAATTTAGTAATATATAAATATAGTTAAGGCACAGTTCCACGATCTGTGATACAAGATAGTACTGCAAGTGCTAATAGTGCATGTGATGGTCACAACCAATAAGCAACAACTGACGTGCTACCTGGTAGTAAACCGTAACTGTATATACATGAACAGCACTACGGACATCATTTTACTATGCGACCCCCGTAATTATCCAGTAATTTCATTGCCTAATGACATCCTACAACCGAAACACAAGCTTACAAAGCAAGATGATTGAATAGAAATATGTAAGTGGCATTGAGAGATACGCAAGCGAGTTTTTACAGTCTACCAACTTCGCTAAATAGCTTAGTGGCTATGTAATTGAATCCTTCAAATGAAAGAAGCAGAAAATGGCCAGGTGTTCACCTCTACTATTTGTCGTGTGAACGTTTTAAATATGTCATATGTGAAAATGTATCATTTATAACACTTATATAGTCGACGAATGTTATAAATCAATATTAATATTATCGAAACACATTTTCCTGTTAGGTTTAATTGGAATTACAATACATGTAACAATTCTAGTGATGTTGAGTTTAACAAGATGTAGTCTAATTTGCAATTACTGAAATTCTAAAAAATAATTTTAATGTATTTGTTATGCGATATCTTCGGCAAACAGAATCATCGAATGATTCTATCTAAATTCCGGTCTAGATTAGTTAGGTAACAGGTTTCACTTTGTGGATAAGTATGTTAAGTACTACTATTATTGTTTTTTGTGAAAAAAAAAAATACAATTTTACTGCTAATCCGTTCTACATTTGTTGCACTATAAGTGTTAAATGTCATTTAACCTTGATCGCTATGATGATATCATATACCTACTAGATGACGTCATTGAAATGTCGTTATATAGGCATCTAGGTAACTAAAGTTCGAGCAGTATGCATCTTACGTAGTTCTATGAACACTTTTTTTATTGATACTAATATTGACTCTGTTATCATTACTAAAATGTCAAAGAGGGATGGATAGGGACCGCCTGATGGTAAGAGATTATAACAAAATATATGGACACTATTACGATGACTCCGAAGAAATTATATCACCCGTATTAAACGATTATTTTTTTTTAGATAATCATACATAACAATCAACTAGAAATGAGTCATATGAATACTTATTATGAGGAATAATCTTTTGTATACTATCAGCTATTAGATCGCTGATAGCATCAACAATAGGTGATTCATAAAACTTTACCCATTATACTTACAAAAATATAACTTGTACCCGTACAGTAAAGTACAGTAGGTAAAAATATTGTTTTCTAAGAGTCAGAAAAACACTGACAAGGATACATCGTAAAGTACTTGGTATAGGGAATATCAGGCGACTTCAATAGACAGTTCAGTTTTTGTCTCTTTTTATTTATTTATTTATTCAGTGAAAATGTAATACACACTATACGCTAAATTTCAACCTCGGGTGACATGGGGAAGTTCTTTTGCATACTGCTGATGGAATTTTCTATTCATTCGAAAGTGCAGCTAGAAAAGCTAAGCAAACGTTCGATATTCCTTGATATACTACTTGAATGCTTGGTTGTTTTAAACGTGTATTATAGTAATATTTTATATCTTTATTCGTGCATCGTTTTTCATGTCCACATCCATGTTTAAACACTATTATATTACAGAAAAGATAAAAAGGTATGGATTTGAACAGTGGTTCGTAATGTTTATTTACAATGTACGTGTTTAATACAAAACACAAATGATTTATTTAGTGACCTTTAAATACTTACTCAATTGCGTTATATCCCTGACATATTGAAATTCCCCCTATTATGTTAGAAGGCCTCTTCCTGTCTTCGCCTAAGTACTTCGTAACCAAATTACCGCCAAGGCTAAATCCGACGAGTATTATTTTTGTGAGGGGATATCTCTCCAATAAACTCTCAATCATATAGTTGTAATCATCTGTATGCCCTGAAATGCAAAAACATACAATGAAAAGCGCGTCTTATACAATAAATATATGTATAATAATTACGCTGTCGTAAAGATGCTGGTCTATATAGATTCAACAGCGAAATTGAATTTGTATAAAATGGTGGGTCTCATCTGTTTTTACACACATACACTAGAAATTTCATTTGCAACTTAATGCACTAGAGTGTTCTTTCCACATACCTAATAAGGTTGTATGTAGGTCTAACGTTCGTAACTTTAGACCTACATAGACTCCTCATTCCATATATATATATATTATGTAATATTGGTCAACTAAGTGACTAGTAACCATGATAGGCTGCTTTTCTTATAATTGCTAATAATAAGGCATAGGTAGTTTTACAACATTATTAGGTATATTGAATCGAAACGAGGATGTTCGTAATTATGCAATTATTACGTAGCTCTACATCCTATACGTATAACAAGTAAGTATGTAATTACAGTAGCAAAATAAAGCACCATAATATTAAAGTTACTAGATGGCACTGCAAAAAAATCTTAGTAGGTACAGTCCATCTGTAAGCGGATGCGCGCACTATGTTATCTATACTAAAATTATGATGAGGTAAAGATTGTAAGTTTGTTTTTTCAGGGTATTCTCCAGTTCTGCTAATTCGATTTTTAAATTCTTTTACTGTTAGAAAGGTATATAATTCCCAAGGGCTATAGTACCACACACTACGACTAATAGGAGCGGAGTAGTAATATAAAATGTGGTTTAAATGTTCAATTTGAGTACTTCCACTACGTAAACTATTCAAGTTACGCAAATATATGTATATATGACGAAATTGTTCTCCTTTAAAATCCCCGAAAACATATGTCTTTTAAGTTTAACTCACTAGGATACCAAAAATATAGGGCCCGTGCAAAGTCGAGGCGGGTTGCTAGTATAGAATATAATAAATTCACTACTCAATATTCAGTTGTATTAACATTCGTTTCAGCGTAGCGAACAAATTCTGCTTTGTTTCTACGCATATATACCATTTTTCTAAGAAAGACCTATACCCATAATTAGTCTTGAAAGCAAAACAATTTATGCAGGTCACTGCCGTTCTTAAAATTTTGATCATTACATTGTTTATATGAATTTATGGAGGTATACAGCTGCAGTAGTAAATTAGAATACTGTAATAATTAGCGTTCATTGATGACAATTCAATACAATCATAGAATACATAACAATCTAACTAATACAATACACAAATGGTCACTAATTTGCATGGAACTTCTAAACTATTATGTAAAATGGTATTGTATAGATCAGTCATGTTTTATTCAGTTTTCCGAACATAAATAAATATGACTTCATTGGGTGTTGATAATTTGCGAACATGATGTCTTCGCAAAATATTTTGAACATATTTGTATGAACGCTTTTCAGCGCAAAGGGAGTAAGTCTGTGTTATTTTCTACTGTCAAACAGCTTTTTGAACTGTGTACCGATATGATATTAATAATAATATATTTATTGACACCAATTTAAGTAGTTACAGTTAGTTATACTTCTTATATGGTAGCTGTGACGTGACCGAGTGGAATGAGCAGTCATGTTCACTAAAATGTCCAGACATGTGGCGGCGTGGTGGGCCGGATTATTGGGCTCCCTAAAATATGGTCGAGCGCAGTAATGGCTGGCTCATCCGTCATACTCGTGAACGAGTGCTGCTTATAGGGACTGGTCAGCTCTTATCACTACGATTGATTTAATCTTATTGTGTTTTTATATTTGAGCCTAAATAAATTAGGCCTGGTTGGTGAATACAAACTATTGTATTCACACGTTTCGACTTGTAAAATGTGAACTAACAAGGATTGTTTAAAAGAGCAACACACAAGTTTCTTGCTTATTCTTCATGTGATGAGACAGCTTTAAGAATAAGCGGTAGATTAAAAAAAAATGTTGACTATTCAAAAGTGCTTAAATTAAGTTTATTTGAATAAATGATTTTCTATTCTATTCTATAAACTATTACATTTTTGTTATATATGCATCATATATAGAATTTACCAGTAGTATCTATACTAGGCCGAGCCTATATCATAGATAGGTACTACTTTCTTCCAGTGACAAATAGTAAAAATTAAAATGTTGCAATTGCGTGGGTAGATTTACATTTCAACTAAGTACAAATATGAATGAATTGCATTGGCATCAATATAATATATATTAAAATCACGGGGTAGGTACGAGGGCATGACAAATCAGTACACAAGAATCGCAACGCATGCTGTATTTTTTTTGGACTACTACTAACTGTAATACTGCGGCAACTTTTACAGTTTCACTGTACGATAGGGAACGAATGCAGATGGCACTCCAACCCGCGAGAGAACTTATAGACTGCTGAAGACTAACTCCCGTCTGACGTATGGGTACAACTTTAGTCCGGGCAAGTGAGGGCACCAATACGGGTTCGAACCTCGACTCAGGCCGTCGTAATTTCGATTCCCGTTTAAATTGAAGTAGGGATCGACCGGAGGGGGATTCATGCAGTGTAACACGAGCATCACATGATGTGATGCTCTTCTAGTATATGTATAATATGCGACTGTCACCACCTTACATCAGATAGGCCGTCACTTTGTTTAACGTACAGTTACACAATAAAGTTAAAAAATTTGATGATATTTATCCTAAATTATATGGTATTAGAAACTTAAAAATAAATGTATAAACGAACAAAATAATCTATAGGCATTTCAAATGTTATTATTATCGTTCACGATTATTGCATGTTGTTGCAATTACAGCATTACTACATTAACATGTGTAATCCATGTGTGTAATAATAATTAAAAACAGGTTTAGTTTTATGTCAGTCTACAAATAATGTTTGCTATAACAGAAACTGAATGCAACCACAGTACATATTGATTTGTGGAGTAAGGTCGCGCTGTGCGCGCACTTGGCATTTTCACACACCTTATATAGCAATTTTAACCGACTTAAAAAAGAGTTCACTATTTCTCTGTATTTCTTTATTACACAAATCTTACGCCTTACTTTGAAAAATATTCTGGACAGATTTAAAGTCATACTTATCATTCGTCTCTCTATCAGTAATTCCGTATATTTCAGCAACTACTAACGCTATTGCTTCTTATCCTATAATTTAACTGCTTTACCCTTCAACCATGGCATACAAATAAGCTACTTGGCGACGGATATAGGTGAGACTGAGGTCCCAGGGCAACGACATTTTAGAAACTCTACCTCGGTAGGGGGAAAGGCAATAATGTGGACTGATGACCTTGTTGTTAGCAATGTACCATGTTAGGTTGACCTCCTAGAAACCATCGTCATATATTCTTGGTGAATTTGTTACGATGGGCTAACTGACCTGACCTCGTGCTCATCTTATCATCTTCCACTGGTATCCCACCAGCATAACTCGTTAACGGGTGCACAATTCCATTATCATAATTAAAAAAAACTATCTTGGTCTAGATGATTTATGTATGTTTAATGAGTAATTATATAGATGTATAATATAGTGGTATACATGATGAAAACAAAACTCTGTCCATATTATTTGTACGCTAAGCACGGTGTGCAAGTTCGTTGATTCAATTCGTAGTTATGAGTACTATGAAAATGACTCACCATACGAGAATATCCTAGTCCCAGTTACCGGCACGCTGTTCAGAGCCCCGATATGATTCAATACCGCGCATCTATAGCCATGACATTGTGAATAATGCACGTATGTACGGATGTACACACTTTCAGACGTGTTGCCGATACCCGGACAGATTGCCACCGTCACATCATCTGTAAAAATATTAAACATGTAAAAACCAAGTGAAATAAACGTTACACATACTCCATTCTACAAATTAAATAATAAGGATAGTCTTCACTTTGTGAGAGTATATCCTGTAAATCTATCATGTACAAAAGTACGCTTACTATATGCACTTCTAGTTTTCATAGCCTGGTAGCTCGTAATTCACAGTAAATGATTAAAGTAATTTACTAGTATTTCTCTTATACCCTTATAGTGTATTTTACTATCACATATAATAATGTCTATACCAACTTATCAATCTATTAAATCTAGTCGGATATCTGTCAGGTATCCCCCTGTATTTCTCATTCATAAATTAATATAGGTACCTCATATACTTTAACATATATTATACAATAAAATTCCTGGTAATCAAAACATTGAATCGCGCATCAGGTATTTAAACCAACTATTTGATGAATGTTGATAAGAACGAAATTGCCAGCAGCCGGTAATTTTTAACAGTAATTGCGCATGCATGCACTTGCATTGTACCTAGCTCACAGCGGAAATTTGTATGCATTAATTTCCAGGTTATTACTTGGACGAATTTTATTAGTCTTATATTTGATCGTGTAATCGCAGGTATCGCGGCATTTGAAATCACATTGGATCGTATTATCGTATCAATGACACGTATTATCAGAATCTCTAGTAGATCTCTAGTGAGACTACTTTAATTTACGTGACGTAATGTTACAAAACAAACAGTGAATTATATTAATATTTTTGTCCCTTTGTGTTTTTAACCTTAGCGTAGTCAGTCATGACGAAATGCAATGGTTACGTTTGACTACAGAACTCATTGACCGCGAAGGTGCTGCTTATCAGAAATGTATTAATTGTGAGTAGGGCAGAACGGAGGAATAATATATGTATGTACAATCGGAAGAAAGTAACACACTGCGGCTAACATTAATAGCAAATACAAAAAGCAAAGCAAATACAAGATAATGCTGTAGACAATATATCTGATAGGAGTGACTATCTCAAATACTAGAAAAAAGACATTATGTACCTACACAATATCTACAATGTTTAAATTGTTCAAAGATACCATTTTACTGTGCGAGGTGGATTCGCCTCTTGATTGTAATCAGTATTATAAATCAACTTACGTAATTTTGTAAATATGCATTTAACGGGACACTGTAAGATTTTACTCGATTCAACGAGATCAAATACGTCTGGTGAAAGGTGTAGTAGGTATGTGGTTAAGATAATAATATTTTGAACCACCAAGGAAAGCAGAAATTTGTGACTATATTTTCCAATTATCGTAAAAATATATATGCGTAATATAATAAATATTCAATGGTAGGAAAATCTGTTTAATAGAATATTTTTTTATAGTAAAACAGAAGGGCTATAGCTATTTAATAATGAAAAAATGGCTAAAAAGATTGTAATGAAGTTTTATAATTGAGATGATTTTTAGCACAGAGGATCATGAAACCTGAGATACAGCATGATCCTCCCATGATAATGGTATGACGCCGCTATAGGTATTTGGTATAAATTATCTATATGGTTACCAATTATTAGTTTTACTTGCCTATTAGAAGTTTGTTCTTGTTAATCTCTGAAATGGCTGGCTTAAATCTGTGAATTTAATGGGACTTTCCTCTCAGATAGTAAATTTTATAAGGAGTAACTTTAGTTACTTTTATTTTAGAAATATAATTTTAATTTATGAATAAAAGTTAAATTCGACAAAGTTCTGGGTTAGTTGGTTTTTAGTAATTTACAAGGAACTTTAAGGATCATCTAAACTATATCTTTAAGTGCATTAATGACTTTCGCACGATTTTGATAATGTGTTCATGGCACTACAATGACAGAAGTTTTTTCTACATTTAGTATGCTGGTGTACTTATACATTGTATAATTAGTATAGTTAATATACCTTCATGTTCAGATCCAACAGGCTCATACAGATCATATGTCAGTGTTGACCTATCAGGTAAAACTAGGTTCACTCTTCCTCCTATAGGCCACGGACAACGGACACGGCCAATCAAACTGTGGAGAATAGTCTGCACATGGCCGCTAAAGCCCCATAGTCGAGTTGGTATGTAGCTGTAAATTGAAACTGACGGTTCACTCTCATTTTTACCATCCAATTTGCAGTATACCATAATCCTTCCAAGTAATATACACTAATATATGAATAATAAAGTAGCTAGTTCATGATTTCATTCAAAATATTTTAAATCATTAGATGAATATAATAATCTTACAGCAAGTCACATACTATACATGATACCCTATACATATTCAAGTTATTTTCTGGAATCTAAAACTCACAGGGAAGAACAAAATTATGCATTTAGAGACAACATATTTTTTAGTAATTATCATTATTACTTATTCTTTTATTATTCTTATTAAAAACATCTAACTATAAGTATAGTAGTATATAATATAACATTTAAATAAGCTAGAGAAGATAGTAAGGACAGAAAACTGTACTCTGTAACTAGATGCAAGATTTTTTTGGAAAATCAAGTAAGTAATGTCTCTTTGTGAAATATAAAGATAAGCTGTTGACATAAAAATAAGTAATGTGAATTTTATTGTCTGTATAGTAGAACATATTTAGCATCATTATTAAACAAAAGAAAATGAGCAATTATATTCTATATCAGTTGGCACTTTGATTTTTTTTTTTATGTATTAACTAATAGCTGAATGCCACAGCTTCACACTTGCTAAACTAGACATTTCCTCTTATAGGGAATTTAAAAATTTGTGCCAATATCCAATTTTTAATGGGTGAATGCTAGATGTTTATAATATAAGTATGATCTGTATTGTTTTATTTCATTGAGTGGTAGAATTCTTTAAATAAACTAATTGGATTGTATGTATAAAATAATAATGTGGTACTGAATAAACTTCTATGTTACACTGTAGACATCTGTACCTCATTAGTTGATAGTCATCAACTGATAGTGATATATTTGTGTGACTAATTCATTAACAGTAAATTATTTTATTAAAATATATAAAAGCACATTGTAGGCAAAATATATATGTATAATATTTTTTTAATTAATCTAATAATAATATATTAGAATAAACATTTCTTAAACATTGTCTTACACATGAACAACTAATTGCCCGAAATGACATCATCATAACAGTGTAATGCTTTGATCATTTAAACGTTGGGATTTACTAATTAGTAAACTTGAGAATTACAAATATTGTTACTCACGGTTCGTTTAAAAATGGAGAAATAAATAGTATGTTTTCAATAAAGCTTCTATCCCTTCCATAAATGATTGGTTTCTGCGGCTGGCTATTAACATTCAGTATTCGAAAAAGCACACATAGTATGACTGCAATAACAGCTAAAAGAACTGTCGACATGATAATATAGTTAAGTGATATGAGATCGTATAAATAGAGAAAGAAAATCTACATAATCGCCGCGTTCTATTCGTTTCTTCAACCGAGAAGAAACAATTTTCTATAAACAGCAGCGGCGACGACAGCACAAGAGAAACTAACAAAAAATTGTTTTGTTACTGCCCTAACGATTGACATTTACGTTGACAGTGAAATAGACGTATGCTTTTTTTGAAATGTTATTGGTCTAATTTTGTAATGTCATAAAATTAAACGACTGTCATTGGATAAAATGAATAAAATATTTTTTAACGATTGGCAAAAAGGTACGGCTGAAATCAGCTGATAGCATGATACTATTAAGGCAGCATTGCACGATACATTTTGTACACTGACTACATAATAAGAACATAACTTATAGTTACTTCTTTTATTTAATTGATTGATTTTAGAAATATGAAAGCGTAGCGGTTTTTGTATTGATTGCCGCATGCATTCTTATGTAAAATGTGAATACAATAACTATCAGATGGCAATTGTATGTAGCTTTGACGTGGTCTCGTGTTTTGAGTAGTCATGCTCACTAAAATGTCCAGACTTGTGGAGGCGTGGTGGGCCGGGTCATTGGGCTCCCTAAAATATGGTCGTGCGCAGTGATGGCTGGCTCATCCGTCATATTCGTGAACGGGTGCTGCTTGTAGGGACTAGTCTGCTCTAATCACTATGACTGATTTCCTCTTATTGTTTAACCAGTTGGTTATATATTCAATGTTTTTTCTATTTCAGTATTTAATTGAATTAGTGCTAATTGGTGGTTTGTATTCACACACTTAAACTTAAAAATGTAAAGTAATAATAAAATTATTTAAAAGAGCAACACGCAAGTTTCTTGCTCGTTCTTCTTGTGATGAGACAGCTTTCCGAACGAGCGGTAGATTAAAAAAAATGTAATGACTATTCAAAAGTGCTTCAGTGTAAGTTTATTTGAATAAATGATTTTCTATTCTATTCTATTCTTCTGCTGTCCATTTTTTTGTAACGAAGTTAAATAAAAACACAATAGTTGAATAACTCAGGTTTCCTTCAGTACATTTGAATATTTTAAATCTTTTATCCATTTGAATCGAACATGGCAGGTAGCGACTGTTTCACCGTCACTCGGATTTGGTTTGGTGAATTGTTACCGATGCTTACATCACCGGAGTCAGTCAAAACTGTAATTAATATTTCCTTTTATTGGTCGTATATTTTAATGACTATTAAATTGACAATTCCGCTTTTACGACTCAAGTTAAATTTTATATGCTTAGTACATCCGACTGGATTTGTTCCACGCATTGCCACTTGAAGCAGTCAGCAATGTACCGGCAAATTCCTTCGTTGGAGAATATAAGATAAATATGATATCAGATCAGTTAGCCCATTGAGACAAATTCAACAGGAATCAACCACAATAATCTTAAGGGGACCACATGGAGGTTGACACAGCATGCTACCTATGGGGTCACATGGAATTAAAATGACTAATGTTCAGTGTCGTCTAAACGTCTACTTGTAGTATATGTCTATATGACCAGGAGGACCATAATACCTGAAAAAGCCAAACAAAATAACCAAAATATCTGAAAAAGTTGTCAAAAAGCTATTTGGGAAAACGTAAGCTGGTTGCTTTTCAACAATATTTATTAAAATTATTTTATTTTGTTACGACTGTCAGATAATGCATAGTCATCATGGTTAATATGTTTGTGTATCAAGGTAAAAAAAGACACTATTAGAACATAATTTTATTAGAGAAAAATGTTCAAGTGCCTATAATAACTAATTACCAATAAATAACATACATGTGAATATACGGAAATCATAAAAATTGAATGTTTGCATAACACACATAAATGAAGTTATGGATATGGAGCAATATGTAACTAGACCACATATCATATATAGTCTTTGCTTATATATTGTTAAAAAAATCATGTAAGTACTATACCATATTATCAAAGTATACAAACGTTAAAGGTAATTCAGATTATTTTGTAATTACTTTAATTATTGCATTAGATCTCATCATTAGATATCAGTTTGAAATACCTAATACTAAATTCTGTATAGAAAATAATATTAAAAATATCTATATGACACAACATTGAGAATTAATCATCAATATTCTCTTGGGCAAAAATATAGAACATGTCTGTCAATACTATTGTGTTATTTAAATCTACTCCGTGGGAATCTATTGATATAGCATTTTTAACGTACATAATATGTTATATTTTATTCTTATTTTATAACTATAAAGGTATATATTTGTTAGTCAAACAGACTGAGCAATACTTTTATTAATTTATATAATCTATTCTATGTTTAATTTTTATAATAGTGTCTGTAAGTAAATGGCAGTAAGGCAATGCTATGAAAACGAACTAGGCATAGCTGTTACAGTATTATTATTAAGGGAGAGGGTTGTTAGTAATGACGATGAGCAATAGTGACTAATAATGTATAGAGTCATGTTGACCTCCACGCGGTTGTGCTTGAAACCCAACAATGGTTAATACCTAGTGAATTAACCATAATGAGCTAACTGAACTTGATCCTCATCCTATCATTCACTATCTCCACTGGTGTCCCGCCAGCGTAGCATTACAATCCATATAGAAATAGCACATACCTAATACAGTAATCTGTTATTTTTTGATAATCAGTTATTTCCATTGTAATATTGTTATTATTACAACATACAATATACTACACTCAATATGACCTAAAAGGATTTAATGCGCATTCGAGGTTTACGTAAAACAAGAGATCAGAAAGAGATTATAATGTAATGTAGTAAATTTGAAATCCAATATTAAAATGGGGTCTTAAATTAGCAAAAGCTATTTTTCAATTTGTAAAAGGTCCTTACAAAAATATTATAGATAACTATAAATATATTGCATGACTTAACGTCATATTAGTGTACACTACACGCCATAGTGATAAACTTAAGTATAACAAGTGATTCTCTATACTATAATATACTTATTAAGAATCCTTAGTTACCACTAATACAGTCCCACCTGATGTTGCATTCTTCAGCCTTCTCGTGTCAATAAATATCTGTACATCCATACTCTTCTTATATCATAAGTTAATGGAAAATAATTTGGTGCATAAGCATATTAATTCAGGTATCTACAAAAGTTCTATGAGCAATTTTAATCATATTATCATACAAACAAATAAGGCATGTTTTCTATAAAGATTGATTTAATTTGTTTAAAACAAGAAGATTTTTGTCATGTATAGACATGCTCGAACTAGTTAGGTGGCCTTACACAGGTTACATCCTACTGCATGATATACTGCGAACATTCAAGATGAGTTTGATTTAACTCATGTATTGTTACAAAAGTAACTAATATAATAATAACAATTGCATAAAACTAAATGTGATGATGTTTGTAGTCAATATAATGGCAAATATGATAACTATCGCTTAGACACTATACTTTCGCATACTCTTAACAAAAAGCCTACACTTCTTAATTTTAAATAAACGTTAACAAGTTTTAGTACGCTACGTTGTTTCACGCTTTCTCGTTAAATATAAATAAAATACGTACAGAAATCCAAGTAACTAATATTACCTACATTATTATTGTGCAATGAAACATAATGTTTAATGAAGTAAAAAAGTTGCAAATATCAAAGTAGTATTGTTGCATATTATATACTATTCAATGATAGGTTATGGTGTGAACAATTGTCAAATACTTGAAAACCTTAGGACAAGATAACTAATATATACACAATTTGTAATAAAAATTACACAAAAAGTTCCGTCTCAAAGTCGGATATAGTCTTAATAATCGAGTGGTAAAGCACGAACTATAAGAAAATTTGGTGAATTCGTCATCTACATATATAAATTAATATTTCCGATGTTGCATTCCATTCACAAAGTTATAGCACCACTATTCCTAACAACTGCTCTCTATAGTCAATAATTTGCAAAAACAAATTATCAAAGACGGTTACGTAGCTTTGGGCTTCATACAATTGTAATGTCTTACAATACTCATTACACATTCAAATGAAATATTGAAATTATATTATAGCTCTACCGAGACACAAAAAGAATATCCTAAAGTGGTAAATTTGGTAAAAATAAGTGTTACAATAATCAGCAATATGCTGAACTACACGTACTATATATGTATAACTCATTTCTAGAAGTTAAAACTAGAAAAATATTAATCACGCGACAATAAATTTCTATGAAACAGTCAATTACAGTTGCATATTGAGGAGTCAATTGAAGTGGCAGGAGCTTGGAAATGGTTTGATGGGGCAGAGTACAGTCGGCAGGAGCAGCAGGCCCGCGGCGGCGGGGTCAGCGTATGAGGCAGGTGAGGCACAGCTCGGCTGAGCCAATACAATCGTCGTGACAAAAGGCACCACATTTTTTGCATAGAATCATAGCGCGTAAGTTACACACGCATGCATCGTCAGCGCCAACGCTTCGACATCTCGCTACACTCTGTAATTATTGAAATTATTGTTTTGTATTAAGTGTTTCAGGAGTACCTTTGACAATATGTTATGTAGAGGTGCTAATGACTGATAATGTTGTATTTAGCTTTCTATGGGAATGAATGAATGAAACTCTTTATTGTTCCTCTCACAGAAAATACAATTACATATACAATTATGTACAAAATGATAAAAAAAAATGTGCGGCCTTATCGCTAAAAAGCGACCTCTTCCAGGCAACCTTAGGATGGAGAGAAGTGATTAGATTTGCGTCTGGTAGAGGTGTAATAACGGTAACTATATTGGAAGAAAGTTATAAATATACATATAACATAATACAATACAAAATAATATAATAAACTTACATATACATACATATATATGAATATATATACAATCACACATACATACGACCGTAATAGTACTATTACGATAACTTACGTAAATAGTGGTTTTTGATACCTAATTTGAAGCTCTGCAGTGATTTTAGTCTTCGAACAGATGTGGGCAGTTCGTTCCAAAAGTGTCAGCGTAATCAAGTATCGGATGAAGAAGAGATTGAGACAACGCAATTTTGGTAGCAATAGGCAGGAAATTGCGAAGTCTTCGTAGTGAGCCTAAAGTTGCAAATACTTTCTTGCTAACGGCTTTTATTTGGTTTCCCCAAGTTAGACAGGTATCTATATGGATGCCTAAGTTTAGCATAAGTTTCTATGTTGATAGTCCTTGTTAATGTGTATTGTGTGAATACAACAACTTTCACATAATATGTAAGAAATAAATTTATCTAGAATAGCATCATTCTTCTTGTAAACTTCACTCTTTCCGAATGAACAGAAAAATATATAACTATTAAAAAGTATATTAAATTTATTTGATAGTATGTGCCAGTGCGTAATTCCATTGTAATAATTGTTAGATACTTACAACGTTGGAATTTTGATTTGACGGTGGAGCACTAGATGCTCGAGGCGCGACATTAGGTGTTCTTTGTACGAGAATGTACTGCCCGACATTATTAGATCTATTTTCATTTATCTGTAAAAGAATGATATTTTATTATCAAGGATGTGATTTAGACTACATACTATAAAAGACGAAGACAAGTTTATTACTACCATTTTATCCCAATTATATAAATAATGCTGAAGCGGTTCCATATGATAATACTTCAAATGTTATTTTACCTCATCAAATAAAGTTACAAGTGCATACCGGGAGCAAGGGTATTGTTTGTAATGTGGACTAATGATCCCATTGCTAACCAACTCCCTCTGGTAACCAACGTGATAAATTTCCGGTGAATTTGTCACGATGGGCTAACTGATCTGACTTCATACTCATCTTATCATCCTCCACTGGTGCCCCGCCAGCGTAAACCGCTAACGCAGGCGGGTGCACCATTCCATTATCATCCTCTAAGAACAAGAGTACATACTGACCTCATTGTGAGGCACGACCGAAACTGGCATTTGCCTGACGAGAACTGGGGGCGGCGGAGGTGCGTGGGGTGCGTGGGGCACGAGGGGGGCGCGGGCGGCGCGCGGGGGACGGGACAGCAAAGCGGGAGGTGGCCGCAGCTGGCCACGCAGCGCGTCGCGGTTGGGGCTGTTCTGGATTACGGCCTGGCATATCTGGTAGCTACGCTCGAGATTCACAGCACCGGGCGGCACTTTATTCGAACTCCGACTCCTGCAAAGAACAATCACATCTGTACAAATAAAAGAATAAAAAAAAAATCTCAAACTTCTACCTCATCTTGTCATTATTATACCATCATGGGAGTGAATCCTTTAGATTAGACGGTAATTATCTACATAATTACAATTTGCAAAGATGCTGGGTAATATACACATAAAAAACAAGGCCAAATATCATTTGGAATAATTTAATATATAATTATTTTTACTTTACCCAAATAAAATGAATATAAAATAATATCTACTAAAATATTTTGTAGGCAGAGATGTATAAAATATATTAGTAATCACAAAATGTATGTTTACACAGACATAAAATTATTATTTACTATTAATTGCAGCTGTTATTCTTATTGACAAGCCCCATGGACTGGTGATTCTGAAGTTTTGAATCTTATCAAACCTATTATTCAGTATAATGTCCCCCAATTAACATTTTATATATAATAATATATACTTATACATATTTTAAAATTTACACAGGAGTTCAATTAGTACTTCCAAGAATTTGCAATCTGCCCCATTTTTATTCCAACATGCATACAAGAGTCACAATTTCAGTAAGGAACAAGAAAGAATTAAAAAAAAATCCCATAGGAATGGAAAATAATGAATTAGTCAGTAAAACAATGTACAATAAATACCTGTTAGATTCTTTTCCTGATTTAGATTTTTTCCCTGTGGGCCTTATGCTTTGTGTCATAGTTGTAGAATTAACAGGTGGATGGGTAACTGTGGTGCTGGATACTAAGGTGGGGACAGCTTCTATCTCTTGCTTCAAACTGGTCTCCTTCATTGACTGACAACTTTCCGAAGAGTTGGACGATTCCATATTAAAGTTGGCATCCCTGTCCTCTTTATACATACAATTTTCATCATTGACATTTACATCATCCATGCTCATTTTGGAATCATCACTGACATATTTTGAACTATCAGTGTTCACATTAGAAAATGTGTGCATTGTCATAACATTTTCATTGTTTGTCCAATCATTGTCATTTTTCCATAATACAGCGGAGTTTTTTGGTTTATCTGGGTCCTGCATATTATCATCAGGATATGATACAATCTGTAAAATTATATATTTTTTTTATTTATTGTACTGTCACAAACAAGGGCCAGCCTGTCCTGCAGGATTCAGAATATAAATACATATTCACATTGATAAACTTAAAGTTAACAAGGTCTGTGTATGGACAAGTGGCTTATAACTGAACAAAAATAATATTAGGAGTAGTGAAATGTCAGATGTGTATGAATGATGGTAGGTTGTGTGCATGTAAGTAGTTTATAAAAGCTATTACGAGAGTACTACTGTAACTGTAGCACATTTTCATAACAATCATAGTTCATACTATTATAAAAATTGTTTATATGGTACATATTTATTTTTACATTTTTGATTAAATAATTTACTAACTTTATATAAAAGCAAACATATACTACACATACAATCATACATATGTGGGATAGGAAAGGCCCAGAAACATTTGGTAAATAACATATTTGTAACAAGATGCAATAACATTTGGTGTAAGACTTAAATAAATAATTACACTCACTGATGTATTAGTAACCTCCATCATGGGTAATGAAGAGTTTTGTGTCATGGGCATAGTTACAACAGCAGTCACATCTGTAATTAAAAGAGCAAATACTAGAAAATGTAGGGTATATGTAGTGTTTTATTTTGAAATAATTTTTAACTACCCATCACTGTAGTAATTTTTTATTTAAATCAACTTTTATTTACTTACTTGTTTCACTCATATATGATGATAGTTCCATTAAATTTGGATGTGGTGTGTATTTAACATCTTCACCCTCTGAAATGAAATTAATTAATTAATAACTTATTTTAAAATTTGAAAGTTAGTTACCTTCTATTAATTAATTAATAACCAATAAATTGCATATATATAACAATATATATTGGCATTATAGAAAAATTATTACAAGACTAAAAAACTTTATCTGTACAAGGGTTTTAAGGAAAATCACTGTAATCTTCAAAAGCAATAATTCATGGTCATCATGGTGACAATAAATTATATTAAAATGCCTGACTCATAATATAATTTTATTGTGTGACAGATATACTCCAGTATTTTTACAAAACATACTTACTATCGCACAAAATAAAGAAAATATTACAATTATCATATTTTATAATTCAAAACAAAAGTTTATAAAAGTACAAATTAGCATCTACAAGATCAATGTCTGAGATATTACAATACTGTTTTGAATATATATTTTTAATGTATAATCTAGCAGAATGAAACTCAGTGGCATAAGGACTTTTCCCAATAAATTTATGAAAAATTTCTCATTCTACTATTATGGTTGTATTATTTATCAAGATTTACCTTTAATCAGTAAAAAAAGGTCCATTGTTCAGAATCACAAAATTTCCGAGACATAGGTTCAAAACCTAAGCTCGGAAATTTTGTGATTTCTTTAAAATCCTGCATACTATTATCAATACATATAATAAAATTGGAGTGTCTGTTTATACGCACGTACAGCTAGTTAAGGAATAGTAATACTTACGTGGCGTTAGTATTGAGAGACCACCTGTCTCTAATATAAAAGATTCTGCATCTTTGAAATGTTCATCATAATAGTTCTGTATTATATTCTCCACGGGTCTTTCTTTTTCAACCGATTTTTCAGAGTGATTATCAGTTTTTATTTCTTGTTCTATGGGTTGTGAAGACTGACACTCCACTTCTTGTATTACTTCTATTGTTTCACTAGAAAGTTCTTGCTCAGCTTTATGAATAATATTGTCATTTGTTTCTACCTCATCTTTTAACACATTATTATTTTCTGAACCTGATTCTGTAATATGTTCTTCATTATTTACAATTGGTGAGAAGGATTTTAGTTCACATTGCAAATCAGAACTGTATTCACTTTCATTTGGAGGATCTTTATAGGTAGGTACACTTGCACTTGCAATGGATTCATTTACAATATTATTAATATTTGTCTCAATTTTTAAACTTGATATTGAGGATACACTTCTTTCATCATACTCAAACATAGGTGTACCTTTACCATCTTCACTATTTGTATCTCCGCCATCTTGACCAGGGTATAAATGAAGTTCTTCATTTGAACAGGCATCATTAGCATAATTTGCATCAGTATCTGAACAGTTGTTGCTGTCTGGTCTATGTATTTCTTCTATATCAGTATGTGATATAAAACTGGTACCATTCAATTCATAATCTTCTTCATATTTTATTCTTTTTGCAGAAGATATAAGATAATCTCCATTGTCTTCACTTAATCTTTTGGATGTTTCAGGAAAATTACATTCTGAATCTGTTGTTTTATATTCTTCACAGTCTTTGGAAGTGCTAGACTCTTCTATGTTTACCACAGTCATATTTAATTCCTGCCTTACATCAGTTCGATCTGAATCTCCCTCAGGTAGTAAAAGAGGATCAACAGGTGTTGTTGATACAGAATCATCCTGTCTTTGTACTAATGAGGAGTCTGAAAAACTAAACTCTCCCTGGCAGTCTATATAGCCCTGATTATGATTCTTTACAATTTTTAAAGGTAATAAGTCTGGTAGTGGTACAGATGGTTTTATACTGATAGTAACAGAGTCATCCACCACATCATCTGTTTTAGTTGAAGATCTTGTTACAGCACCAACAGATCTCATTCTCTTACTATTGCTTGAAGATTTATTCTTTTTAATTTTAGGAACAGTACTACTACTTGTTATAGATGCTGTGGGTCTTAATTTTATTGTAGTTTTTAAAGATGGTCTTTCAGAATTAAAATTTATTGATGATTTTTCTTTCCGTGATTTTTCTCCCCAAATAGGTTCAAAATGTTTTAACTTCCAAGGGTCAATTTTACTTTTCTCTCTTTCAGCTTCAGTCTTCATTTTTTGTTGATTTTCTGGAGTAAACTCACCCCCAGAAAGACAATCTTGCCATTCTAGGCATGCTCGAGCAAAGAATTCATTATTCAGACTAGACGAATTTAATCTTCCTGATGGACTTAATCTATCAACACTTGGTAACAACTGTCCCAATTTAAATTGATAGAGTGGTGGGAGAAGGGAAAATGTGTGTTTATTCAGTAGTGCCCTAATATTTGTATTTACTAATATTGAATCAGGAGTTTCTAAGTCAATGCACCCTTCCCTAGTTTGTTGTAATTGAGCTGCTGTTGATAGTTTCTTACCACTACGTTTTCTCGGTTTTATACAAAAGCCTGGTATACTTGCTAGTACTTCTCTCATAGTGGATGGTCTATTGCTGGATGTCTCTATACATGATGTTGCAGCAGTCCATTCTCTATTTTCAGGAGGTGGAGGAGGTGGTAAGGGTTTTACAATAATCCTCGGTAAAGGTCTCGAGTGACTTGAACTCTTTTTTCTTCTTTTAGATTGCTTTTTTGAGTGCTTGCTCGATTTTCCTTCGTCTTCTGGAATGCGTATGACGGAATACGATTGCTCGTTGTTATTACAAGTTATGTATTTACTATCCGACGAGTTATCTGAGCAGTCCATATTGCCATCCATTACGTTCACTGGCGATACATCCAGTTCCATTGTCAACTTTGTGTGCGAAAAACAGAAAATCATGAAATGAAAATGAATGTATGCCGATAGCAATCACTAATTCAACCCATTTTGTATTCTATCATAAGGGAACAACACAATACTGTTTCAATATTTATAAAACAAGCAATTAGACATCACTTTCTTTATATCGCTGAAAACAGGACAACATTATTATTTAAATATAAGTTATAATATTTCTTTGAAGAGTAAAAATTAAAATGTCACAACAACGTAGAAAATGGATTCCGCCCATAGAGTAATATATATTATTTCTCTCACAGAGACAAAGAGAAGTGTACAGAGTACATTCAGAACATTACTGAATATTATCTCCACAGGGGTTAATTTTGTCTAATGAAACTTATGACAGATTTTAGATTTTCTATGTACTATTTGAGAGTTGCAGATGCAAGCTAAGTTGTACGGTTCCCGATTGCAACTGTGAAATTATCTGCACCAAACCGCGTTTTCACTCACGTTAAATTTCAATATAAAATATAATCTATGTATTATTCTGAAGCTTACGCTATATTATTGTAAAGATTCATAAAAATCTATTCAGTAGTTTTTGCGTGAAAGAGTAACAAACATCCATCCATACTCACAAACTTTCTATATTATATTATTTTGTTAATAAGATGACGTTAATAATATTAAAAAGATGTCTAAAAAACATTATTGCCAATGGACTTTCAGTTATTATATTATACTAATATATATTTTTTAGTTTATGCTGTGGCATCAATTTCATTGTATTTCCCGCAAAGTTTTTTATTTTTAATTTAGAATACAATTATGTGGTTCCAGACTAATCAGAGAATTGAAAATACCACCTAATTTTAATATGCGGCTAATCTAGCCCGAGTGAAAAATAAAGAGAAAAATTTATTTGATATGTACAGCGAAACACAGAATAAAGGAATAGAAACAATGTATAATCATGGCACATTTTTTTCTACAGTATTCTGTTCCTTGCCGCAAATAATATCGTACCTACATATTATGGATAGTAGACTTTTGAAGAGAAATTTTTCATCTGTTCTAAAAGTATTCCATCCATTAACAACTGCGTCAAAATATACCTGGCAATTCTACTGATTAGGCAGTATGGGCAATGCTCTTCGGCTGTCCAAATTGGACGAATTTTAAAACAAAAACAATATACCTGGCAACACAGAATGACGCTACTATAGTTATTCGCTGAACTCGCTTCTATTCATTGCCGCCATTTTGATTTATACGCTGAAATTGAATGGCGTTCTTGAATCAAGTTAGCGTATTACATTTTTACTCGTGTAAAATTTAATTTTAATGTAACGTATTCAGTTTTAAAGTCCTGTTGAAATAATGGGTCGTGGCAGGTAACAATATTATTTTAAGTACTTAACCTAATTATGTTTTAACTCTACTTTCATTGTATTTTTAATTTTTTTTTTAAACTCGGTTATTGTAGTGCAATTATGCACAAATTTATCTTAATTTACATGGGATATAAGATTTTAGAAAGTTATGAACTTATGAGTGATTAATATATACTGTGACTAGTTTCATGTTGTATATTAATTATGATATTGAAATGGCGTATCACAGAAAGCATGGTGTTATAAATCGATACGTTTAATTATTTTTCCCTTTGCCGCTACATTTTCCTACGCTATAATATGTTTATTATATAGGGATCGCAGTCGTGATAGGCGTCGCAGCCGTAGTAGGAGTCGAAGTCGAAGCCGCAGTCGAAGCCCTCGATATGGCCTAGGTTCCGGTGGAGGCTATGGCGGCGGCGGCGGTGGAGGTCGAAGGAGCAACCCAGGAGCTAATCTTCGAAAACCGAAATGGGATCTCAGTAGATTAAAACCTTTTAAAAAAGATTTTTATGTACCACATCCTGATGTAGAAAAAAGACCTGATTCGGAAGTAGAAGGATGGAGAAGTGACAATGAAATAACTCTAAAAGGCCGTAACATTCCAAAACCCACCATGACTTTTGAAGAAGCGGGATTCCCTAATTATGTTATGGATGAAATCGACAAGATGGGATTTTCAAAACCTACACCAATTCAGGCTCAGGGGTGGCCAATAGCATTGAGTGGGTATGATATGGTAGGAATTGCTTCAACTGGATCAGGAAAAACACTTTCATACATTTTACCAGCTATTGTTCATATCAATAATCAGCCAAAATCAAGTAGAGGAGATGGGCCAATTGCATTAGTATTAGCCCCTACAAGGGAATTAGCTCAACAAATTCAAGAAGTATGTGACAAGTTTGCAAATACTTCAAAGATTCATAACACCTGTCTCTTTGGAGGGGCACCTAAAGGGCCTCAGGCTCGAGATTTAGATGCTGGTGTTGAAATTGTCATTGCCACTCCAGGGCGTTTATTGGATTTCTTAGAAAGTTCAAGAACCAATTTAAAAAGAACCACATACTTAGTTTTAGATGAAGCTGATAGGATGTTAGATATGGGTTTTGAACCTCAAATAAGGAAAATAATTGAACAAATTCGACCTGATAGACAAACACTTATGTGGTCTGCTACATGGCCACGAGAAGTGCAAAGTTTGGCTTCAGAATTTTTGAAAGATTACCTACAGATCAATGTTGGATCTTTACAATTGGCTGCTAATCATAACATATTGCAAATTATTGATGTGTGCATGGAATATGAAAAGGAAACCAAATTGAGTACACTTCTTAAAGAAATAATGGCAGAGAAAGAAAACAAAACAATTATTTTTATTGAAACCAAAAGAAGAGTTGATGACATTACCAGAAAAATGAAGAGAGATGGGTGAGTAAAACTTCCACTTTTGTTTTAAAGTACTGGAGAGCATTTTAGGCAACCATATAAATTGAAATACATCTTGCTATATAGCTAATATTATCAAATAATAAATCTATATGGTATGATGTATTTGAATGTAAAATTCAAATACATCATACCATATAGATTTATTATTATCAAGTATAATTTTAAAACTGTGGTATGATTACAGGGATATCTTTATTAATTTATTTTCAATTATGAAAAGATTTATGAATGGTATAATGGAATAGTTGACTATTAATTTTCAAATACTAGGCATACCATTGTATTTAATTTTGATACTAAAAATAATTGAGTCAACAAGTATAATTTAATAAAATGTAAATGAATAAAAACATAATTTACTTATAGTAATTTGATTTGATTTACAATTTATTTCATGTTTTTATTCATATAGATGGCCGGCAGTGTGTATTCACGGTGACAAATCTCAGAATGAACGTGATTGGGTGCTGCAAGGTAAGAAAATAAATTTAATTTAAAGGTAATGCAGTGTTGACTATGTATGCAAACTATTTGATTTATTTATTATTTCTTATTTTTATCACCTTTTACAATACAGTAGTCGCTGACAGTTGTATCCAACTTATGAAACATGTAATTTCATAAAATATCTAGAAAAGTAATGATATCAACGAAGCGGTGTTGTTAGCGAGAAGCGGTATCGGACTGCAGACAAAAGCGATGGGTGTGGCGTGAGCCCGTAGCGATTGAACAGTGTCTGAAGAGATGTCTGCATGTGCAGGCTGTGGAGAGCTGCGGCCGGGCGGCGGAAGCGGTGGCACGCGCGCGGCCGTCGCCGTCAAGCGAGGGCGGCGGCGGCGAGGCGCCTGCGGCCGCGTCCGCTCCGTGCCGCCTCTCGTTGTCGGGGCTAAGCCCTATGCACTCTGACTTGCCACCGCGGCCAGTCTGAGCCGCTTCTCGCGTGTTCAGCGCGGCGAGGCTCGCCCCCTCGCCGGCGGCAGCGAACGCACAATGCGCCGTTTGCCGTTACGCAACGGCACAGTGGCGCCGGCGCGGATCGACCGCGTCCGCACTCTACGGCTCGGGGTTCCTCTCCTCTCGCTCTAGATTAATGTTTTAAATGCGTTGTGTGCAATTCGACACACTTGTCCTGAAGGAATCAAATTAATTAGTAAGTTGTATTAAAAAATAAAAGTAGTGTTGGTATAAAACATCAAACGGATCTCGCCCTTCTTAATTACAGTTATAAGAGATTGAAATTCCTAATAGCGTTTTCTTATTTGTTCATAAAAAGATATTAATGATTATATACTTAAAGATAGGTACATATTTTTCTAGTTTTTTTTATGTGTATGTATTTTATTATTATTGGTATATGATTTAAATCGAACGCTCTAAGCTTCTCTCGATGTTGACAATGGGGAGTAGAATGTGAGGTTGCTTAAAAGAGTTATGTGATTAAAGAGTTATGTGATATGTACATCAGTGTAGCTCCTACATAATAATTGTTCAATAAATTAATTTATGTGTTAGGAATTGCAAACATTGACATGATTGCAAGTTGTTGTTAGTTATATAGGGCTGTAATATATAAGGCAGTTTGCTTTTCTAGCAATCCTGTTAAAACATCACAGAACAACATCATATAGAAAGTATTATAGGATGATAATGGTTTCAGTATTCGAGATTTGAAAATGGCAAATTTTTGAAAACAATAATTTTCTGTCAAAAATTGTTTTTAGACACATCACCTCATAAGTTATTTTCCTTGTTTTTAAGTAAAATAGGTTGATTTTCCATTTACATTTTCAGTGGTGTAGCAGTTCATGAAGAATATACAAATAAAGGAACAAACACTTTTACATTAAATGAAATGAATGATCTAAAAATATAGACTAAACTACAGATTTCTCATATAATTACTTTATTTCAGATTTTCGAAGTGGAAAAGCGCCCATTCTTGTAGCTACAGATGTTGCCGCTCGAGGCTTAGGTATGTTATTGAGTAACCTCTTCAAAGTATTATCACAATAATATGACCTATTATTACTATTATAATATGATATTTTATTTGTGTTTCAGATGTTGATGACGTAAAATTTGTTATCAACTTTGACTATCCCAGTAATTCAGAAGATTATGTACATCGTATCGGTCGAACTGGCCGTACAAATAAAACTGGAACCGCCTACACATTTTTTACTCCCTCGAATGCTGCAAAGGCTGGAGATCTCGTGTCAGTTTTAAAAGAAGCTAAGCAAGTTGTGAACCCGAAGTTGCAAGAGCTTTCGGAACGTGGTGGTGGCGGTGGCCGACGTAAGTATTTCCCAGTTATAATGTATCATAGGAAAGGTTGTTTGCATGTAAATATATAACAAATATATTTTGCAGGTCACCGTGGACGCGGAGGCCGTTACCGGCGCGGGCGCCGCTCCCGCTCCCGCTCGCGCTCGCGGGACCGGGACCGGGACCGCGACCGGGACCGCGACCGCGACCGCGACCGCCGGCGCCGCACTCGCTCACGATCTCGATCACGCGATCGTCGTCGTCGCCGACACAGTTCGTCCAGATCATCAAGAAGCAAATCATCGAGATCCTCAAGAAGTCATTCGCGCTCCCGTTCCCGCTCACGTAGCCGTTCACGTTCAGGCAAGTGCAGCCCTATGAAGGATGCTACGAATACAGGGCCTCAGACTACCTCCCAACCACTTTTGCCCACGCCGAAGTCGCTGCTACCTACTCCTATTGGTCCACAACTCCCATCTCACAATGATAAATTAAATATAAAACCCTCCGCTCCAGTTAATAACACTGAACAACATTCTAGTAGAGAACAAACATTAGATAATAACACTAATCTTGGCAATAATGCGGACTACAATCATCAACAACAACAACAAACACAGATTCCATCTCTAATGGCGATAAATCCTCAAATGAATATGTGTGTTCCCCCACCAATGAATGGTACAGGGTTTGTCATGCCTCCATTCTTTCCTGCGGATCAATATGGTATGATGATGCCATCATTCGCCGGTCCCATGCTTGGAGGTTGGTCAGCCCCTCCGCCACCTCCTCCTCCTCCTCCTCCGGACTCCGGTAGCGCGACTCATGGGCAACGTGGCGCGGGAGAAAGTGGTCTCGAGTCAGATTCCAGAAAGCGAGGCCCTCGTTCTGGTGGGCTTGGCGCATCCAGTTACGGCTCAGGCGGAGGCCTGGGCTCGGGCGGCGGTCTGGGCTCCGGTGCCGGCCACGGCTCTAGTGGAGGCCTGGGCTCCGGTGGAGGTCTCGGCTCTGGCGGAGGTCTTGGTTCAGGTGGAGGCCTCGGTTCAGGCGATGGCCTCGGCTCAGAAGGTGGCCTGGGCTCAGACGGCGGGCGCTCTGGATCTCGCTCGAGAGGTCGAGATAGGCGCCGTCGTGGAAGAGGACGGGATCGCGACGACTATGACTCGGAGACACCGAGTAATGGTGGCCTTGGGTCTCAAGGACTTGGAGGCCACGACGGCGGCGGTCTGGGTTCAGCTCCCAGTCATGGATATGCCTCTGGCGGTCTCGGCGTACCTCACGGGGGCCTATTGCCGCGCATGCTTCCTCAGAACGGTGGCGACTACATGGGATCTCAAGCCGCCAACTTCACCGCTTTCGGCTCGTATGGCTCCAAGAACAATCAAAGGAATAATGATCCAGGACTGGTTTCCAATGATAATTATGGTGATGTTGGCTACAAAAACGTTATGGATTATTATGGCCCTCAAAATATGGGGCCAGGCAGACCGTTTGGAGTTGGTTTAGATCAATGTGGTCTAAATGGTGCGCAGGCAAATGGCTCCGTGGGGTACAATTATGACCGCCAGAGGAATCACCAGCGGTGAATAGGAATGAGGTTTGTTATGTTCAAACCAATGCAAACTCACATCCTTAACATTCACACATTTTTATGTCTTGACTAGATGTACCACCCGTAATCATGTTTGTTTTTTTGTCAGTGTCATGTACTGTGTTATGGTTGGTATATCGTTCATGAATCTTTACATTAATGTACATAATATGTGACAACCAATCTAGCAATGTTGAATTGATTTATGTTATTTCCTTACAGAGAATGGATACAATGGGGACTCCCGTCGTCGCAGAAGGCGCTGAACACGAAAAGTTAGGACCTAAGATAAAAAACGCTATAATGATAGAATTGAGATTTTAAATTTCATTCCAAGTATGTATTTAATTTAATTGCCATAATATTGTGACAATGAAAATAAGTAGTAAGCAAGGTTTATTGTTTCTGTCATTACATCTGTGTATTATTACGATTATTACTCGTGTATACATATTTTTTTACAATTATTCCTGTGTATTGCTCGTGATTACCTTTTGTCGATTTAGATATGAAAACCCTGTGTATTATTGAATTACTAAGTTTAAATTCTGAGCTCGTCGCACTCGTGTAGTTTAATAGTCACAAGAACAATTTTGTGGTATCTTTATGATACTGTCTGATTAATCATTTATTATTAAATATTGTAATTTATGTACGAAATTACAGTATAAGTATCATCAATAGGTTTAACTATTTCGTACAGAAAACAATGATTCATATAACAAATGTTATTTTTGTGGATCAAACTTTAATAAACCGTGTAATGTAATCATACAGTTATTATTAACAGCGTAATTTTTAAATTATCGGTCATATACATTAAAGTTTTATAGAAACTTGTAATTTATAGAGATTGAATATAATAACTGAAAATAAGTGGTGCCACTTATTTTTATGTTGTCTGATAAATTCAAGGATTGTTTTAAGAAATAGAGTTTCAAAAAGCTCTGTTGTCCGATTTATAATATATTAATACTTGGGTGCTCGAACAGTTTTTGCTCACAAATTATATTTCCTTTAAATTCAATTGATTGCTGAGGTGATTAATTTTATCATTTAAAATTTCTTACTTCCTAGACCTTTCTAAAACGTAAAACATGAATATAATTCATAATAATACATTGTTATTATAATATAGACTTACTTATTCTGTGTAGTATTAATTATTTACTGCATAATGAAACTTAGGACAGACTTGTTTCGTGGAAATTTTTATATAGAAACGGATGCAGTATATATAATTTTGTTTTAATGTAAATTTCGTCTTTTTGTATGTCAGAAGTATTAAGTAGATACTCTATTATTGTGCACAGAAATTTGACTAGCTGCTAATCTCATAGAAATAATAATTATATACTTGAATAAAAGTTTTACAACGACATTCATACTTCTTTTATTTTAACATATCGACTCATATGCGGCAGTTTACATCAAAATTTATTATTGTGGAATGATGGACCTATGTGCGCTAACTGCAGGTATGGTTTCTAGAAAAGACCATATGGATGTAGATCTGATATGGTACATTGCTAGCAATGTATGGGTCCGATACAATTATCAACAATATTCTTCCCATCTCTCTCGGAGTCTCATCCGTTACAATCGTGAACAAATGCTGCTTGTAGGGACTTTTTAGGGATTTAAAGTTATTGTATATTTAATATTTTGACTAATTAATTAATGTTAGTTTGTATCACAAGAGTAGCACGAGTAACACGCAAGTTTCTCGTTCTTGTGATGGGACAGCTTCCCAATGAGCGGTAAATTAAAAAAAAACTAACTATTCAAAATTGCTTATATTGTTTATTTGGATAAAGGATTTAATACTCCTGATAATAATAATGAGGACTGTAAATAAAAAATTGTTTAATTGTAATTCACGTGAATTCAGAAATAACTAACACCTACCGAGGTAGATATTGTAAAGTCTTCTGTGTCTCGAATATTTCAGAGGCCAATTAACTTGTTTCTTGAACGATGGCAGTGAAATGAAAGAATAAGGAGGCATAATATCATAGTCCTCCGAAATGGAAACGCATAAGTACTATTACAGGGTAAAGGTGCCACATGATAATGTAATGCTGTTTATATACGACACGGTTACATTTACTGGTGGGTTATCGGTTTGTTTGCAATTACATAAAAAATACAATAAAATAAATATTTTACCTGATATATTATTCCATTACCGACGAGTATTGGACCACAATGCCTATGCTGGTTACCAGGACAACAGGTTTGTTATAATAAGTAGTTACAACAGTTTAAATTAATAACATTGAAACATCCAATATAATAATGAGTTTTTGTGTGGACTTGGTGTCTGAAGATTCTTTTTATGAAAATATTACACTGGGAGTAACTAAATTATTGGGTTAGTGTAGACTGAATATTATGTGTGTAGTAATTATGTACTTACTTAAAAGAAATTTCACCAGTCAAACAAGCTTAATAAAACATAACAACTTATATTTTAATTATAATACTTATAAATCTAGGACTACACTCATTGATACAAATTAGTTTTATGTTTTGGTAAAAATTTAAATCCATCTGGAACTGGTCCTAATAACATTTCACTAATTTTTATCCAATCTACACAGTTTGCTGATCCCATCAGTGTCTCCAGGTCATCTCTACCAAAGTATGTGGGTGGTCTCTCATTAATTTTTTGAGGTGGTCTTTCTAAGAGTCCCACTGGAACATAACGATACAAGAAGGATAGCCATTCTAATAAAAATCTTCGAGTATTCTCAACTCCTTGTACATCTGAACCCCAATGTTCAAGCCCATAATTTGTGTATTTCTTGATAATTTCAAATCTCTCTTTACTACTTATATCCCAAAGTCTCTGTTCTTTAATCTCTGTAAATACCCAAGGCTTAATTAATGCTCCGCGGCCAATCATTACACCTTGAATTGATGGTGCCATTTCCCTCCTTTGTACATAATCTTCATAATTTAAAATATCCCCATTACCAAAGACAGGGCAAGGGGCAGCAGCTTTAGCACAAGTTTCAATATATTCCCAATCCGCTGATCTAGTGTACCTTGCTTCTCTCGATCTTCCATGTAGACATACCATAGAGACACCTGCTTCAACAACTTTTGGAATAATGGTGTGGGCAATTTTTTTGTTTTGATAAACACCTGTTCTCATTTTAATAGTAAATGGTATATTAAGTAATTTTGAAGCACATGTTATGGAAGCTTGAAGTGTAGGCAAACGGTGCATCATTCCACTGCCACCTCCTTTCTTGTAAATTAAGTCAATAGGACACCCAAGATTTAAATCTATAAAGTCAAGGTGAGCATTTTCTTGCAAAAGCTGTGCAACTTTCGTTATTATATATGCATTATTTCCGCATATTTGTGCCCCAAAAATATCTTCAGACTCATGCCGTTTTACTAGTGCCCATTCTTGTTTAGTACCTTTAAGCAAGGATTCACACAATGCCATTTCACCACATGTAATGTCTGCACCATACTGTTTACAAATTCTTCTGAAAGGTAAATTACCCACAGTAGTGAGTGGACTGAGATATAATTTATTTTCCCAGTTTATGGTTTTCTTTTCCCTGGGAAGAAGTTTGATAATATCTTCATCAGTAATGGTACCACTGAATTTTTTTTCTTTATCTACAGTATTTTCCGTAGTAGTATTTTCAAGGTCACTTGAAGTCTTTTCTAAAGATTTATTTCTTGTATCCATCAATTTAACAAGTTTTTCAGCAAAACTTAAATCATATGTCCTCTTTTGGAGCTGTATTTGAAGTGTATGTTGCAGTGTGTTTTGGGTATCCTCTTTCCATTTCATAAATTTTTCCTCATTGACTAAATTGTAACCTTCGGGCGTTATGTGTTCTGAACCAAACCGGCAAGCTATACCCCTAGGGCATTTACCACGAATATCAAAAATATGACACTTTTGACTGATATCTTTAGGTTTTGTAGTTAAATAATCACTAGGATTATGTATAAATTTACAGTTTGTATACTGGCAGGGTTTTACTTCATCCGAACATTTTACATCCACAATGCTAGGGCAAGGCTTGTCTTCTTTGTTATCATGAAATGTTTTTGGTCTCGCCTTGTTCTGACCCCTCTTTTTATGTTTTGTCCATATATTATCAGTATTATTATTTTTTGATAGCTTATTGTCACCATTATTATCCTTGCAGTCGCCAGTATCGTCAAGTTTTCTTTTTATTGAATTAGAACTACTTTCTGTATCAATATTAGTTGTCCTCTTTACTATATATTCTTCTTTAATTGCACATACTCCGTCGCTTATATTAGTCATAATTATAATAAATTTATTAGATTTATCTAACAATTTTGTTCGCAAATAACATAAAATTAGAGGTTAGAATTTATTTTATTCCGGCATAATGTGTTGTCTTGCGTCAAAGTTACAATTTGCATATAATTGACAGTGACAGCAAACGTACTAACGTTTTTTAAATGTAGATAGAACTATTAATGAACTTTTTTTACTTTACCTACCATCAAGTTAAATTTTTTAATATTGATGTATATGTTTGACATCCCTTGTCTGAACAATTAGGGGTATACAAAGTCGTCTCCCAAATAATCGTTTACAGAACAATAGGCTTTGTTTGGTCAGTATTTCTTAATATATTTTTTAAACTTATTAAAAGCTGCCCATTCCTATAAAAGATCTGTCAATTTTATTAATCAATTGAGCTAGTCGTGTATGTTTTGGATAGTCTTTATTATTTGCTCAGTTGTTCTTTTATCGTATTGGTCAAAACTTATCGATTAAGGATATTTTTTTTTATTAAAATTATGTCAAGTACCGTGTATAATTGTGAAAGAAATCTTCTATACATTTTTAATAGTAATATTTAATTATTAGTATCAACAATACATGTTACATTTATGGCTAGGTTTGGCATTACTTATTTATATGACATAATGTTACTATCAACTACTATATAAGCTTGCATCTTAGCGTAGGATCGTTTATTGGGGGCGGCTGCCTCCCCGTCGACATCGCAGCCTTGAGAAAGTGCGCGCGTGTACCCGCGCTACTTCTTCTGAAGAAGAGTAGTGACCCGTCTACTGAGATGGGTTCCCGCCGTCGGAGCTGCGGAAGAATGCCCGCGCACACCCGGAGCTCCGGCAACAAGCAGTAGAGGTACACCTTAGGGTTTTAGCCGGTAGAAGTCCGGCAGTACCCGCTCGTTACCCCTGGAGCGGGCGGGCCTCCATGACGGATTTCCCCAAGAAAAAAAAAAAAAAGGATCGTTTATTGAGTTGAGTACTAGTTATATTGATTACTTGCTAAGTTGACCACTGTAGCCAGTAGTCGCACAGTCGCACATTGCGTTCACCCCAGTATCGACAGTTTAAAACGCCTCTGACTACCTCCATTTTGGGATTATGCTATGAATGTATATTATTATTACCTACGGGTATATTACATTAATATACTAAACTCAATACATACAAGTTTTATTGAAAATATTGTTAATTAAAATTCGTGTTGTTTTATAATTTCTTACTATCAAACATGAGTATAAGTACTATAAGGCATTGTATAGTGTAAATAATGCATTTTCTATTTATCTTTTCTTACAGAATCTGATCCCCGCATTTGCAATGTGAGTGTCGAACGTAGGTCCCCTTGCGATCGCGTAGCTCTTTCAACATGGGAACAAAGACATTCTGCAGTACTTCCAGAAGATCTTAGAAATTTTTATGCTTCAAGTGATGGTTTCCAATTAACTTGGCACTATAAATATTCAGGTAAGTCTATAATAATTAAAATTCAAACTTATTCACATAGGACCTTTCGTACTCTTGTGCAAGGCATCTTTTTTTACTTTACCTACCATCAAGTTAATTTTTTTAATATTGATGTATATGTTTGACATCCCTTGTCTGAACAATTAGGGGTATACAAAGTCGTCTCCCAAATAATCGTTTACAGAACAATAGGCTTTGTTTGGTCAGTATTTCTTAATATATTTTTTAAACTTATTAAAAGCTGCCCATTCCTATAAAAGATCTGTCAATTTTATCTAGACGTAGTTTGCATGAGGACAGCAAGTTTATACTTGTACCTAACATCACAACTTATTCCAAATTGTATAAGCGATCGATCCCTCATCTAATTCAAAGGAGGATTGAAATTACGATGGCCTGAGCCGAGGTTCGATCCCCTACTGGTACCTACCCTTAGACTAAAGTTGTATCCGCGTTCTTTAGAAGTTCTTCCGCTGGTTTGGAGTGACATCTGTGTTTGTCCCTTATCGTCCGGTGAAGCTATAAAGACCAACGAAATATAGTATAGTAATAGAATACATTCAAAAAAGCTATACGTAATGCTTCTATAGAAGTATCTAACATTGTTATTTGAATACCAAGTCTATCCGGTATAAGGTACTATAACTATTTACTTATGAACCTATATATATTTGTCTGCAGCCGATGAAATTCTTCCGGTTGGGTCTATTCGAGTGAATTCGTTAAATGAATTGTGCTTGTCACCAGCCTTGAAGGATTTGTTGGATTTTTCTATGACTAGACAAAATAGCGGCCCGCGACCGGTACTAAACACAAAAAGTAAGGTGTTCGAATTGGACTCGTGCCGGACTATTGGAAAAGTAAGTATCATCTCTATAACACGTAAGTTCACAAGTTGAAAATATTATATAGGTATCGCTCACACAATTAATGGATGGAGTATTAACTATTTACATACATAGGTACCTAATACTTAGTGACTCGCTGAACTTCGTCTGGTCCTCTTTTTCATTCCAGCCTAGCTCCTAGTGCTCGTAACATGATGTTATTTATTATACTCTTCCTCCAACGACAAATGGGCTATCTAGCAGTAAAAGAATTTTTAAAATCTAACATCCAAACAACCAAAATCTAGATACAATTCATTACGCGTTTATAATACTACGTCTGAGTCCGCATTTAAAACGAATAACTAATTCCTTACACGAAGGTTGTTTACATATGTATTAGTGTTAATATTTTCTTTGTTTAGGTATGTTTGATACACACTGGTGGATCATGGTCAGTATGGCTAGCAACTCGCGAAGGGGCATGGGGTTGGCTGGCAGATTCTTTCACATTATATTTTAGAATGGCGTTAGTTCACCTGGGTTTACCCGGTTGGCAAGCAATATTCGCTAATCTGCCCCTTATACCCTGGGCCGAGGTATAGTATCTTTGTGTATCTAATATAGTAAATAACAATAATCACCTATGTAGTCAAAAGCTATTCGAATAAGTAGTATGAGTTCAAGTTAACCGAAACATACATAGAAAAAATTATTTTTATAATACCTGTTAGGAACACTACAAGTTGTATATACTAATTATATACAAAAAATAGCCAGGCCATTATTCATTAATATAAATGGTTGTATTGTGAGAGGATCAAAACCGCGACTTGAGGGCGTGGGTTATATAAGCATGTATTACCTATAATTATAATACTATATTCAAGATTTTTATATGACACAGAAAGAGAATGATCGACTCGTAAATGGCTAGACAATTATGTTGTTCCATAAAATTATAATACTGTTAGAATATTGGATATGCGCACCGTAATATATTTCTACATATAAATAATATTTCTATTGTAGCAACTATTTCTTTTACTGGCACCGCATTTGCTAGACAAGATTGATCAAGAAAATAACACTATAGTTGTTGGAAGCGAGACTGGATTGAACCATATTGATCCAAACATATTTAAAACTTCAGCCCGCCATCATAAAACTACTCGACAGGCAAATCAGTAGAAACTAAATGCGAGATAACGAAATAATTTTATTGGGATGCCGAAGAACATAGTGTAGTTTAAATTAATAGCAAAATACATAAATTGAATAGCAAAATTATTAAGTGAACAGTGAGCGATAAATTAAAGCACGTTAGGTACATAATGTATAATATATTGAATAATTTCGACACAATAAAATTTATAGCTAAATAACAAAATAATATGGACGGAATGTGAGATTCAATGATGTTTACAACTATATGATTAAATTAACAAATCTAACAAGCAAGTTCCTGAATACAATATTGTATATACATAAATTGCATTATTATTTAAATTATTTAAAAAACACAAGAGTGTTCAAATCTTATTTAATAAAGTTATACAGCGTTCTTACTCTTAATGTGATTATATTTATGTGATGTAATGCAACAATTGTAAAAGTATATATATATATATATATGTATATATATACTTATTTGAGATGTGTACGTGCAAAGTAGGTAACATAATTATTACATGTCTAATTTACTACAGATAGCATTTTTATTTAAATAACTTATTATTACAAACGAGTCAGAATTGCATTTTCTAAACCTTGTTAATTCTATTGCTTTCTCATAATTCTGCAATTTGATACAGGCACCAAGAAGGCTCATAAAGCATTGATTCTGTATGCAGCAAATATGAATAGTACTTATAATTTGAAAGAAAATCCTTACGATCCACCTTAAAATTAATATGTACTTACATCCGATTGGTAAAAATTAAAATAAAAAACATGAAAAACTAATAACTCTGCAGAATAACGAACGTTTTCGTTCACGAACATATTTCTATAATTTTGTGAACTCACGTAGAACGTGTCATGTTGGTGACCACTTATTATAAACTACTTCATTGAGAAATACAAGAATAAAATCGTCTTTATTACATAATACCTATATTTTAATACCATTCTTCTTTTACACACTCTAGTTCTACAAATTCGTACAAAGCCTATATAATGATTTATTAGGTGGGTTACGAGATGATAAATTATGAAAAGACTTCAGAAGCATATGACATTAAGTCTGTAGCATGTTTAAGACTTAGAACATTATAACCATAATAGGAAAGTTTAGATCGTAATTTCTAGAAAGGAATGATGTACACAATACAAACATTAGCAAGAAATCTGTACATTCTCAAGCACCTATATAACAAATTATTACTATTAGGTCGCATACACAATAAATATATATAACGGCAAATTATCATTAAAAAACATCTACAAAAAACTAAGAATAAATATGGGATAATTATAAAATAACCTGTTACATGTCACCAAGTCGTATATTAGCTTGTGATGCTATACAAATTATAAGAATAGTTATTCTTATATGTAGTGGATTTAAGAATAGCTAATAGATTTAAGAATATTACATATTTGTGTATATTGCTTTTATGGCGTAATTTATTGTTTGCATTATGCTTTACTTATTTTTTACATATGTATTTTTTGTCTTTAAACGTCAATAAATTATATTCCATAATATAAACTCAGTACTTGAACAAAGAATTACCTACCTAAAGGCGGTCTCGTATTGTAAATAATGCTCTAAGCTTTAATATTATAAATAAACTATGTGACTACAGTCAGAAGATTTCATTGTCGTTCTATGTATAAATTAAAATACATAAAGAAGTAAAATCATACTATTATATGACCTTAACAAGCAAGATATATCGGAATAGTAATTCCGATTTTTTATAACATTTTTCAGTACCTACAGTCAGAAGATCACTCTGTAAGATAATGGCTACTGTAATAGTAGTATTAATGTTAATTATAAAATATCAAATGAAAGAAGTATTTTAATATAGTTTGTGATATTTCAAGTTGGGCAGGCGGCATTACCGAGATGCTGGAAGGCATATCCGCACCTAATTATACTGGTGCAATTTTACCAGTATCGTAGATCTGATAAGTTGATTGATATTAAAATGCGTTTTCGTCACGTTAATTATAATACAATAGATTATATAACAAAATAATAAGTAGTAAAAGTAAGAATACACTAATGAGTACTAAAATATACGGAGATAAATGTAAATATAAGACATTTGCTAAAGCAGTATTTTATCACAGTTAAAAAAATATAAATAGGCGAATATTAGCATATAGATTTGTATAAGTTAAATAAGTTTTAAAAGAATAAGATTCAAGAGCATTTATATCGCCATGCTCTACCTAACATCAATACGACGAATACTTTATTAAATATAGTGACATTAACTTTTTAATTTCAGTAGCCATTATATTAATAGTAGTTGCTGTACGTTTAAAACAATTTCTCTCCTCGTCACCGTCTATGATATTCGCATGATTCCACCCGCACTTTGCATCTTCTTTGAACCAATTCAGAATCAGTGATAGGCCTATAGCTCAAATGCATCATGATATTTATCTTAATAATATTATATTTTATGTATAATAAAAGATTGTCTTAATATATCCTAAAAATGACCCGCACTAAACTTATTATAATAAATTCTAAACAATATATTTTTGAGTTGCGTTATATTGACTATAAGAATTTTGTAGACAAAATTGTTATTATAATTTTAACTAATATTTTATGGTATAATAACAACGTTAAATAAATCAATCTATTGCAATTATTACATTGCTAATATGCTGATATACAGTTGGTAGTCGTCAGGTTGTTCCAACACAACTTATGTTCTGATGAACTTCGACGCATTCAGTTGCTACACCCCGCCTTCTTTGGAGACGGGCAACCTGATCCTGAACCTGACCCTATCCAACAACAATGAACATACTAACACTCATCGGTCAAGGCCGTAAATTAAAAACAGGATACAATGATAGTAAGCACACATTAAGAACAATATTGTAAGACTTATGTTATAACATTATCATAGTAAAAGTAGTTACATAACACATCACCTGATCCTAAAAATACGTGTATATGTTGTAGTGCCACAATTTGAGCAATTGAAGTGGCAAATATAATTTGTAGCATTGTGGATTGCGTAGTCATTGTCTTTGTAAAGCTCTGAACAGTAAAAACTATAGTAATTCCTAATATTAATTTACTAATTTAGTGCGGGAAGACTGTGAATACTTACTTATCTACTTATTCTATGGAGCTGCCGAACATAGTAACGTGGCGTTTGGGGCGTTTTATGAGGTTTAGCTCCCTAGTTTAACTAAAAATGCATCGCTTTGCCTCCTAAAACATTGATAGAGTGTATTGATTAGAATAATGAATTAGAGGCATCAGACATTTTCTATAAAAGCTAGCGACTGCTCCTTATACATTAAAGCCCTTATTCATAAAATCGTATTAAATTAATTTTAGCTATTGCGATACTACTTTGCCATTCCCTAAGAAAAAGATCTCGTAAAGAAATGACAAAATAGTTTTACATTTGAAAGTTAGTAGCAGCATTGTAATAGTTAAAGGAATTTGTAAATTTTTGTTTTTCTGAACAAGGGAGCAAATCTTAAGAATCGTTCTTAATAATTGTAAAAGTTAATAAATCCAGCTGACAGGCACCCACTGATGGTCGGTAGATAGTGAGTGAAGCGCATCCATTATTTTGGAATATGTAGTGTCCATGTTATTATTCGTGATCACTAGATCGATGTATTTTTCATATTGGCGCTGTATACGGGCGCTGTCTTCTAATGTTTGCTTCATGTCCTCCTCCTAACGATAGAATGGCACGTTTCGATTAAATTAATTAATTATTAATCCATAGTAATATTGTAAATCTGCTTTTTAAAAACAATTTCAATAAATCCCAAAAAATTACAATAATTTCATATACAGTTAAGATACAAACACAAACGTGATTTTGCTAAGGCTTTATAAAAAATTTTAAAATTAGAAAAAAGTTTTGCTTAAAAGTAGTTTGACTAAGACTGGTATACGCAGTTTTAAGCTTATGTCGATTACGTAAAATACAGGACAGGAAACTAACACATGACAACCAATGCAAGGCTGTTAGAAATAGTTCTATACATACGAAAGTTAAACCATGCTCATAGTAACAATTCAACGGTTCTTACCTCATACAGCGACGCGAGTGACTCCAGAGTACGGGCGCGCCGAGAACTGTAGCGAATGGAGCTCTGCCGGTCGAACTACACGCATGCGCACAATACATCAATAACGTAAAAGTATAATTTAAAACATGCACGAATACATAGTCTACAGTACATTAAATAAAGGAAGTAATTCCTGTAAAATAGTCTTTCAATTCACGAGTGTTTGTGGTATAACGATTACACACGTTTAAATGTGCGTGCACACACTGCGTGTTGTAGGCACGCACGCTTTGTAACCATAGATATAATCATTCATATATAATTACAAAGAAAAACGATACGCAAAATATGACAAAGTAAATATAACTGCAATGTGTATTATCCTAACAATCGATGATTAAATAAGTAATTAAGATGTCAAATCATATATATTAACACGCGCCATACTGCATTTATATCAATAAAGGTCTTTAATCTTTCATTATAGCCCCTGATGCCCTTTAACTCTGAACGTGCTACAAATAAAATTATTACATATCTATTATTGTTTTGATATTGATAAACAAATCCACACTGTGTGCAATTTATTGCTTTGGTTCACATAATTAAGTGAATTATCGGAATTAGTCACAATTGATAGTAAATAAATATAGACAGAAAGACAGCTAAAAGATTAGTTTAGTAAGACCATAATTATAATTGACATGATCCACCATATTGGATGTTTCACACAAATTGTATGTATAAAACCATGGAAATGTTATCATCATTATCATTGCCTTGCCTTTATCCCATCATTTGGGGTCGGAGTAGTATGCCCTGTTCTTCCCCTGATCTCTATTAGCTATCATATCTGGGGTTATATTTTATATATAATTATCTTTCACAATACCATATAAATATGACACCGACAATATAATAAAATTAGATTTTTTTAATGTAATTGTAATGGTAAACGAGCTGAAAGCCAATTGATGGTAATCGGTAACCAAACTAAGGTTGATACACATGAATAGAACTACGAACATCACGTTATCATGTGACATCCACGATACCACTCATGTGTTGCCATTCCAGAATACTCTTCTGGATGTCATGCCTCTTATCTTGTAACGCAACTATTTGATCTGCATCCTACAATCGATACACGACCTTAAAAAACAAGCTTCTCGGCGACTGAAATAGGCGAGACTGAGGTACTACGTAGACGACGTTTAAATTCTTCATCTTATTATTTCCTGCATTAAGTAACGTGAAATAAATTAAAATATGTTTTGAGAAACCCTTGGGTTTTTCATATTGTATACTAAACTTCTAATACGAGACACCTGTGCGTCTCTATATATTAGCATTTATTATAAGCTTTTTTGTAGTTACACTTCAAATGTGTAAAATGATTAATTAATGCTAGAATTATATATCGAAAGCAGTCAACGATTCTACAGAAACATAATTTTAAATAATACAAATATCAAATGGATAACTATTTCTAAGAACTACAAATCACACAGTACTATACTACTATCACAAGCATCCACCTAAGATGCAGATTCACAGACTATAAATGTATATAAATTAAATAAAATCATAAATCTAAATTATACGCTTATTTCTAAATTTAATAAACATTGATGTCATATGATATATTTGTACCTATCTATAGAAATTATAAGAATTATAGGCTTATAAGATATATTAGTATTTGTATCCTGGACAGAAACAACAATTCTGCCAAGATTAAGTGAGATTCTATACAAAGCTTACTTTGGGTGGAATTACAATAACTAATTGTTTTTAAAATGAATTAAGTTATTTATATTTTTTTAGGGACCCTGCTTTAGGTAAAACAGAGTTATATTGGAAAGTAAAATAAATAAAATTTACCTTGCAATAAAACATTCTGATGGGAGTTCTAAAAGAATCTTTGTGCTATGCAACCAGTGTAATAATTAAGGATTATTTACTTTCTTTCGCTTAAAATACTTATTCAATTTAGTTGGGGCCCATATTAGGTGTTGACGAGAATATATATTTTGGTGAGTCCTTTATAAAATTATTAGAAGCTCAACAAGAAATATAACTTACGGTGAGGTTCCGATTAGACGCGTATGTGAGGTTGCGCAACTGTTCGATGCCCGGCGCCGCCAACATCACCACGTACGGCAGGAACTCGCTGCTGTTATGAAGCAGCTTCAGGGATTGAGGAGCGCAGTCCAGCACACACATTTTCCCTGATATTTCATTTTATAATCTTTAAATGGAACTGGCATTCCAAGCACAGGTTTTCCTATTTCGAAAGCATGGGGTAAATGTATGCTGTGAGGTGAAGGACGTTGTTAGTAATGTGGACTTATGACCCTATAGACAGTAATTTACTAAGTCATGTTAACCTCCATGCGGTTCTCCCTAGAAAACATTGTGATAAATTTGTCACGATGGGCTAATTGACCTGACGTGATACTCAACTCATTAACGTCCACTGATGCCAGCACATACCGTTAGAGGTTAGTTGTTGCACCATATCATTATCATCAATATAAAAAAATATATATACTGCACTGATGTATAAATTAACTTGTCTAAATGATATATATACAAATGATTAATTCACCATCTCTGTCTATGCATTTTTTATGGTAGATGAAAAGACGAGATTTACTTGAAGATATTAAATAGATCCTTTTCTTTGTAGTCAGCATTTTTTTTTCTAAAACCTCATTTTGGATTATGTCCCACATAATTAATGAAAAAAGAACGTATATAGCACTGACCTTCTTTAATGACGGCACGTATCGAATCGAGATGGGTTCCATAAAGGTGATCATTGTGCTCGCCGTACTCGAGGAAACGGCCAGCGTGAGCATCACGTTCCATTTCCTCGCGCGATACGAACCAATAGGATTGTCCATTCTCTTCCATAGGACGAGGAGGTCGTGATGTATCTGAGGATGAAACCACATAACCTACTTATCATACTGTGGTATAGGGTCTGCGAGATGACAGGCGCCTATTGTATCTTTGCTTGAAATATTTAAACCTGTACTTCGTACAATTTAAGAAGAGTAACAACAAAAGCATATTTATTTAAGAAAAATCAACAGAGAGCTTTGATCAATCCAAATATTTTAGTATACTATAATACTTTTCCAAGAGTGTAACATGTTTCAAAGTGTATAACCATTAATATTACTTAACAAGAGAACTATTTAACTATGAGTTTACTATTCAACTTCAATGTTTCAACAGAAACTTAGTACATAAATTACTACAAATTTTATTTGATTCTTCAGTAAAGATCCTTTATTTATGTTGTTCCAACTGACTTAACTCTGTCGCTAAGTTATTACATTTGATAAAGTTATCTTTCTACTGTTGATATATAGGTTTACATTTATAGATTTTGTATGAAGTCTTCTACTGGTTATTGTTATGTTCTCAGTTTTAAAAACTGAGAACTGTATATGTATATATATACTTACGCGGTACCACAGCTCCGAATCTGTCAGGGTGCTCCTGTATCAGACGATTCTTGAGCGTGCGGCGACCAACGCCACGAGTCCCCACAAAGGCGAGGATTCGTCGTAAGAACGGCGGTGTTCGTGCCACTTCCTCATAAAGAGCGAGCTCGGCGCCCTCGAGTTGTACACTGGATCGGGATTCATAGACGAATTTCTTTTTCTTTTTAGATATCTGTGAATTGTTATTGACACTTGTTGGTACATTGTAAGTGGAAATGAAAAAAATATATATTCTCACAACTGTGATCCCAAATGGTAAATAGATAGGTAAGTGCTTTTTTATAATAATTTGTCTATTATAAAAAACACACTTCAGATTTGTTGAGGATATTTGACTATATTGTTGCAGAAGCGAGTCTACTACGATCTTTCGGATCAATGTGTTTTCTTATGGGTGTTTTATAAAAAAGGCGAATCATCAGACATCTAACGAATTACAAAAGACTTATGCCTGCAATATAAGTACATTTATATTACTTTATAATATTTTTCACAAATTCGAAGTAAATGTACTGATCTATAAATAATGGTAAAATATCAAAATTGTTTTTTAAGTTACAAGTTTAAACAAGTTTTTTAATTAAATGTTTATACTCATAGAGGCTATTTTAAAATATGTAATCTAAAAACGGTTATATAGATTTAAATAAAATAAATATAACTATCTTTTCTGTTAACATATTTCTGTTGTATATAGTACCACTATTTTTTAAAGGTATTATTAGGTAAACCTATTAGATACCCAACAACTGATTTATATGGCAAATGCAAAGTTCTAACTGTCAGAAAATTGTTTATTATGAAACTAATTTTGCGTAAACATTCAAGTATGGTATTTGATCATAATTTATTTATGAACAAGCGCAGGACTGATCATATTTGTAAACAGTTTCCAAGTAGACTCAGGCTTGTGGATCGACATTTTTGTTTTATTAGTTCTAAAGTTTATAATCGAGTGAATAAGATTTTACAAATATACTCCCTTAATCATCGCGAATGTAAAATTAAAATAATTAACTGGTTATTGAACCTCTCTTATGATGAAACCGAAAATCTAATAGTTTAATTGCTGTATTTATAGTATATATTCACATAAAACTGACACAAAGTTATGCTTGCGAATACAAAAACAAAAAAAAATTTAATATAAAGAAATACATAAAACGCATACATAGGTGCAATAAACGCGCGTATATACATACATATACACACACAGACACACAGACACACACACACACACACACACACACACACACACACACACACACACACTCACTCACTCACACACACACTTGTTCTAATGCTCATAAATTATAAATATCATTTGTTTTATTTTATATACTTTGTCTTTCTCTAAATGTTCTTAAGGAGTAATATTCATTTATTTTCATTTGTTTTTATTTAAATTGTATACAATGCACTGGAGATGGGCGCAAATAGCTGCAACACAGTTTTTTGTAAACTAATGTAGTTGTTTACGTTTAATATGTTATTGTTATAACTTTGTTTTTGGTTTAAATAAATTCTTTAATTCTTAATTCTTTAATAACTATTACGTTAGTTTATTAACAATTTTGATATTTTACCATTATTTATAGATCAGTACATTTATCAAGTACAGTCAACTAATCAATCAACAATTCCTATTTAGACATTAAAGCTGCATATATAATCGTGCGTTCAGTAATAATTAGACAATAAATAGTTTCCTAAGTTAATTACGTTCTGAACAATTTGCACGCATCAATTACTTAACCTAATGAGGTTTTGTATAAATCACGTATGAAACGTGCTTTTGTATGAGATATATAGTGACTCACAAACAAGAGTTATGTAAATGGCAAGCAATTATTTAATAAGACAATACATTAGTCACGGTTTTGAATAAAAAGCTGACAATGGTGAAATTTAACAAAGAACAATGCAAAGATAATAAGATATAATATTACTTTACCCGCGCGCCACAAATGCTGATTTTGTGAACGAAATCAGCTTCCGGTGGAACATATGCCTTGCGTCTTTCCTCTAATTCGGGTGACGGTATGAGGCCAACTTTTTCAGGATTATCTACGTGACTTGCCTGCCACCAATTTGGATCCTTTCTATCTGATACCTGAAATTAGCATAAAATTTTTTAACATCAACCTTAATCCCAGAAACTTTAAAGGCTTTTTTGCTTTAAGACATTATGAATATTATTAAGTTATATGATTATCTGTCTAATTTCGGAGACAATGAGAGACTGAAATAATAGTTGGTAGTATAAAGGCAAAATACATAGGTTATGGGACACTAAGAAAAATGAAAGTCTTAGTCAAACTTAAGAATTTATTTGCATATAATTTTTTGTCACTTATGCATGTCAATAATTTATTTCTCCTTTATGTATTATTATCAAACATAAAAAATAATTATAACATATAAATCTACAACTTACTTGCAATATATCACCCCTTTTGAATTCCAAGCCAATCTCTTTGCATGGGATGAGTGTGTCCTCTTTGGGGTCATAGTCAAAAAGGGTCCTCATATAACACTATAAGAAAACTATAATTTATATGCTTTTCAATACACAAATTTATATACAGTGAATAATTTTAATTATTTTTTATTAGTAATAAAAAATAATTAAAATTATTCCCCATAATATTCTAAAAGAAATCTTTTTTAATAATTTTTTTATTATAAGCTGTGTTTATACTAGGAACGCAATGGCATGACGAAGCAAGTTAGGATAAAGCATGCCTAAGTAGCAGATATCTATTCAGTATCAAGGTCAAGGTCTGAAAATGTATATACAGAAGCAGCAAAAGTGTTACACTCATTCACTATTTACATTATGCATTTCAATAAAAAATCCACAACTTACACTAAGTTTATTTGTCAATTGACTGCTCTTCTCTTTTAGATTAGGCCCAACTTTTAATGTAACTCTGTCTGTATCTTTAGCGACTGCTTCTTTAAGCTGATCCTCAGAGTCAATCTGTACTCCATCTACTTCTAATAAGACATCACCAATTGACACTAATGCCTGTTTGGCTGCAGGACTCCCCGCCAGTATCCTTGCAACTATCAGCTGACCATGTTCATCTGTGGTTACCTAATTGCACAAATGTAAGTATAAATTAATAGTGATTAAGAACCACATAAGTAGTGACTCATAACAAACATTAAGTGGTGGGTTTTGAATATTACTATGGAAAAGAATTTGAAATTAAATTTGAACAATAATTTTCCACATTACATGTCTATACTAATTAATAGGACTAATGTGTTATTCTACTATTGATAGAGTATGCACTCTCATAGAATACATAAATACAGTACTAAAATTATAGACAAGGTGATTAATGACTTTTTTACTACCTACTTATTAGATCATTTCAGAGATATACACAAACAGCCATAGTGTGTAATCATACATATAGCCGAATATATGATACATATATCCTGCAGTTTTACCATATGAGTGGATATTACTGTTACTGTTAACAAAGAAAAATCCTGTAATAATATTATTTTAAATTGCATAATGTAATAAACACTTACAGTTAAACCTAAGGGCTTTCCTGGCTCTTTCCTAAGTCCCACAACCTTTACAGTTTCTACGGGCATATCTCCGTTCTCCTCAGGACTTTTGTCGTCACCTTCTGCTGTGTTTTTACTGTCTTCCTTCACTGTTGTCTTTTCATCAGTACCAGATCCTCTGTCAAGCCAGATTTTACCTATTTGATCATGTGCCTCTATTAATGCCTGCAAATGTACTTATTTATTAAATTTCATTTATTTGAAGCCATTTTTAAGCAGTGGACTATAATAGGTTTATGATGATGAAGATGATGATTTCATTAAATAAAATTATAATGGCTCACATACAGATGTCTCACTGTTTTTATATACATAAGGAGATTTCCGAACATACATTGCATATATATAATTCACAGAATACATTCCATATAATTCTCAGAATACATTGCATATAATATGTATGTAATATTGTAATAGCTCAATCATCCAAATTAGCAGTTTCTAGTGTAAATATTTGGAATCTTAACATGAATTTAGAGATTATTATATATTACAACAAGACTGTTATATAAAAAAATAAATATGTACTCAACTTGATTTTCATGTTTGCATAGTTTACAGTATTTTTTCAGATTCATTGTGTATCTCCAACTATTAGCAAAAGTTAATTGTTTTTATTTAAATAATTTCAATACAGTAATTAAAAAGGGAATTATTATAAGGGAATAACATGATAAAACCTCGGTATTGATATGTACAATTAATAATAATATTTAATATTGATTAAATGTCAGTTATAACATGCTCATTACACATAGGTATGTAATGATTATATTAGAAAGGTATATTGCATTGAAAATGATTTACTGACTTACCTTAAAATGTAGTCGTGATAATAATATAGCTAGTTCGGCTTGCTCTATAGTGCGGATGTTGTTACCTCGATACTCGCTCAATGATTTTATTATGTTTACGTTACCAAGGGAGACGGGTTTTATGATCAAGTCCTCCTCAGAATCTGTACACTGCAATAACAACACTTATGTATAATCAAAGTATTCAGGAATTAAGTTTTACCAACAGGCGCGATAGGCGTGGCACAAGCTCTGTTTCTTGAATGAAAAATATTTTTTTTACAACATATCTCTACAAGGAATTCAATATTTGGATTTTATTTTGTTTATGTATTGAAATAAGTAGTTAATAGTTACTATATCAAATAACTTTGTTCGATTAAAATGTTCTTTATTTTGAAGAAAAAGTACAAATACAAACCGACAAAGACAATAGTTTAGTTTTCACATTTGATTTGATTGGTTGCGTCGGGTTGGGTTGTTTAGCAGACTTCCAGTTAGTTTTAGTTTGACACTTTGGGTTTTGACTTTGACAGAAGCAGACCAAACCGACGCTGTTCATACTCTGTGCGTATTACAACATTGATTGGTGTATTCTATTATATACTTTATTCCTTACTTCATAAGGTATGCGGTAAATATGAATTGTTAATTTTCAAGTATTGTTGTACTAACATTTTAGATTAGAGTACTTCTCTAATTTATTGTATTAAATAAAAATAAACATCATTATTCGACCAAAGCAGTTTAAGGGCATTTTTTTGCTATAGGGATATTATAGGACAGTCACAGGGCCTATTTATTTTTTAATAATAATGGAAAGGCATTTCCGTCGCTGAAAATATACCTACCCTGCCGGGAATTTTTGTGTGTTGTCGCAAGAGCTAGACCCTTAATACGGACCCCCTACCTTGAATACTGACATGGCTTGGCTCAAGAATAGTGTGACGTATTAAAAATAATAATTTTATTATGCAACTAATTTAGCTTGTTTCCTATATATGTTTTTTTTAATTACGCTAATTATTTAAAATATTTTAAAACATCTTTAGTCTTACCTCATTTTTTCTGCCAAAATCTGGACTTTCTACTATACTTTTTAAGAATATGACTTCATGATTTGTTAAATCTTCTTGTAGTTTTATATCTTCTTTATCTGTAAAGGAATTGATTATAACAATGAATTCATCTTTCTCTGAAATGTAATGTAATGCGTCAGTAGGTACTATACTATCTAATTTTATATTGTCTAACACAATAACGTCTCACTGTAGGCTGTATACCAAACAGTAATAAGGGCAAGATATTAGCCTTCTATTTCTATGCACACTGGGGAGACGAATCAATATGACTATGTATTTTATCTGTGGAATGAGGTTTTATGACGAATTTTTATTACTCGACTCTTATAACATTCTGTAAACGAGAAGAACCAGTGGTTCTTACTGTGTCACCACCTTGAGAATTTATATGGTCTGTGCTAACTCCTTCTAAACGACTACACCAATTTTAATAAAAAATTTTAGTGTATTTTTCAAGATCTTGGATGGTTAGAAAACCCAATTGTCTGGTCCGGGCAGAATTGCCGGATACGCTACGCTAGTAATATAATATCAAAATAATTAATTATAAGCGTATTGCTGGAGCAGTATGTTATGTATTCATTACAGTAATTTAACCTACCTAATTATATGTAATATAATAATTAAGGCCAACTATATAGCACCAATTGCTAAGCTATAAAATAAAATAAAAACAAAGCAAAGTTTTCTGATATATTCACTTTCTGGTTTGATTAAATTTCCCAGAACAATATTTTCGCGCGGCCATGACTAAATACAAAAAAAAATAATATAATATTAGATCTGTGTATACAAGAATATATTATATTAATTTATTAAAAAATAAATTCCAGAGTATACAGATTATACTAAATCATAGATGTAGTATTTACTGATTTACCCAGCTATAGGTATTGTAACCATATACTTATTATGGCTTTATGTTTCAAGGGTCATGCGTGACAAAGGCGAACTTACCCTGTTTTGTTTAATAAAAACGAAATGGCACGCTAACATTTTTCGGGATACCTTACTTGAAGTCACTATAGTAATATATATACGAGTACAACTCTGTGACAATTTATATAACAGTTTTAATAGATAAATACTTTGTTTTTAAGCTAGGCTGATAACGCTTACCCACCAATTTCACGTACATATACGTGGTATTTCATACATTAATGTTCCTATATATAATATATCGTATACATATCTGCATATATTTTAACATTGAATTTATGAATTCTATTACTCTTGATTTAAAAGACCCAATGCAAATGTAAGGAAAGCAATGTAAGAGGCACGAAACATAGACGCAGGCAGTGAGTTCCTCTCCTTAGCTGCTCGCATAAGGAAAGATGACGCAAACCGGCTAGTATCTAGTCTAATAAAAGAGATGTGATTGTAAATTATTTAAAGGATAGAATTCGAGATTAACATATGACAAGGATAACTAAAGTGAACGACATAGTTTACAATATTTTTGGGCGGTCCTATTTGTTGACCGGAGGGCTGCAGATGGCACAGAAAGTTATTAAAGTGACCACGTACGTGTATAAAAAACGATCCATGGATATTTCTCCCTTCAATAAGCCAAAAGACACGGGAAAGCAAACAGATAATAAGTAAAAGCAGAGGAAAATATATGAATTATTTATTAGGACATATGGATGGAAAGATCGTTTACGTGTGTAGGGCATATATGAGTGTAATTATTGTATATTGTTCAGATCTCTGAACTACGCTTTCTCCTGAACTTAAATTAATAAATATTTACGTATTTGTTCTGTCCTGGTCCTGACTTTTGCCCCCGTGTATTTTTTAGTAACGCACATATTATAAGTATTAGGCTATTATAAGGCACATATTATAAAGCAATGGCTGGTATATTTATATAAATTACAAAATGTTGGTTTGTGCAGATAAACTCCTCTAATAATTACATATTATTTCTGGATTAAGAACGCTCGGATCATATTTTAAATAAAATTATTTATCATTCGCATTTAATATGCAACATACAGGTAGTACAAAGAATATATACAGCAGTAAGCTGTAATTGTGAGACATAGATACTATTTTCTTATATAAAAAATACAACTATTCAAAAGATCAGCACACAAGTTTCTTGTTCATTCTTCTTGTGATGAATGTGCATTTCGAATGAGTGGTAGAATCAAAAATATGAATATTCAAAAGTGCTTGTAATGAGTTTATTTGAATAAAGATTATTTCTATTTCTATTTTGAATGTGGTAAATATTAGTAGACATCTAAGGAGGTATCTACTTCATTTTGAGAAATTAGAAAACTTAAGATTTTTGCACACTAATTTATACAAAGATAAGGGCTAACTTAAGATAAATATTTATAGTTAAGATTTTCAATAAAAAATGTACGAAATATGATAACGAAAAATATTTCACTGGCTTTTTTATTCAACATAGTAGTGTTTCATTCACGAAAAACACTTAGAAGGCTATCGCTATATCGAGCTGTGTGATATTGAGTGCGTGACTTACGAAATTACCGGCAGAGATATGTAAATACTATAATGGTTCCATTTCTCATAACGAAACAAAGAGGTTATATGTCGGAATTTTCATAGTTCAATATTCAATACCGGCGACTCACCTTCATCAGGCGGTTTATTTCCAAAAGCCAAGTCTTTGAAACCTCTCCAATTGGCCGTGTATCGGCCGCTGCGATGAACCATCATTTGGTCAGTAATTGCGGCAAGATGATGCACGCTCGAGCGGGCAACACGTTGTTCACTGCTGTCGGTGTCTTGCGAGTCAGCGGGCAGTGGCATTAGCCGGTGGATATTGGCAGGCGCGCGGTATCGATGCGTCGCGTCACGCGGCCGTCGCGGCGTCAGCTGAGCGGCACGTCACGGCGCCGCCCGACGAACGCGCTTGCGCACTGCCGCCCGCCCTCCCGTAGTTTTCGCACATAAACCAAACTACGCACGACAATAAGCTTCTTTCACAGATTTGTATTCCACGCGTATCTAGTTTAGTGAATAGATTTGGGGACTTGAATTGAATGTACAATATTATTAAGTGTAGTGTAGGCATATTAATAGTTATACTATCTATATATTAGAAGTTGTTTATGTATATATCGTCGACATCGTATACAGCTACTGGTATATTGTATATGTACGCATTAGTAATTTTACACGTGTATCATTAATAACATTGGAACCCATATAATTACTTAAGAGCTCGCATTTCATTACAATACCTAGTTGACACATATTTTAATTTATTGACTAAATTTAGTCAAAATAACTTTATACTTATTTCTTAATTAAAATAATAAAATATCTAAGTAGGTTGTCTAGTAACCATAACAGCTCTGCTTCCCTTGGGACTAGATGGCGCTGTGTGAAATATACAGGATTATTAATATTGTTATTATTTTTTAATTTTATGCGCTATATAAATAAACAATAAGAGAGTTAAGTCATCATGATCATTTGAGCCATTTATGTAATGTAATATAATAGATTATATTAATACACTATGATTCTCTGTCACGGCATTAATTTACTTTTACGATGCTTATGAAATTGCCTAGCAAAGTGTTTACCAGTAGAGTAAGACGGTAACTAAGTGAATGGTAAGAAAACTCAGAAGGTTTGGACTTAACTCCTAGAAAAAAGAACAATATTTATTTATTCACGAATAATCCACTACCATTACTACTAATTTAGACACAAATAATCATGTTTGTAAGCTAAATTTTTACGTTAAACCACAGATAATATAATATTATATATTTACTATCGATGTTAATAGCATATTTGGATATGGAAATCAATCTTCACGTTTCTTAAGTCTTTAAGGGTAATAGAACTCGCAATCACTCGCTCGTATTCCTCATCAAGCGGATAGACAAACTAATGGATTTGTCACAAATTAAAATCAAAGCAAAAATTGTATTAGTATAGCGATGAGAGCTGACCCCGAAAAATCATGGATGGAGTGAATGAATTAATAAATTTAAAAGTTATATGAAAAACATATAACTTTTAAATTTATTAATTCATCCACTTCAATTTAATGTTATATTTAGGTAGGTGAATTACCGGCCGACTTTGAGTGTTACTTTATTCAAAATTATTTTACGATACCATACAAACATCCATATGTGGGACATTAGATTTACGAATCTAGATATAGAATATATTTTTACAATACTGAAATAAGTAGATAAATCGCAACTATATTTAAATATTTATATATCGGAACATGAAATGTTAAACACATGTCTTATTTAAATGTATGAGAACGTTTTGGTAATCAAATAGAGAGCAACATTTAATGTTACGATGTGACTATAAAAATTTCGAGACACCCGCATTCTACCCGCAATACATCTATCGAGCTATGTATCTGACCACTAATGTAAATGTAAAATTAACTTATGTTTTTCTTTCTTTTTCGGATGTTTCGCAATGTTTTAAGCGTATAACGTTTCTATACGGTTGGGTTCCTATTTACATAATATTTTTATGTGCGGAGTAGTCTATTTTTAATGCGTTCAGATTGCCAAATCCGTTATCTATACCACTGTCAATTTAACCCTCAACAAAATGACAACTAAAATTACTTACGTAATTTAATAGAAATATTAATTTCAATGAAACGACTAAAAATAAAATAATGTTAAGAGATTTTAGAGAGTGAAACGACAATACAGGAAATTATTTGAAAGAAACGATATTTTCTGATCCCAAAGAAATCCCAAATAGATATCAATGGTTAGTAAAAAAAATTGTCCGTAAATATTATTAAAAATAAAGTTAGCAATTATAATTGGTGTAAGGAAATTAGTTTGTTGTGTACGAAGTTTATAATTCCAACGAAATATTTAATGATAACCTCATTTATCTGCACATGCTAAAAATTATAAATATATTGAACGTCAATACGCAGAATACAGAACATGTGATCATAATTGTTTTATAGGCAAATAATACGTCACAGGAAGGCCAAAGGGTTGTTATTGCACAATTATATGAGCGATTTGTTAGCGTCGTATTCATGCTACTAGAATATCGTAATGTCTTAGTATCATCAAATTCCTCGGAATTGAGAGTATTATAATACATATACTAGCTGTGCCAGCAGTTTCGCTCGCTTGAAATTTATAGCCTATGTGTTATTCTGATGTATAAGCTATATATACCTATACTGTAAAGTTTTATGAAAATCCGTTGGGTAGTTTTTACGTGAAAGAGTAACAAACATCCATCCATACTTAATATAATGTATTGTAACTATTGAATTATTTTACAGGTAAATTATATAATTTGTATTTAGAAATTACGAAAACTTCTTAAAGTGTAGGCATATTAATAGGTTTCAGACGTAGAGTTTTATGGAACTCACAAGGATAATGAAAGTTTTATTACTTTTTCCATTATATTATATTTTGTGTTGCGGTATGAAAGACCTAATATTTGTTTATTGCTTTACATGTTTTAATATTATAGATAATTACATAGTACAAACGTTACTCATGTTTCTTTTCAGACAATACAATGTAAACGAGAGAGGCAGATAGGTATACACTAAAATATTGTATCTTACAGAAATTATTTAATGCTGTAATATATAATATTTGTTTAATAGTTTGGAAAATATTACTATGGTGCAATCTCCAGATTAACAGCTTGTATCTGAATAATGATAAAATCATTCCCCAATAAACCCAAAGCATTCTGTTGTTGAGGTTTGAGGGTGACGACACAGAAGGCGAACATCAACACGAATTTGAAAAGGTTTATTGGGCTTAATAATATGTCCATTTTCATAAGAGAAGACACACCTAAAAGAGATGTAACGGCGCGACCGTCTACGACACGATATAGTTAATTTTATTCCTTGATATGTGTGTGTAATTTTTTATAATAGGGTTGACTGTAATTATTTAAAATAACCTGATTATTAATATATAATATTCTGTCATACACACCACGTATATCAATAGACGATGATTACCACTCTACAACTCATGTTACATTCTGATTGCGTGAAAATACTAAAAGGATTTCTTGTCATGTCTATCACGTGAATATCATTGCTATTCATTAATTACTGAAGAATTATTATTATTAAATCCGTATTATTAAAATATATAGATTTTGTTGTAGTGTGAATTCAAATCAAAATAGGGAAACAATGAAGTCACCACATCAAGGAACTTAAGCTTTGCTGATAAGGGTGTTATAGTATTGTTAGATAAACAACAATTGATAGACATTCTGTTGCTGTTGGTCGCGTGCTCGACTCTGATAACAGCAGGTCACAGGGTACTCGTATAAGATGGAGCTCCGGCTTCTACTATCACAGTCTGCCTAGCTTGGGCTTAATGCGTCGACGTTTTTTACACACTCTCAAAATTAAGTGAATTTGTAATTTAACAATGCCGTGGACAAGTGCTAACAGGTACGATACATAAACATAAATATTTTTAAACGTGTATCGGATCAGTAAGATGTGTTATTAACAGTAATTTATAATGTTTGCAGAATTTATGCCAAGCCTTCAAATACTAGTGCAGGAGAGGCGTCTACTAGCAGTAGCAGTACCCGTGTGGCTCACACTGCCGCAGCTGATAGTGGTGGTCGGTTCGAACTAAGTGATCATGGCTATGGCAAGGGTTCAGTGAAGCTACTTCATGTCCACCGCGACGGAAATTATCATACCATTCGCGAGTTTGAAGTGTCCACCGAATTAAAACTTACATCTGAGACCGCTTACGTCTTGGGTGATAATAAAGAAGTTGTCGCAACAGACTCACAGAAGAATACTGTGTATTTGTTAGCGAAAAAGCATGGTGTGAAGACGCCAGAGGAATTTGGTGCTTTGGTTGTAAACCATTTTCTTTATATGTATAAACAAGTGGTGGAAGCGAAATGTCGCGTTGTCGAATACCCATGGGAGAGGTTGCAAGCAGAAACACCACATAATCATGCTTTTGTGTTTTCACCAACTGCCACTCGCTGGGCCGAAGTATCACAAACACGACATGGTGAGTGCTTTGGTCTGTTTCACGTACATCCTTAATAAAATAGCATTTTTATTTATTTTAAATGTTTGTTTATATGTATTGTGCAGAAGCGGTACTCGTGAAGTCTGGACTGAGCGGTCTACGTGTTCTGAAAACAACACAGTCCGCCTTTGTAGATTTTGTTCAAGATGAATACACTACACTTAGTGATGCGGCAGAGAGAATATTCAGGTGGGTTTGTTTACAAAAAATACGGAATCGAATGAATTTTGCAACACAAAAGGAACATCTTGTCCTGCATTTACTTTTATCAGAATTAATTTTAGGCAGATTACGATCCTCTTAGTTGAGTAGGTAGGGTATACAGATAATTGGTTTTACGTGAACCGTCTAAATTTAAAACTTTTAAAGTTGTATAAGCTTGCTTGAGTTTGAGATAACTTGTGATACCCGTGATAATATTCGTGTATATAGACGACGCTTGTCGTTTACCGTCAGGTGAACGTTACATAAAAAAGAAGATAATACATGTGGGACACATTTTTGTCACTTCGGGGCAATGTGACAAACTTGATAGTGAGATATCTCCCACCATACCAATGCAAAATTATAAGATAAATGAAAAATAAAATGTAAAGTATAAGACTAGTTCTAATTTGAAAGAAATTCATGAAAATAAAAATTTGTGTTATAGTACGGTGGTGGAAGCTGAGTGGATTTACGATAGTATGCGCACAGCTGATTTTGACAATGCCTGGCTTACTGTTAAGGACGCCATATTGGATAAATTCGCCGGACCTCCAGACACCGGAGTTTACTCGCCATCAGTGCAGCATACTTTATATCAAGCCGAGAAATCTGTCTTAGAAAATGTTCCTGAGGTAAATACTATTGTTGTATTACTTTGACTAGAGTGTGTTTAACTCGTTGACTTATTATCTAGATTTTTCTTTTAACTATATGATAGTGATGACAGTATCTTGTCATAATTTCCTGTAATTGAATTTAAAATAGGTATATCATTTAGTTAACCTTTGTTCTGTTATTATATATCTGTATAGGAAAACAAGTAATTATTTATGCGTTTGGCCATGAATTGAAAGGGTGAACAACTTGTGCGCATTGCTACTCTTAGGGTCATCAATTTATAGAATTGGATACAGTTTAAAAATTTCTTATTGATTCGTGGCATTGATTCATTTAAAAAGAAATAGCTAGTTCTTAACGTTTATTTATAAACCTGGTCAATTAACACAGCGCCATCTTGCTCTCAAGCTAAGGAGAGCAGTGTGTTATGGGTGCTGAAAAGTTAACACCCAGAACTATACAAACATTCATACTCATGAATACAAATGCGAAAATCGGAAGTAATACGATGGCTAAACCGAAGCCTCAATTTTATAATATTTGACATATACCTACATATTTAGGATAGTTAAGTAGTAATTAAGTCGTTGGTAGAAAGTGATATTATATATTCTATATATTTTACATTCTGCCTACTAATTATTTTATTCTCTACACTTTTAGAGTCAATGGTATCAGGTTCCGTATATAAATAGTAGTATATTATACTTATGTCAAGTTGTATACGAAAAAAACACAAAAGGTTATCAAAATTGAATAACATATAATTTTGACGCACTTTTATCTCGATGAAACCAATTATTTTAAGGTCATGTTATCTAAATTAAACAATCACTGAACAACAAACATTGAATCCTGATAGATAAAATATAGTCTGAGTTATTTTTTAAGACGTACTTTCAGTTCTAGATTTTAATTAAAACAAACGGGCGAACTGAGTAATTATTATTAACTAGTTATGCCCGCACCTTGGTCCGCGTGGAATAGTGACATTGGATAGCATTTTTAATTATTTTACAAATAAGACAAATACGTATAACTACTTTAATACGCTATAATAAAATTTAACGAATTTCCTAAATACAAGCTTTCATCCCCTATTTTATTTTATCTCCTTTAATTATACAATTTTTACAGACTTTGATTGTCATATTTATTTATATTTAATCAACAATCTAAAAACAAAAGTTTCAAGCTCCGAGCTTTAAAAATAGCGATACTTTCATACAACCTTCCATCACCCCTTTCAACCCCTTAAAATCCTTTTTTCGTATTAAGAAGTAGCCTCTGTCCTTTCTCAGTTCAGATGTAAATTTAATTTAAATCGTTTCAGTAGTTTTAGCTTGATAGAGTAACAGACAGACAGTTACTTTCGCATTTATAATATTAGAAAGGATGAATATTAAAACCTAATTAAATTGATACTGGTGTCCAAACTGAAATTGTTACTTTTTGATTAAGTTATATCGGAGAAAAATAGATCATATTTATTCAGGTATTATTATTATTATTATTCATAGACAACAATGAGTCTATTGCCTGCTGTAACTTTAGGTCATTGTATTAATTAGCACTGTAAATTAGCCCTTGACTTGTTATCTTGTTTAGTGTTTCGTCTATATTTCAATAATGGGTCAAAAATTATCACTGTTTGTTGGCAACACAATTATGTACTAATAATAGTATATATTTAACTAAGCACATAATAGTGACTAGTAGTAAGTATGTAGTTATTTAATAGATACATTAGAATTATATAACTAGAACATCAACAAAGAAGACATATTATATTGAGAGAGTTAATGATATGAGAGTAGGAATAAATACAACACTGTTTCGGTAAATAAAGGAAAAGTACATCTCTGGTCCACACTATGCAAATTAGATCACTTACACTTAAACAGTTTGACCATTGTATATGGACAACATATGCGTCAACAGTAGTTCAGTCTATTGAAATATAATTTTTGCCTATAAGTAACAGTTACTTGGTAAAAGACGGATTTAGCCTTTTTTCTTATTATTATTACTACTATAAAAAAAAAATATATTTTCTTATGTTTCTGCCAACAGATATCATGGATAAAGATGACAATGCCGAATAAACATTACTTGAACATCGACGTTTCAAAATTCCCCGCAAATGTAACGAAAGGTGACCCGCGCCATCATATCTATCAACCTATAGACAAGCCCTCGGGTCTTATCTATGCACAGCTACGCCGTAGACCCAAAAGTCGTTTGTGACGCAACGTCTCGTAGCAAGCTCTACGAGGTACCCATAATTTCTGCGATAACTCTATGATGCGACAGTTGTAAATGGTTGAAAATTAATTCGAGGTTACCTCAATTGTTTTAGATATTGTCAATGTTTAAGTATTATAATTATAATTGTTTATCTGGATTGTGAACAATATACTGATGTTTGTAACACAGAGCTTAAGTTAGAATATTTCGCGATCTGATCTAAAGTTGTATCTTATAATTATTAAACTAAATGTACTTTTATATTTTCAAATCTTTGTTCTTTCTGTAAATATGATCTGATATAATTTTTATTACCATGTAAATGACATACTGTTGTAATATATAGACATAATAGGTATTATTATATGGTATATACAATATAAAAACCATTATATATAAGACCGTCCGTTTGCTTCACTTGTATACGTAATTTTAAATTACTGTTAGGACTGTTGTAATGTATTGTTACAAATATTATTGGATATAATTAAGTTATAAGACAATAAACTATAATAGTATTATCACGTACCTTTTTTTATTTAATGCGTCTATTCTATTGAATAAATAACACACAATAAATTGGACACACATTTAATTAATACAAAATACAATCTTGCTTACTTTCATTACATTTTCTGTGCTTTTCAATATTTTTATTTTTTCATCATGCATGCCAGTAATTAAGGCGTGAGTGAGTATATATCTAATAAATAGAGTTGCACATAGGTTTGAATCATTCATTAATAAACATTTACACTTATTAAAAAAAATAAAATACTTTTACAAACGCTTTGTACCAATGATCTTGTCAGCTAAAGCATACAATTCTTCAACTGTCTGAAAATAAAATAATATTTATTAATATAACGTTTGGTTTTACATAATAAAAGATTTCTAATTATGCCATATAGAACTAATGTAGGAGTAAACCCTGTTGATTGCAAAAAGTCATCATATATATTTCTTCAGTTTTTATAAAGATGTCTTAAACTGTCCATAAAATAGGTATACTTCTATTCAGAAAAACTACCTCAGTTTGAAATTCGTTTGAAAAGATCTAGTTCAGTCTTTACAAAATTACAAAGCGAACAGGGCAGGGAAAACACCCTTTCGCTTGAATCTTTTAATTATTAATTTTAATTGTCTGAAATATTTACAGTTTTTAAAATATTGATAATTGGTCATAGCTGGATTGTCTGAAAACCTTAACGTCGGAAATCGGAATTGGATCGATTAAGTTCATTTTAAAAAGGTCAATGGAATATCATTTGTATCAAAGCCTATATAATATATATAAGTTTCGTAGTAGTTAGTATGTAATCCATCTTTATTTTCTAGGGTGCACCCTAGAAAATAAAGATGGATTACATACTTCAGAATGCTGAGGAAATCAATAGCAAATAATTGCAATTATTTTCAGGGATATCTTCCCTTGCTAATGTTATAAATAGTAAAATCGTATAGGTATAGATATATGCAAAAGGTTGCTATTTGCTTTTGATCGCTTTATGTGTGTTACTATTTATAGCACACTAAAAAAGTACAGAATTTAACGTCGTTAAATTCTGTACTTTTTTAGTGTGCTATAATATAATACGTTACTAAAAACGGGCACTAATACCATCTCTTCTCCTAGCCTAGTACTACACTGATAATGCCTATCAGTCCAATAGAATTATTTTGTAACGGTTTTATGAATGATTAGATAGTACGGGGTCAGAAGCTATGGACTCCAAAGGTGATTGACATTTTTAATTTTCACTTGGCTCGTGTACACCATACAACACGTGTTACCTACCTACTTGCATTTAGCTAAGAACATTTTTTTAGTACCCTAGATCAAAGACCTTTTTGGCCCCTATCACTAATTGACTAGAACTTCTTTAAATAGTTTCTTATTTTTACACACACATATTACAAAAATATTTTTTGGCGACTAGCACCGCCATGTTTGGTGTTTTTTATATGAATCACTTCAAATTCTTTACGAATAACATTTTTTGACTGCTAAAAGTTGTAGTTAGTTTTTTTTGTTGTTATATATGTACCTGGTTTCGATAAGAAATTGAAGAGAAATATAACCATTGTTCGTTGTTAGATATCACAAATTCGGTGGCAATGTAAACATGATATAAAAGGTGTATAAGGTCCGTAGATCATGCACGAAGCGGCACGAGCACATTGTTTACAAAAGGTCAGATAAAACTGGCTATATACTAGTACAAAGCAGTTTATATACAGTCACACTTATGGACACTAAAGTGTTACTGCATATTCAACTTTATTACTTGGTAATGAAATTATAAATCTTAAATGTATACCTATTTCTTGATAACTACTGGTTAAAGTTGTGATAGCATTTTGATTGATCTGGTTTCGTCAGTGGACTTAGAACGTTTAATATACAATCATTAAAGAGATTTGCTTACCGTAAGATTTTTAAGGATTTTAACGTCATTCGTCTCGTATTTAAGGAGAGCGAATTGTTCGTCAGTAAAGCGAACCCCTTTTTCGATGTCTGTTCGTTTTTGTTCCTCTAATTCCTCGTTACATTTCGCTAACAGCTGTTCTGGTGTTACTTGTTCGTTTTCTTCTTCTATGGATTCATTTTCAGCTTCTTCATCCATAGACTACAATTAATAAAGTGGGTAAAATATTTTATAACAGTTATTTAATTTTTTGTATAAACTACAGACGTACATAATTTAGGTTTAAAGGTTTTGTTATTTGAAATTGTAAACAATAAATTAAAGTTTACAATTTCGAATAACAAATGGCATCAATGAATGAATTTTAAACACAGTCTAGTATTATTAGTAGTCACTGTTTACTAATTAAAATGACTAATGGCAATATATTTATTCATTCTACAAGAAAGGTGCCACAAACATACGTGTAAAGTAAAAAAATAATTTTATAATAATAATTCTATATGGGACCTGATCTGGTTTTTGAGATGCTTTCAATTTTCGATAGTAAGCATCAGCTCGTTTCTTGGATGCCTTGGCGACTTCTCTGTTGACCATCCTCCAAAACACGAATACAGGATGGTGGAATAGTTCAGGTGGACATTCCTTCAGAGGTGTTTTTCCGACGAGGATGAGACGTTTCAACCTTTCCATTTCATCTAGCTGTAGATAAATATTACAAGTATTCTTATATTACAACAAAATATTAAATGTATATAATAGAGGGAGTACCAGGGTAAAGATACGAGAGAAGCGTGATTTCAGAATTAACAACATCTGTAGCCTCGTGGTTCCCTACCTTGAATGACATCTATGAGCTTGTGAGTTCAAATCAGAACGACACTGAAACACAACTTTGTGTGTCCAAATGTATATAAATATATTTTTGACTAGCTGTGCCCGCGGTTTCACCCTCGTGAAATTTATAGCCTATGTGTTATTCTGATGTATAAGCTATATCACTGTCAAGTTTCAACAAAATCAGTAATAAAAACAGTCAATCAGTTCAGTAGTTTCTGCGTGAAATAGTAATAAACACCCATTCATACTCACAAACTTTCGAATTATTTATTAATAAGATTGACTCTCTGGTGAAGGAATAAACCAAACATTAATCCGAGAGACAGCTGTAGGCTGATCCCCGGCTGTTTGAGGCCATTGTCAAGAGTTGCGTTCACCACACCATCGACAGTTAACAATGACAACGGCTATCTTATCTGATATAAGAGTCGTGACTGTTATTACTAATTTAGGATATTGTATAAAACGATGTGGTGGGCACTCTACTACAAGTATCTTCATCCAACTGAAATCTTAACTGTCTAAATAATAATAATAAATTAACATATAAATTAAATTTGGTCAACAGTATCTGGTATCTGGTATACCGACTTGGTCAGTCTTACATTACATATAGAAATATGATTTTTATAATATATGTATATTTATATTCATACCTAAATTTATTATCTTAAAGCTATATCAATGTCTTTGAGGAATGTCACAAACTAGTATATACGTTTTAATGACACTTTTAGTGTTGTAACATTCGTTGCTGTCTTCTGCCTATAGTAACCATCATCCAAAGAGGGTTTCAGCACAGATAAGATAATATGCTTACAGAATTAGTTATGTAAATGAACACAAATTATATCAACATAAAAGAATTTATTGTCTTCGTCTGGCATATAGAAATTACCGTATAGCTACAAAATAGTATCTCTTTTAGGTCACTTAAATGGCAAACTATATAATAAACTTGAAGGCTCATTGTACTGTAAGTGGCAACTTTCGTCTTACTTTATGAACAACACCACACAAGTTTTCTTATGAACTAAGATTTCACACACAGTTCGTCATTAAAAAGCAAGTTGTTTGACAACTGAAATAGGTGAAAAAAAAACCAAGCTGACGATTTTGATAAATTAGTTCAAATTTAAAGTGTACTCACAACTCTGGCAGAGATTCTTTTGTTAAGGTTCTCCTCATTGACAGCACGGATTCTTTCTTCCAAGTCGGTCATGTAGCTTTTGTCTGTGAGTCTCACCAGATTTGTACCCATATGCTTCTCGAGGCGTGCCCGGACATGTGGATGCGCGAAGCTATCGAGTAAAAAATGTCCACGAGTTAAATCATCATCTCTCATGGTGCATATAAATTGTTTTAAGATGTATTCCGGAATCCTTAAATTTTATATTAAGAATATATTGACATATCTAAAAGACCAAATGAAAGTTTATGGCAAGGGAATTTGTCATACATCGTATATAAATCTCATTCCATCGATTTATCAATATCTCATATAATAATTTGGTTATTTATGATAAGTAGGTAAAACAAATATGCTTTATTTATTAAAAAAACAGTGTACAAATAATAATTAAATATTAAACGATAATAATGTCTAGGTACTGTGATAATTATTATCGTCTGGAACTAAACGAATCTAGTAAATATTTACAAATATGAACATTTAAAAAGATAAATTTCAAATACATATAGATATTACTTGGAACAATTATAAAAGGCATTGTTTTTGTTTTAGTGGATTTGAATTAATTAACATGTAATAAATATTTCTTCTATAAACTCCTAAAAAAAGAATAACTCTATATACATATTTCCATAAATAAAATATTTTGTAGTAAAATATAGTCTCAGATGTGAGGTGTAAGAAAGTTGGAAAATTGATTAAAACTTGATAAACTGCTTTTAATCATATTCATGTGTCACTCACCGCCGGCCGCCGCGCTGTCCTTTTAAAAATTTTCTTCGCTCGTTTTGATAACAATCCCCGCCTTTGGAGAAGACGAGTCTATCCGTAGGGGTGTTGTAAAGTTTTAGTAGTTTTGACGCTAGATGCCCCCGTGTCATAGTTAGATTTTATCGTGGTGTAAGTATAATACGACTGGCACGGTATGGCACGGCCTCCACTAACACCACATGTATACAAATTTTCGTATAAAGTTGTGTTCACATATTATACAGTGCCAATTCGCATATAATGTAATAAACATTAGAAATTGGGAAATTTAAGTTATAAATTTAAACTTTATTTGTTGTAATAATCCACTTTAAACATGGTTATCAATTCTTTACAGAAAATATATGATTTCTATACAATAGTTTTACTATGTGTAGATTGATTATTATTGTATGTGTTCAGGTCATATAAGATAACAAATTTTACTTAAAGAACATTGCTCGTAATATTTACTGTTGTTATTTTGTGATATTTACCTAATTATGTATTTACAGATAGCAACATAATGACATAGTAACTAATGGTCCCTGATAAAATATTAGGTACATCCATCATAACATCTAAATATAGAAGAATAGACAACATCTGTAATACTGATAAATTTATTTTTTCATACTATACACATCCTGACGTGCCCATGAGAATTAAAGTAGTATGGTGCAAAAGGCAAAATATCCATGCCATTTCTGAGAGCAATAATTAGTTAATAGAGAGTTTGTAGTCTCTTGTCTTGAACTGGCTTTCTCAACTTTGTAACCGAAACATAACGAATGCACCCAATGCAGTGTATGTATTAATTGCGACAACAGGGGTAGGATATATATGAAAAGGGTAAAGGATCTTACGACTACTTGCCTATAGATTATTTATTTTAGTACGTATTTTTAAAATTACCGTTTAAATGCATTTATAGAGTTATGATTATATTATATAATAATATTAAATAAGTTATTATCTACATAAAAACATATTGTATAATTATATTTAATATATATCGCAGATTTAGTATACTCTTTCTGAGATAAACGTGCATAAACGTGCATAAACGCATAGACAAAAGTTTATTAATATTATTTTATTTTGTAACAACTGCGACTTGTATATATTTATTTCGTATATATTTATAGATAAGGCATAATAACGCTTAAATTCAAGTGTAGAAGGTGCTTTATCTGACGTGACTAAAGAATATCGGTTATTGTCATATATGGATGAAAAATTTGTATTCCTATTAAGTGCTGTAGCGGTGCGGTGCATTGTTTCCTCCGTAAAAAGATAGACTGAATATGAAACAGACTTTCCAAGTATACATACTATTTAATTACAATAGCTTTATGAAAATGAATCACATCATGTCGATAGTGGGTTCTAGGCTTTTGTATCGCCTCCATACGCGCCATGGGAGGGGTGATAATGGGCAAATGCTGCTATTATAGACATAAAAAGAACTAGATATGACATTATTATTAATTTTTATTATATCGTCCATAAAATTATTAAACAATGAATTTTGATTAGTACTGCGTGAAAACAAAACAAAAACGATAGTTTTATAAAATTATGACAATATTTTTTCTACGGTACGATATAATTATTTGTCCATAAGAGGTACATACTAAGAGGTACTCATTAAGATGTTAAGAGTGAGAGTAGGTACTCTTTGTTACTTTGATGTCATAATGTACCTAGAATTATGAGTTTAAGAATAGGCTCATATTATGTTCAATTCCGACGAATCATACAGATGATGCAGTTCGATTGGAACATTTCCGAACGGAGAGGGACGTAACAACCGATCATCGAATTGAATAACGTCATCGGCATGACCCGTCCGTCTCATAATGTGTGGCCAATTTTTTTTATATAATTTTCAGCGAGTTTGACCGCAATCTCACCTGATGTTAAGTGATGACGCGGTCTAAGTTTTATTTTTAAATAGAGACATTAAATAAAATTATGAATCACTAGTAGATTTCGAAGTGTAGTTGCTACGCAACATGTTATATTGTCGATTTAGTTTACTGTAGAGGGTATCAGGGTAACTACCTTTTTGTATACCCTACATTGACACTTTTTAATCGTGGTTTACATTTATAATCCAAAGTAAATTCCAATCCAAATATATACTATAATTATTATACGCAAATATTATAAACATAATTTTTAGCTTAATTTGCGATTACTAATGATTTTAATTATTGTAGAAATATCTAGGTTTTTTTAAATATAGTGCTCCCGATGTCTTTTCTTGAGAATAAACTGATATAAAAATACTTATTTTTTTGTAAATATATAATACATAGTATACATAAAAACACTAACAATATTACTGGTGAATACAAATGTGATATTTTTCTTTTAAATAGATACGTATATAATATCTAAAAGAAAGTGTCAAAAAGCTGCTATGGCTACTTGAAACCTGTCTATTGTGGGTAAATATAACTATTGAATAGAAGTTGGTGTTTAGACAGGTAAAAATTTAATGCCTACTATTACAGGGTTGAATATAGACAATAAAAAATCATCATACAAAACTTGTTAGTGATACCTAGAGCTATTAATTTTAACGACTTTCAATGATCGTAAAATTGTAACAACGTAATAGCCATTGGTGTGAAGTATGGAAGATTTTGTAAAAACTTTTTAAATAACTTCATGACGTTCATTACTAAGAAATAGAGCTTCAAAGAAACATTTTAGTTTGGAACCCAATTCCCAAAGGAAATCAACATTTTCCTGGAACACGTTGGCGGTAATACACATACTAATGGTAGCGGAATTAAACAAAATAATATAAAGCCATTAATTGATTTTCTTTTTGTAAACCCCGTCCATTATTTCATGGTAGCCATTTTAGAATCAAGGAGGTCAGATTATTCGTTACATTCCTATTCTTATAAGCAATACTACTTATATTTGGATAACGCCGTAGTCAAATGTAAACAGTATTTTTGAGCTTTTAGTCAAAACAACGTACTATAAGGTTGATATTTGTTTTACCAAGTTTACTATCATTATATATAGGTATAATTATTAGGAAGTGAAAAGTTAACATACACATAGACCTAAATGTGATTATACACTACTGCTTTCTAATTACTAAGACTCATATTTATATACCTAATGTGTTTGATTTATTTGCTATCTCTATTACACCACTACAAACTTTTATAATACTAAAATAAAATTTTATTTTTAAAACTGTAATACAACATTACTATTTTTAGCACTTAAAATGAAATAATTTTAGCGATAGGTAATTTATCACATTTGAAAGGAGGTTATCTGAATTATGAATATTATTCGCTGGTGGTCATGCAACCTCCGGCGTTTTTATGGTTTTTATTATGACAATTGTAGTAAATATTTACATTAAACACAAATTACATGAATTATTATCTAAGTGCTCTATTCTATTAACAGAATTTATAATATATTATTTAGAATGCCATAACATAAAGTAAAATATGATAAAATATTTGATATTTAAAAATGTGTATACAATTCCCTGTACGATTCGAGTAAAACATGCTATCAAATTTTCTGGAAAATGTAATAATAGCCAACGAATTATGGGAATATCAAATGTTGCATTTATAACAAACTTGGTACTATCGCTAACTACCTCACTAGAGAAAACAGTGGACATATTAATATTATTATAATCATTATGTATATTTAAATATTTGTTTTGTTCCAGTCGTGTAGTATCAATACTACAAATTCGGTTTCGGTGGTCTAGCGGTTTAGCAAACCGCCTTACTTCCAGTAGTCCTGGGTTCGATTCCTCGCACGGTACAATCATATGTATTCATGAATATATATATATATATATATATATATATATATATAGTCTGTATCGGTCCGAGTCTGATCTATGTATATTAATATGAATAAAAAAAATCGATGTAGTTATATTAGTTGTCTAGTACATATAACACAAGCTCTGCTTAGCTTGGGACTAGATGGCGCTATTGTGATATGTCTTGACATATTATTAATAATAGTTTCGGACTACATCACACTACATGAAGTGTCCTGTCAAGCATTTTTATTGTTTCTACTGTAATTATTATTGGTAAAAATGCATCAGCCATAATAATAAAGTAGAACAACTTCACGTAATTGCCACATGTTAGAAGAGTGGCAATTTAAAAGATGTAATCCAGCAGGCACCGATGGACGGAGTACGTATCGCCGTTCAAGTAAACAATGGACGTAGTCACTTACAATTTGCGGGTGTTTACACAATGCCCGAATTACACGTGACGATAAATTTACTATGCCACGTCATTCTGTCGACGTGAACACCGGCGGAGTAGCGTCCCAAATCGACGGTTAAATAATGTATTTTCGTTAGCGATGACACCGTATCTGAATCATGTATCAGAAATGCTTCAGGTTCATTATAGCATGTAAAATAATAATAATAACCCTGGACAACATAATATTACTAGTAGTATAAAAATAAATCTAGTCCTAAGCTAAGCAGAGCTTGTATTATGCGGACATGACTACAGTTAGAAAAAAATTCTTATCTATATACATCTTTTTTGGTAAAACATATACATATAATATATATAGGAAGTATCCAGACCAATGCAAACAGTTATACTCATAAATACAAATATTTGCATGTGAGGAATCGAACCCGCGACCATCGAATTATCCTGGCTGAGTTGCAAATTCAGAGTCACGATGAAGATATACCTGTATTCTATAACATAATAGTGTTCAACCAATATACTAGTATTTACATACATACTATTATCAATAAATATGTTAGTATTAAGGTCTGTATGTATGTATATACGTTACAAAAAATCGCCAAACATCGGTGTTGTCTATTTTTTCGGACTACTCTAATGCTGTTGGCCGCAGCTGGCCTTTACAGCTTCACTGGACGTTAGGGGGCGAGTGCAGATGGCACTCCAAACCCGCGGAAGGACTTATGGAGCGGCTGAAGGCCAGCTCCTACCTGACGAATACGACTTTAGTCTGAGGGCACCACTAAGGGTTCGAACCTCGGCGCAGGCCGTCGTAATTTCGATCCCCGTTTGAATTGAATGGGGGATCGATCGGAGGGGCGCCCGGGGGCGCCGGTAGATTAAACTGCGTTTTTCTTGTTAATTGTTTTTAACAGATTCCATACTGTGAAGGAACGTTACCAGCAAGTTTGTTCGCGTGTACAGTGAAATAATTATCACTAAAGGCATTAACATCAAATTTTTTTTATCTTTATTAGAGTAGGGATAGGAGGTAATATTTTCAATTTGTATTATATATAACCGTTATAACGAATTAAACATGTTGCCTATGTTTAATTCGTTATAACGGAATGTCATAACAGAGAAATGGTACGACAACCACACAAAATATTTGTTGTGGATACAGACTAATTACTAAGTAGTTTTTAAAATATATATTCAGATGTACTCTAACATTATTTAAATACTATGTATGTATAATATTAGCTAATGATTCATATATATATATATATATATTAATCATCTAATTATACTATAGTATTTGACGTACTAACGCTTCCTTGCAGAGTTATTTTATATGAGTTGTGCTCAGTGGTTCTCGATAACGGCCGGAAAAATAAAGACGTTTACAGTAAGCGCAGCGAATATATTTAGGACACGATAAAAATGATCACGCAATTTATTTAGAAATAAATGGTCGAGTTATAGTAGATGTCTATTTTTAATGCAACGTTCGTCATATCGTGAGAGGTGCCGTCATACTCTCGTGGTGCCCAATAGATTCCTCGGACGCAATCGACGAAGCAATAAAATATAAGTAGCCTTGATACATATTGTATATATCTCTATTACCTATATATGTTTCTATCAAAATACATATTTTACGACAAGTATTTATTTTCGTAGAAAACTTGTTGTGATATTTTCATGTATAATGCTAAAATTTTTATATTATTATAGGTACATACGAGTATATCTAAAATTTTACTATTGGCCTGGTTGCAGATCCTATTATTATCCTATTATTATTTCTAAACGAAATAAAAGGAAAATATAAAATTTAAAAAACAACATATAAAATATAGCTAAACGATTCGAGAATTTGCTTTTTATATGTGTGTTAAGGATTTTCAACGTTCCATTGGAACAACAAGTAGGTATTATAACCCACTTTTCATTTGTTTCATTTAGAGAGTTTATATTTCAGAAAGTTTATCCGTTTTTATGTTCCAAGGAAATAGTATTTCTATCTAATATTTTGAATGTGGAGAATTGCATAGATGTTCATATCTTTTTTGTATAATCCTCGTGTCGATCGATTTAATAAGGAAGAATTGAATGAAAGTTTGTCCGCAGACATAATTGACTAAATTATCGCATCCATATATCCATATTTTTCGTTGATTCATTTCGTTGAGTTCACACGGGATTTTTGTTGAAGAATTGGTAGTCTAAGTAAAGGAAAATTGAAGTTCATGGAATTTTCCTCGTAAGATATATATTAGTATTTATGTTCGATTACTACGATTCTACACGCTGTTGTCTACACGTTATCCGATCAATGAAATATACGTATGACTGATACAAAATGCTTACGAATATTATCAAACATTTTAACTAGAACAAAAGCTTGTCTAGAGAACGTAAACTTGTCAGATACACGGATGGTATTTCGTCATTAATTTACAATTTCAGCAATGTTGTACGACAAATGTACGCATGTGTACAATTTTGTGTTTACAAACAATACAGGTTACAAGAGTTAAGGAATGTAGTGCTGTATTTTTTTGTTTATTTGAAATTTAAATAGAAGTCCGTTGTTGTACTTGGTTTTCAAACTTATTCTAACGATATTTATTATTTATATTTTCAGATGAAAGTTCCACAGATTTTCAATCGTGTCAAAATTAATAGATATAGGACTATCATGGGAATAAACCACATTGATTTTAAAAATGCTCAATAATACCATAATTGTCGAATATATCGCATTAAATATACTATACCCGAGACCCTGTTTTTTTTAATTAGGTTTATTAATACATTTATACTAGAAAAATATAGTATAGGTACGTGATTTAAATATTCACATACTTAAAATTTAATTAAAGTCGAGTTTCAACATACAAATATGGAAAAATGACTTTAAAATATTTTAAACATATTTAACATGGTGTTACAGTAAAATGTTGTCATTCATTCACCTGAGAGCAGACGCTCTCCTCTTGGGCAATTCGACGTCTGTATAATCTTCAGCATCGCCTGCAGACCGCCGCCGGCCACGGTCCGCCAACAATTCTATAGTGGTCCAGAATGACCCGTCCGAGGAAGTCGACGGTGTTCGCAACATGATGCACTTTTACAGTTGCATGTTGCTTCACCCGCGGCCGAAGGTGCAATGACTGTTGCCGCCATTAACGTCGCGTCGCGTAGGCCCTAGAGCCACCCGCGACTCGCCCTCCACACCCCATACGCTATCACGCGAACATTAATTTGCCCCGACACCTTTCATGGCTCATTTCCCGCGTATTCGCCGTATCATACCGATAGCGTAGACACTTGATGTGCTATCATAGTTCCATTAAAAGTAGTTAATTGCCTGCACGTCAGGTTTCAGTGCCATTATGCTGTCAATAGCTGAACGTTTCGATTAAAACGAACATTATTTTTTTTATACAGATTTTAGCCTATTCATTTATAAAAGCGTAGGTAGGGAGTATCGTATATTATTTATTACCATATATTTGTGGTAATTATTATAATTCATTATATTCTACTGTTGGGTACGGGTCTTTCCTGTTGGAAAGCAACACCTATTGTCGTCGCTGCACCTATATACATAAACAGGACAATAGATATCAAGCGATGTGAATGGGATGCCATGTACATACGAGTATACTCTTCATACGTTCCTATTCCTGAAAACTAAGGCGTCAGACCCCTGTATTCTGTAATTTTACAATAGATAATATCTCACGCTTTAAACCCAAATACACCTTATTACACCTCGTTTGAGTACATCGGTGACTGTTTTAGCTCAACATTGATTTTGTTATAATTGAACTCGTTATTTTGTGGATTTGTATTGACTTAGGATGGTGTTGGTGATTTCGTAAATGATTGAACATTACTTTTAGAAGTAAGTACCTATGCATTCAAAAAGATTTAAGTTGTATTTTTTTAATTATGCTGTCAAGGCATTTAGATAATCGAATTTTGGCCTAACAGTTGTAACCAAGGTTCAACTGTGTTTCCCAGTTGGCGGTGTCCGGGTGACCCGGATGGCTCCAACGTCGCCGGTCGCGACCGGGTCACTTGGATGCTTTCAGTGGCCTTCGGATGCACAGAAATAATTATATGTAGGTTATACACCATTTTTGTTTCGTCGACCCCATTCACTAATAGACCTTCGGCGTTACTGCATTTGGGTCAAGGTACTAAATGTTCTGTAATCCTTACTAATATTATAAAAGTAAGTTTTTACTTTGTTTTTTGATACTATAATAGCTTAACCAATTGACTAGAAATTTTATATACATAGTATTTGATAAGGAGGCAGTTAATGATATATTATAATTTTTGGTACATTTGAGCAATTAACATGCCAAGAAGATGCGGACGAAGTTCTGTGCACACAGAACTACTACAAAACTTTAATAGCAAGCATTAATGGCGATTTTAAATATTTTGTCTGTCTTTTTTAAATTTGGAAATAATTATTGATAAAGTTTTTCTAGATTTAGGTATTCTTAACGCCTACATTGAGTGGTTGAGTAAAGTGAATATTGCAGTCGATGAATAGCAATTATCATCCATGCAATATTTCTGTTTTAAGCGGAAATGTTTCAGACAAAGTTTTATTAATGCCAATAGAATGGAAAATCTACATATACTTCTATCACAAGAGAGAGAGAGAGAGAGAGAGTTTATTATTTTATTATTGGTTACAATTTATTTGTTGGATATATATATATATATATATATAATCGTAACGATAAAACGGAATTAGGTCGCCACTGCACCGATTTGAGAAATTCATTAACTTTGAAAGACAGATTATAGTATTCCTGAGTATCATATATAAAGTTTGTAGGTAAGCTGTACAACACCCGGTTTAAGCCGTGACGATTAGTGAATAAGTAATGCTATTTCTAACTTACGCATATTGAATAATCTTGGCTTGCCACCATCTTGGCAAATTGGGCAGTTGAAACCGTTTCATTTTCTTACGACCCATCTCTCCTTCCACCACCTCATCTTCTCCTTCAATCTTAGATAATAAATATATAATCATAACTTTTGGACGACTTTAGTGTCGCTATTAATCGTTTTTTTCAATAATCGAAGTCAAAGTCAGTCATTCAATTATAAAAAACACTTTCGTATATTATGTGACTATGTGACTGGAATACTAAACAAGCTGACTTCCCATGTAGTGGTAAGAAGAAGGTGTCGCCTATATACATAAACAGCACTACGCACACCATGTCGAAATATTTTGCTCTTGGTTATATCTTTGTAATCTCAAACCTCAATATCTTATACGTTACAATATGTCTCAACCTCCAACCGGAATATAGCTTGCAAATCAAGCTACTTAGCGGCTTAAATCGGTGAGAGTGATGTAGTTGACTCATTAAAGTACCTCTTTTATATGTCTGGCAGATACAGTGTCTAAACAATAATACAAATAATGGTCTACTTTAATCTCATTGATTTTATGTATTTTAAATAGTCCTATAGTGTATTTTCTTTATATAATCAATATGCAAAGAAGAAAGCCATACTTGGATTTTGACTCTTTTGTCCTTGTCATCGCCCTGGTGGCCGGTTTCGCCATGTTTATTATCTGCCATTTTTGCACTTATTTTCGTTGTAATAGAACTTAGAATTTTGATTAATTATTTAGAATTTTCCATGGGTATTATTTTACTGAAATTTTCTTACGTTATACAGATAATTTTAATCTAAATAATACATTTCAAAATTTAGACTCCATTTCAAAGAATTATTTGACAAACGTGTTTGTTAATATTTGCTTAGTGATTTTGACATTATGGATGTAATGTCAATCTTAGGAATAATGACTAAAAGTAAGAATCAATAAAATAAAATAAATACTGGCTATGTATAATACGAAACATTGTACGATATAAACAGCAACTAAAACAATTGTTAGTTATCGTTCTAAAACTCAGGTTATTTGCTCAGTGGTCCAGAGCATTACTTATGTGTGTAAATGTTTTTCTAACTTGATACCGAGCTAAAGTAAATTTACTGTATAACATGTAGGATTTTTTTATAATTTATGTAGATATATGTATTTCCTAGATAAAATATTTATTTCAACTCTACCCGCATGGCATAATAAGATTAGCTTAGGTTTCTTCGGAGTTTTTTTGTGCAAGCTAATATTAGGATGCTATTTTAGTGTAAATATGTATGCAAATTTATATTTGTGCGTTAAAGTTTAAATAAACAAATAAGTGTACTGAGCATCAGTTGTTATATCACTGAAGATTTGTCTGTATGTATTGACACATAGTGTTGAGTGGCCGGCATCAATGTACGAGTTATTTTCCATGAGATGAAAAGATCAATTTACAGTACTTTAAATAATTGTGCAATTTATTTAAAATTAGATACATTATCAAGTTGTACGGCAGGTAGTGAATGAATATCCTTTTCCTGTGCGATCCATTTCTGTCGTATATCTGGTTGGGTTGGGCCCCAATCATTGGTCGGACGGCAACTCACTCGCAGACGCTATAAAATAATAATAATTGAATAATAATGTTAATACGTGAAGTAGAAAACTTGGTACGGAAAGTACGGATAAATGGACTAAGGAGCTTGAAATTTGGCAAAGTTAAAGTTAGGGAATGCGGATATTTTTTTTTATTTACATTAAAATAATAACACATTGCTATGCGTTCGAGATATACATATATACATATAGGTATGTACACAAATATATACTATTTGTTTTAATAAACATGATACTTTGAAAATGGAACACTGTCAACGTACATACTCAAAGAATTGCTATCTGATTTGCACCCAAGAGGCCATTACTACTAATCTTGCCGACTTTGAGTGCAAATTTATCTTACTAACTAACATTTCGGTGAAAAATTCACTGATATATAATTTGGGGATAATATTCTTATGTTGGATTCTAAATTGCCCTGTAAAATTTGTTTGTCTAAGAGTAAGTATGAATTGAATTGAACAACAACAAAATACTAGAGGAAATCATATTTTAAAACATAATTTCACAGCCATGTCTCAACGCACACACAGCTTTTAAACAAGTTGCCTGGCGGCTGAAATTGATGAGATAGAGTTGCTTACATAGACTACTTCGTACAAAAGTACCTCTGTTAATACTGATCCTTAGTATAAACAATACATACAGCTATAGCGTGCTCGTCAAGCTATTGTGACTACGCGTCATGCTATATAATTAATCTGTGGTGCTTTTCATTTGCGCGAAAAAATATAGACTATACACACAAGACTTCTGTTTTTTGTTGTATTCTTCATTGTTATTTTACCTAATTCTATAAATATTCTTTATTGCAGAAATAATACAATGATACTGTAATGTAGAGACAATGTGAGCAAAGGTGGATTTATCCCTAGAAGAGATCTTTTCCAGTCAACCTAAAACTGTGGCATAGATATATTCTACACACACACTGAAACCTGAAATTAGACTTACCTGGATTAAATTTCCTTTTACTCTGTAAAGTGTTTTAATTGCGTGTATGGGTATTAGAATTACTGATGACAACGCAACTATCCAGCCACCAACACTAGTAACCTCTCGTAATGAGTATACCATAATTATCTGGAATAGATGACAACTAATTCATATTTCCCTGTTATATAACGCTTTACTTTAATTGCTCTCTGTGATTTTATTTTTTAGAAGATACATATAATTAGTTACTCTGTAGCGATAATTTAATCTATACATATAAATAATATTGGAGTGTCTATTTGTAATATTGAAATAATCGTTTTTTACTACATATATATGAACATAAACACGGTACAGACACTAAACTAACATTTTTAAAACTAAAATAACATTTTTTTCAAAATTTGTCTGTCTGTTTGTTCCGGCTAAACTCTTAAATGGCTGGACCGATTTTGACGGGACTTTTATTGGCAGGTAGTTAATGTAATAAGGAGAGAGTAGATTACTTTTATTTAAGAAAAAATCTGTTATTTTAGAAAATAAAGTAAAATTCCACGCGGACCCGTGTGTATAACTAATAAAAAATATAAGTATTATTCTTACCAGCAATATAATAGGTACAGGAAATTTCCACATAAATATCCAAAGACGATGTAATGGCGCGCCAGTCATAAATAATACATCTCTGGCTAATTTCTGAGGACCATAAGTGTACACAGCGCCAATAAGCTCCAACATACATACTAAAGGCACACAGGCAATGGCGACGTGTGAATCTAACAGCCCTATGATGTGAAGTCCCCCCTATAAAAGTTTTAAATTAAGATTTAGATTTTAATGGAATGGAATGGAATTAAAAAATGGCTACCAATATACACAATCTAGAAATTGCGTATACTTTAGGTATTCGCATATGTGCTGATTTTAAGCTCACGCTTAACAGAGTATTAGAAATAGATAAATATCCAGGGCCTAGAATCGAGGAGTTGTTATTGGTATCCTTTTTATGTATTATTATCCTATTTTGTAATAAATATATAAAGATGAATTTAAGAAAATCTTTAACTTATGGTATTTTACTTTATCAATATCAGAGTAACATGGGCTGTATTCCAGTCTGGCAGCACCGCGGTTGAGGTATAATAATCTTTAATACGACAATGTAATCAAGAATACGTGTTACTCAAGGTAAAAGTTGTATAATACTTTTCTATGTATTATAATTTACATCACAACATTTATAAGTACAAAAAAAATAGCAAATATTGTTTGATATAACGATATTGGATTTTCAATAGCGCTATCAGTTTTGTTGGATGGTTGATGTACAGTGTCTCGAAGCACCGTCTATCATGCAACATTCACTTGATAGTTGCAGTTCTACGAGAACTATGTGGCTTATGGACTGAATTTTATTGTTTATTTCACTGATTTCCATCACATTTGAACGGTAGCCGACCATAAAGACGGTTGGATGTGTTGACTTTATATCGACTTTCATTTTATGGTATATTGGTATACAAATTATTTTTATATTTACTCCAATGTAGAGCAAATAACATTACCCATGTTTTCTAAGTATATGTATGCAGCTTTGTATAATTTGTATTACATTTCATACTAGTTGTAATTACAACCTTTTATATTTGGTATTTTGATCAACAATGTTATATCTCTATCTTTCTTGGGAGCTAATATATTTTTTATTATGAATTAAATCGATTAAGAGAGATACTAAGTATTACAGGACTGTTCTTTTAAATCAGTTGGTCCATTTCTGGGATTATGTTACAAATGCCCAGTAAAAGAGATCAAATTCTAAATTCATCTCGGTAATATAAGCTCAGTACTAATTATCATTTACATATATTCATGTGAATATACGTAAAGAAAGAATTATGTTATATAAAACTTCTAGAATATATAAAAATACATACCTCAGTATTGCATATAATCGATAGACTAAAGAGTACTAAGCATGTAAGGAATGTGATAAGTTTTTTACGTGTTCGTAAATATGGAAACTCATCCAAAATTCCAGCAATTACTGCTTCTATGGTAACAAACTGAAAAAAAAACAGCAAATATGTAAAATATCTTGTACAAAATCTGGAGTAAAAATAATTTATTTTAAATACATCAAATATTAAAATGTTTGTACAGTGCGAGAAATCAACCTGCGACTATTAGAACAAAAACGGCGTGCTAAACCGCTAGACCACCGAAGCTGTCAAACGGATTGTGTTCTGTACCTAATGTCTACAGCTACCTTTTGCCATCACATCGCTCCCCTTCGACAGGGTATTCATCTTTAAGAGAGACTTCCTTCCACGTAGATTATGAAATGAACTGTCTGCAGAGGTTTTCTCTAGAGACTATAACATGAGGTTTTTCATAAAGAGGCGAATTTCATACTAAGGCTACTAAAGGGTCGGCAAGTTAGATCCCTGGTGTTTCATGCGTCCATTGGCCGTTGCCTACAGTAACTGTTTCCTATCAAATGTGCCATATGCTTGTTTGCCAACATTGTGTATAACATGATCGAAATATAAATAGGAAATTATTATATTATAATTACCATGGAATCTATCCCGAGAAAGAACAACATAATAAAGAATGTCACGGCCCAGAAGTTAGGAGCTGGCATCATTGTGACAGCCGCTGGGTATGTCACAAATGCTAAACCAGGGCCCGCTGTGGCCACTTGACCGACTGGTACACCAGCACGATCAGCCGCGAAACCGAGCACGGAAAATACCACAAATCCTGCCCATATACTTGTACCGCTGTTTACAAGTGGTATAATTATTGAGGATCTAGAAATTAAATTACCCACTCTATAATATTATAATAGCGAAAGTATGTCTATCTCTCTGTCTAATTGTTACTTCAATCGTTCTTCATGACTAATGCCTGAAAAGATTAAATGAAATTTGAAGAAACACGAAGAATGCTTATGTTACGTGGAATATCTATTTTTTTTTAAATAAAGCACATTAAGTCGCAAACAAGAAACAGCTAGTTTTAACAGGGAATCTGTGGTCCTTTGTCTGTTAGTTACATTTTCATGACTAAACGCCTGAACTGATCTTAATGACGTTTGACATATATAAATTTAAAGTATATTTTGTATACGGGAATTTTATATAGGATATCTTTAAAAGAAATTGGAAAGGAATGAAAGAGGGGATGATATTATGTCGAAGTTAACAGGTAATAAAACACGGGGTTAGTAAAAAGGTGTAAAAGAATATATGAATCAAACCGCATATTGTTATAATTGAATTGGTTAAAACTGGCCATGCTGACGAGACCTCCCCATCCCGGTCCAAGGGAATAAAATATTTGAGTTGCTGCATCAGCCCAAACCTGAAAAAAATGAAGTTATGCACGTAACTAAGTAAATATTATTTTGTACCATCCTTAATAGATTCAATAATCAATTTATTTAAGCAAAATTTATTGTCGATTATTTTCTACTACTGTTAAGTCTTCTTTTTATGATTACATATCATGTATCTTATTTTTATGAATTTACAATAATGGAAATAATAATTCCTCAACAACAGTAATAAATAACAGATTGTAAAATGTTGTGATGTGATCGAAAAGACCATTAAGAATAATTAATTATATTTACTGCTAGTTTATGGTATCCACTGAATATCTCCATCATCATATGATATAGATTTAAATATAGAGTCTAGAGAGAGAGAGAGAATATACCCATTACCTTAGGGTTCTTCAACTGCTGCCAATCTGGTAAAATGTAGAATAGTATGCCTTTCCATGCGCCCGGTAACGTTAATCCACGTATAAGTAGTGCACATAGAACTACATATGGGAAGGAAACTGTGAAGTACACTATCTGTCAATTAGAAATTGATTATTTGTTTTATCAGTTAGCAGAAAAAAAATTATAAAGGGATTGACTTAGTGGATATACGTCAAACATCTGTACATATATTTGTTATTTTAATAAATTTTCTATTAGTTCATGTCTCATTGAATTACTCATATACGCGGTTGTTATTATTCTATATTTTTCTGTACAGAGTCGTATAAGATCTAGTATAAAAAAAATAACTACGTAAATAGTAGTTATTTACGTTAAGATTTACTAAAAATATTTTGTACAAAATTATTACAGCTGTAACTGTTCTTAATAAAGACGGTAACTGAAGTTGTGGAGGAAATACCTTTCCGACGCTCTTGACACCATTACAGATGCAGAGGTAAACGATCAGCCAACATATAACATTACACCAAAACACAGGCCACACTATTCCACCGATATGATTAATATCGGACGACATTCGTAATAGTCGAATACTGGAAATAATCAAAAACATGAACTTGTAAATTAATAATGGACAACAAGAACATGTTCAAATAAAATTAGGTGCATCAACTTACTGAAAGAATTCATCTTCCGGCGTCGTAATTGTTCCATTTGAAGTAAAAAAACTAGAATTTCCTGATATCTGCAAATTATGTTTTATATTTTTATTCAATAAATTGCTTGATAATTTATATTTTACTATTAGCCCGCCCCGGCTTCACCCGAGTGCTTATAACTTTGATTAGTTCTATATAAATGAACATATGTAATACGATATATATTTAATTTAGGAATAAAGTACCTTTCTAACAGTGAAATAATTTCTGAAAACGGTACAGTAGTTCTCCAGTTTACTTTCGTCATAATATAATTTGATCTCTTTATCTTTGTGTAATATTAGTACTATACTTATTTTAAAATTAGTACATAATTAAATTCATATATGTACCTCGGTGCACTTCTCTGTATTCCATGAATTTTCACAAGTTTGCCATGGCAGAGGCGAACTAAACGAGTGATATATGTATAGGACAGGATACGACATAATAGAAGAAAAGTATATTATTGCTATTACATTTAGAATAACAGCAGCATAGCCAGCGCCTGCAGAATAATAGTAGAATATTGTTATAGAATACACATATGAAAATTTCGTCTCGTTAGTCGATTATAAATTAATTTCACAATTTTTTGTTGAGTATATGATTTATATATTTTTGAGTATATATTTTTTGTGTAGTATAAGAGTCCTTGAATTGAATCTCATTCTCAGCTATAATAATTTAAACTTAATATGGCTATTCAAATTTAACTCGAGAACAAAAATTAAACACTATATGAAAACGACTACGATTTTAATTTTTTAATAAATTTCTTTTGATACAATATGTCTTTTAAATAATGCATACGTGATATGTGGTATTTACGAGTATAGATAAGACCTAATTGCGTTTATACATATATTAATAGATAAGTTTTATGACACATGCGAAAATCTTTATATAAAACCTAAGTAGATTATTTGTAGACTACTAAACTATCGACTAATGTCTATATTTCTATAATTATTTTGTTTAGGTGGTTATGGCACAAAACAAAGCAACAAAAATAACATACCTTTGAATAATGGATTTATGTTGAAAATAGAAATACTTCCTGCACTAGCAAATTGGCCTAATGTGGTTTCCAAATAAACTAGCGGTATTCCACATATAAATAATGTCAAGAAGTATGGAATTAGAAATGCGCCTGGAATTACAATATATAGTCATTAAATAGATTTTATTAATAATTTTAATATAGAATCTGAAACTGTACATCATTAGAATATACAATATTATTTTTAAATGGGTTTAAATACTATTTAGTCATCAGTTTTGATTGAATTGTACTTACCTCCGCCATTTCTATAACACAGGTATGGAAATCTCCAAAGATTTCCTATACCAACAGCGTAACCAAGGCATGACAACAGATATTCGAGCTGATTGCTCCACCGTTCGTGCGGACCTCCCGCCATTCATAAACAACTGGTCCAATTGTATACTTCACAATTCGTATTGACCCTATGATTACTTTAAATTGAGGATATGATTATATATATATATATATATATACACTTCGACTAAAAATTGGGGTCTAGCATGAAGAAATATAATCCGCCTAACGAAATGAATAATGTGAACAGGTCACAGGAGCCTACCGCTGACAATAAAAAATGTGATATACCATTGACATTATAATAATTATAATTTTCAACAGCAAGAAATTACAAATTATTATCTTGTAAAGTAAGCTGTAGGTAAAAATATATATTTGACAATCATTAAATACGTATCGAGTCGATTCCAAAACCAAATTGACAAGTTAAGTTATCAGGAAATTGTTGTTTTGAAGATCCAATATCTGTTTCAGTTTTGACTTTAGTTGCCTTAGTTGGCGTTAGAGAATATTGTAATATCTGCAAAAAAGGGACTATTTAAAAACGTTCTTAAAAAGAAAACTGTGAGAAAGATTAAAAAATACTCACAGATAGGTCTCCATCACCCCAATGTATAGCATCATTGTTGCCAAGTGAATCATCCCAATGGAAGTGTTGAGAGTTTTGACTCCAATCAGGACGTTTCAGAGCACATTTTATTGTAGCCAAAGTTATTCTCTGATCTATTGGTTGTTTCATAGCATTACTACTTTTCTTGTCTATTTTATTTTGCTTACTTGGCATTATCTAGAATAAGCAAATATTATCAACTAGAATGATAGTTTCACCCACATGAAATTTTTATCCTGTGTTATATGATGTATAACCTACATATATTCTTGTAGTTTTATTTAAAACCATCCAGTGGTTTTTGCGTAAAAGAGTAACAAACATCCATCCATCGATCGACACTCATTAACTTCCGGGTTTATAATATTAGTAAGATTAATTATATATTTTGAAAGTAAGTATATTAAAATCGGATAAAGGTCATTTTTTACATTAAATAGATTTTATAAATTACTTTCTGTATAAAATTTTGACGTTACTTTAAACGTAATGAATTATAAAAATACATATATATATCTATATATTTCATAACAGTAACTGTAATACTAACTAAATAAAGTTCTATTATATTAAACATTTTGGTCTGAACTTTTATATTAAACAGATTGTTGTAAAACTAATATATCTTATAGTTCACGTGCTGAATACTCTAGGTTGTTTCGAAAAATACTTTATAGATACTTATATAAAACTGGTATTTATTACATATTACTGTACATAAACTTTATGTATTTCTAAAGTTTCCTTTGTCAAGTTTATAGTTAGTCCATTGTGACAAATGCACTAAGATGTAAAGACGATGTTTGTTGATGTGATTCTTTTGGGGGGACGGCATGGTAGTCACCTACATGTTATATTGCTAGTAATGGGGCCAAATGTTCCCATTCCTAACATTCCCCTAACTACTTGAAATGATATATCCTTACATTATACATACCACAGAGTAAATTAATCTCACTGTAACAACAGTTCTAAATGTATTCCTCAAAGCCAAAAGATCAGGACAGAAAATTCTCACTGTTGGCTCTTGAAAATTCATAACTTTGTTCCATTGGATTTTATTACTTTCAAATGTAGTAAAATGGCAAATTTCCTGGGAATTTTTAGTTGTCAGATGCTTATAAATATCAGATTCATGAGGTGATACTTCAGGATCTGGTACATGAAAAACATCTAAAACTTGTAATTTAATTGAATATTAAAGTAAATAAAAATAAAAATATATATCTATCTATATGTAATTTCTAAATCTTAGATGTGAAATATGTATCATCATCATCATTTTACATAGTATAAAAAAAAGTCGCTGTCGTTGTCCTTTCGTCACTATGCTTAAATGTTTCAAACTACGCAACGGATTTTGATTGAAGCGGTTTTTTTAATAGATAGAGTGATTTAAGAGGAAGGTTTATATATATAATATAAGACAGGGCGAGTTGCTAGTTATGTATAAATATGTATTCCCTTAAAACGTGGATAATTCTGGCATAGAATTCTTACCAATGGTTGTTTTACTTTTAATGAACATTGATGTAATATTGGAAACAGGCCACTCTTCGTCTTCTGGCAGTGGTAATCTCTCAGTAAGCGACTCATGTTGTCTAAACATAAGAAACCTTCTTCGTGTTGCGTCTAGCAGAGGTAATTCTAATTCCACGTGGAATGTCGTTATTGCTCCCTATAATTTTACAATGCCAATACCATATATTTGAATAGTATTGATATAAAATATAATTTTATATGTAAATAAAAAATTACAACATATTAAGTATATAAACTTTTGATTAAACTTTAATTTGGTGACATTTACATAACTACTAAAATATCCTATCTGTCACCTTGTCTGTATATCTGTATAACCAATGAGTACGAATATGTGTCACATTTTCAACCCCAGAATATCTTAAGAGTTAACTAATATAACAAATCACAAATATGCGCATCTCTACAGAGATAATAATGAACCAAAACCTCCATACGAGGGGGGATGGGGATTGTTAGTAATGTGGACTCATATTTGTTACTACCCCATTACTGACAATGTATCATGTCAGATTAACCTCCACGTGGTTCCCCCTGGAAACCATCGTGATAATTTCCTGATGAATTTGTCACGATGGGCTAACTGACCTGACCTCATGTTCATCTTATTATCCTCCACTGGTGCCATGCCAGAATAAACAGTTAATACAGGTGGGAGTACCATTCCATTTCATCCATAAAAAAACCTCCTTACGATGAAAAGCTTATGCCAACCAGTGAAACTAAAGAAGTAAGTTATAAAAATGTTGCTGGAAAACTAGCTCTATGTTATATATGGAAAGTAAAGTAAGTACCTTTTCGGGTTTTGGCGGTTGAGGAACAGACATTATACGTAAAACAGTGAAGTTGAAATATGTCGAAAGTAAATCATCGGTGTGTGGTTCAAATGGATCTATTGGTCTATCAGTTGTCAGTATTTCTCGTGAATCCAGCCATTTCAGACGAGGTAGTCTCATTAAAGTTGTACGAGCGTAACCAGAACACATCTAGATTCATTTATACAGTTAGCAATGTTAAATTAAGTTTACATACATTAAAGAACAGCGCCATCTAGGTTAATTTGATTTTAACAAAGCGTTACTGAGTGTATTGCGTGCTCACGTACCGAGCATGGGTTTCCGGCAAGCATTAGCGAGGAGAGACTTGGCAACTTTGCTAGGACATTTAATATTCCTTCTAGACTGTAGATGTCATTGTCAGATAAATCTAATACTGTAATATTCGGTATTCGTGATAAACCTTTAATATTATCTATAACGACAATAAATATATAATTTTGTATAATAAGTTTAATATAAATTCAGTAGTTAATGTTTAGAAAGTTTAGTATTCAAAATATAATTTTATTTTACATCGGCTACATAGTAAATACCATATACATACTTACTATCATCTAGTAAATTCCTTGCTAAGCCCAGATATGACAAATTGAAAGGTAGGAATTCTGAAAATGTTTCTATATTTCTAATACAATTTGCTTGAAGTTCCAGAATTCTTACTCCTCGTGGAATACAGCTTGAATCCAAATTAGAAAGAAAATTTCCACATAAATTCAAAGTGACAAGATTTTTAAAATCTGATAAGCCATTATCTAAGTCAGTTATCTGAATACAAAAATTAAAATATATTAAAATGCGTTATCAAATAAAGATAATATTAACTGAAAGAAGTTATTACCTGGGCATCGTTCAGTCGTAATACTGGTACTAATTTTAGGTTTTGTTTTAAAACTTTTTTATCACCAAAACGGACGGCTTTTTTGATTAATTTCACCATATTGTCTGTTATGTTGTTGCAGCTATGAAAGCAAATTTTAGCTTCCTCACTTGCAAATTTTTCATTATCCCATAAAGTAATAGGTAATATTAGTTCCCATTGTTCGTCGAGGCTGATATTAGAGTGTTCATTTAAAAATCCACAAAATATACTTTTATTAATTTTACTTTGTAGGGCCTCCGTAAAAGCAACTTTCGTAAGGTTTTCTCTAAGGCACAATCGCTTATGATGACGTGCTGCTAATTCTATAATAGTCCAATCAATTCCTGTTTCGATACGCTCTTGGTAACCTGAAACAAAATTTCTAACCAAATGTTTAACGTTGTTGATAATGTTTAAAACTTAAACGTAAACTGAATGTCAATGAAAATGTATTCGCACAATTGTCCTGAATATCTAAAAACAGCAATAAAGTTGTACCTTCTATTGCGTCACTAGGAACATACAAAAGGCTAGAGTCACTTATTGCAGGTCGTGTGACTTGAGGAGTCGACTTTTTTGCTGATTCCTTGGGCTTAGGAGGCATGATATTTCTGGAATGGTTTCTAGAAAACCGTATAATAATGATGAAAAAAATTGTACATCTGTCGAAATATTGACAGTGTCTACTCCATCCTGACATTATATAAAAGAGGGATTGCTCGAGTAGATCGGATCAGTAAGCGTATACTTAAGAAAATATGTTACCCTACTGTTTCGTTTAATATGTTAATTTAGGTTGTTTTTTATTCACTAATATTAATTCAATATTATATGTTCATATATAAAGACTTGAAAATATTCCGTCTCTACATTTTTATAACTTCCTCATAAGCATGTCGATAAAGCAGTCTAATCTAAGCGGTGTTATGGCAGTCACTAGATGTCGCTACTTTATATTGTTTATTGTGATGTGACGTTTATAACATGTGCTTTTGCATTGCATTCGCAATCAGTGAACTGTGATCATTGGAAGTTTATTCGTGATTGATACTTACCAATATGCACGTCACTAGAATTAATAATTGGCAAAAGTATTGAATCGATCGTATGATTGTAAAGCGAATGTATCATTTATAAATTTGGTCAACATAGACGTGTGACATGCTTCACTTGCTACTTATAAATAGAACATAAAACCGCGGGTGATATCCTCATAGATCCATACGTATATATATGTGCGCTTCATTTTTTATATTGCTGAGACTGCGCGGGAGTTTTGAGTTATCAATGTGAACTTTTTCGGAGAGCAGTGAGCTGCATTCGTTTCACTGTTGAGGCAGTGTTTTTCGAGTGGTTGTAGTGAAACGGTGAAAGTAACTTAGTAATGTGGCTGTGCAGTTTAGGTGACGTTGCCAGTGCGCCAAACTGCTTATGCCCTTGTATGATTGGCAACACACCATAGTGGGTGCGAGCGATTTAACGCTTCTTCCGTATTAAGTTATTCGAAGAATTTCAATTGAAGGTAATGATATATTTAATTGTTCAGTATTTAATTTTGTTGTTTTATTTATTGAAATTTTCTTCATGTCTCGTAGATTAGTTATCAACCGCATATTTTTATAATATTAGTAGTTACGTTAATTGCAGTTGGATGTTAACTACTAACGTTATCTAAAATTATCTGTTGCTTTATAGGTAAGTACTAACATTGCATAAACTTGGTATATAAAGTTATTTAAATCAGTACTAATTGTTTTTTTGTAAAACACGTCTTTAAAAAGGTTATTAATACGTATGTATCAATAAGTAAGTTAAGTATTGCATAGTTTTTGTGGCATTTAGGTGTGCTGAAAGAAGTAGGTACACTTTTATTGTGGTTTATTGACTGACAATCGACATAGCATCTCTACCATCACATGAGCATTGAAAGAATACGGCCAGTCTGATGGTAGACGGTTCGCGTAAGCGGCATATTTTTTTTGCTTTAGGTGGGTAAGTAAGTAGTAATTCAATTACCAGAAATATCACCAATATTTCTTTCAGTATAATAAGTAATACTTTCTGAGCGTTTGTCTAAACAAAATTGTAGTAAAACGTCAGATCATTCTCGAACTGATTTTATTTAATGAGGTAATTCTATATACTAAAGCAACACAAACCGTGCAACATACCCACATAAATTAATATTATAAAATTATTACTACAAAAATAGTTGCTTTGTTTACTACTTTTGGTTACTACTGCTATAAAATTGTATTAATATCGACAGTAGGAGTGGATGGCAATTAATTATTTCTTGGAAAGATGGATTTATTGTTTCACTTTATAGATTAAATTAAATATATGAGAATTTGAGAGAATTGATTTAATTTCACTTATGTATCTCACTCTTTTTATTATCTAAATTGATTTTTGGGTTTTTGTTTCTAAACATGTATCCCGTTATATGTAACTTAATTAACACAAGTCTAAAACAAAAGCTAAATAATTACAGAGTAATGTAGTATCCTCTGAATAATACCCACATCATAGTTGTTAATTCCATTAAAAGTTTTAATAAATAGTTCGCATTCTTCTTGATTCCTATCACATTCCATCAATAGGTGCTGGATTTAATTGAATTTTACAGGTCACATAATTTGCAATATTAAATTAATAAAATTGATTACTTTAAGTACTTAATGAATGAAGAAGAAGCTAAAAGTTGAAGAAGTGATATATCAATACTTCGGTAATCATTTATCTACCATCAGGTGGGCCATATAGGTACTTTTTCGCCGACGTATATAAAAAAAAATAAGTGGAAAGTATGGATCACACGATGCAACATTTGTATTTCTTAGTTGTTTGTCTGGGTGATTTCTATGTATATTATGTACGCGTTTAAAAAAGTATATAAGTAGATATAGCTATCGGTTGTATGGTACCCATAACACAAGCTTGTCTTAGCTCAGAACTAGGTGGCGCTATCTGAATTATCCAGGGTTATTAGTATTATAGAGACTTTTGTTCGTGTATATTTCATGGAAAAATTATCTATTAAAAAAATAACAACTAGTTTCTCATAAGTCTTCTTATGGGAATACTGGAGAGAACTTAAATTTGTGTAAAGTATACCCAAAACAATTACTTTGCGTCAAAAAAGTACGGGTGTATACTTAGCTGCTTAGCTGGAACATGGTGAGTATTCTTAGCTAAGCTCTAGACAAGAGAAGGATACAGATGATTTCAATTTTGATGATACTTTTCGTAATCGACACTGAACTGTATTGATGGATCAGAGACTGAGCGAAATAATATTGTTTTTATAGAACAATAGACACTCGACTTATATTATATTGTTGTTTAAGTAATGGCCCTGATAAAAATACAAGTTTACAACCTTCGCAGTGAGCGTAGCCGCCATTTTTAATTAAAGGTGCAATAAACAAGTTTTCAGGAAATAGCTCGGTACCTAATTGTTTATTTTATGAGAAAAATGCTCAAGATAAAGTTGTGGAAGATAAGACATAATAAAAAATGTATCAAACTTTTCTTATAAACTTATGGGATTAGAATATAGTTATAGCAATCGTAAGTAGATAAAGTACAAATAAATTATATTTTCTTATTATTTTATATTGTTTGCTTGAAATCGAAAAAGAGTCGTAGCCTAGTGGTTTACATAAATACTGTAGAAGACAGGCCACTTATTTAGTCTATGATCTATTGTATAAGCTTCATATTTCAAATACCAAATTCTGTTCTAAATTGTCACTTCTTTCTATTCTTCCTTTCGATTTACCTTCCTGGCTATAGTTAGTAGTGTTTCTTTATATAGGTACTATATATGATTTATACAACTTACTACAATTTCCTGGCTTTTCGCTTTATCGCCCATACACCCAAAGGGACAAAACATTAACATTAAGAAAAAAAAATTAAACAGCGAAATGTGAACACCCTTTATTTTGCGTTGATCATGACGTACGGTATAACAGTCGTGACGGTATATTTAATTTAATGTATTTATATGAATTTCTTATTGGTTTATAAAATTAAGAGCATTTTGGCTACCGTTAATCAAATTACAAAATTGTTCAAAAAGTATTTAGTTAATTATTTATATCTTCAATATGATATGCCATGAATGATTACAGTACCGATGTCTAACTTCATATGTCTATTTTACAAGAAGCTAATACACTAAAATCGCCTTCGAAGGACGTTCTTAGTTTCTCAGCAACTTTTATATTAATAATTATACTTTTACATCTATTATATATTCCATGTATCTATAATTTGAAATTCTTCAAGACAGGATTTTGTTGAACAAATGATAAGTAGGGACTAATTTTTTGTATCAAAATATAAATATACGAGTACCTGTATATATATTTACTGTATAAAATTTAATATTTACAACAGATAATTATGTCTGTAAACAATCTATTCGCTTGTCTTATTCGCTTCCCCTGTCTTACTTTCGTGTGGCGTGTCAAAGTTAATTAATGGACTTTAAACCAGCTATAATAATTGAGGCCCCTCAGTTGCTGCAGGCCTCAGCACGCACGATAATTTTAGCACAATCTATTTAAGACAATGTCCTGATATATCAATAACATCTGACCGACGATAAAACGAATGACGTATCTCATCTTAAATCAAAATCGTATGATTATTTAAAAAGATTTCCATAGATAGAAAATTATTATGCAATAACGTTCTAAGTTAATTTTCTTATATGACCGTACTTATTTAATAAGATAGAGAACAGTTGGATGTTGGTTGGCCATAACAGAATCTCTGCTTTCTTTTCTAATTATATATTATGTTTATAATTTTAATAGAACCTCTCCATAAAAAAATAATGAATGAAATGAAATGAAAAAACTCTTTATTGTTCCTCTCAAAGAAAGAATTTAACTATTACATAAATTAATATGTATACTAAATACAAAAAAACATAATTACAATTATAATGGGCGGCCTTATCGCTAAATAGCATTTTTGTCCAGGCAACCTTAGGTTAAAGAGGAATAATTAGTTATTATAATTATTGGTAAATTTATTTCAAACAAATTATATATATAATAGAATCAATATAATCCATGTAGGCTGCGTTGACACTTCAGCTTAACCTGAGTGATGATAACTTTGCGAGATTTGTATTTTAATATTTTAGGACAGCGTTGTCTCCAAGTTCCAAGTTAAACAAACGAGCCTATGATATGAGTACAGATAGAAATATATAGACACATTTATTACATATATAATAAATACATAATATAGAAAATACTCAGACTGATACAAACAATCATACTAATGAATACAAATATTTGTATGGTGTGAAGCATGTTAAAACCGTTGAACCACCGAGGCCGTCATTTAAGTTTTTTTCCGACTTCTTACCGTTTGTACGTGAACCAAGAATATATACAATATGCAGTTTTCATCTCTAATGATTTTATTATATCTAAAAGGTAAACATAAAGGTAGGAACATACTATGCATACAACGTCGCGAGCTCAGCTAGTCATCAACATAACAAGAAATTATTTTCCTTGATTATATTCAGAATTCATTATCGTAACAGTTTCTGTAATAAGACTAGTTGTAAGCTAGTAGCTTTGAAGTCATCTAAAGGAATTAAAAAGGATAAATATTAATCTTAATGCTAAGAATAATTATTACCAGCATTATACTATCTCTGAAAAAATCGTGTGCTTGGGTACCTCTGTCTCTCTTACTTCAGACGCCAAGCACCTTTGTAATGTGTTGAGGGTACAGGGTGGATCACAGAGCACAATGTCATGATTTATTAGCTACTATAATAAATAATATATTAATCATCATCTGCATCTTTTTTATCCTATTTATTTGTGGTCGGCGTAATATGTTTTTCTCTTCCGTTCATCCCTGTTCGCAGTCATGTCGTTATTTACTGGTTTTTTTTACCATATCACCTTTCACACAGTCCATCCATCTCTTTTTCGACCATCCACTGACCTTATAACTATCGACATTCATATGGAACGTAACACCTTTCTTAATTATACATTAACTCGGCTATTAATATAATATATGTACGTTGAAACTATTTATTTATTATTTTAGAATTGTAAAAGAAATTGTAAAAGTCATGCATACAAGGGTGGCGCAATGACATGTCGTCTATTGGATTTGTTCCAAATTTACAATACGTTTCAATATAACTTTGTGAGCTCATAATTTGTATACGATTTATTAATTACCTAGGTAGTGTTAATGGTTGTTCATTAATAGTCATTTACACAGAGGTACTTACATAATATGTCATTAAATGGTGCTCTGTTATTTCAACCTGTAAGGTAAAAATTCATAATAATATTATAATAATAATAATCTTGTTATATATATCTTGACATTATTCTCACCCTATTCTCTGCCACGGGTAGCCCATCAGCAGAAGAGGATAGTATTTACAGGTGAGAGCACCTATTCTTCGTCATCCATAAAAACGTTATAGTCAACAAGAAGAGGTATTTCAAGATCATGAGAGATGTAATAAACACTTTGATATTTTTAAGATCTTTTTTATATAAAAAACGCAGTTCGATATATTATTCGATCTATGATTTATTACTCTTAACATCAATAAAAGAAAAACGATATAGTTATAATGCAAAGTAGGTCAGGGCTTGACGTCATTCTATATTTTTAATAAATGCCCCGTAAATATTTTATGAAATCACTAGAATGAATCTATAACGTTTCATTTTACTTTGCATCTTCAGCAAATTGTAGTCATTTCTAATATTATGTTTGGCACTACGATAATAATTGACTGAATGACTGAGTCTACGTTCTGAATCAGATCTAGAATTATGTTCGGCACTACGATAGTAATTGACTGAATGACTGACTCTACGTTCTGAATAGATCTAGATATATTGATCTTTATTGGTATAGTTTACGTAGGAAGTGATACAGTTGAAGTTATTTGGGAGCTTACCATGTACTCATATAATTTATTTGGAGGAGTGGGCTAAATTCTTTACATACACGGATTGAATACTAGGCGATGGTCACCGATTTCGTATTGAAATGAGTGATCACCCGCTACCCATGCACACCTGCAACATGAGGGGAATTGCAAGGGCGTTGCCCACCTTTTAAGAAATAAGCTCTTTTCTTGAAGGTTTCAATATTGTATCTATTCGGAAATAGCAGGTGGTCATCTAAGTAGTCTTCTTCTGTACTAAGTGATCTTTATACTTATTAGTATAGGCTATGATCAATCTGATATAAAGACGTGAAGTAGACTATTTCTTAATTAGTGGAGCTTATGGCCTAACGATGTTGTCTGATTGGCATGTACATAGATGGACTGGAATAAATATTAGCTTATCCGTTCTACATACTCCATGTCATGCCAAATTTTATACTGATGGCTGAACCAATGAACTTGATATTCATGGATCCAAATATAAAAACTCACTTCTACCTCTTATAACCAAACTGATAAATAAATAAAATAAGAATAGCAAGGAATGTTGTGAAAAGATGGCAGACTTGATTATACTTTAGAGATTAATAAAGAAACACTGTTTTATTCTATAAGTTATGCACGAATGCCCATGTATTAATTTATGCTGTATACATTTTCCTAGTTTTTGTAATATTTTTTACTGATGTTTCGCACTATTCTTCTTAGTGATATTTTATAGCACATATTTAACACAAGGAATTTTTAATTCGTATCAGAAGTTCCTGACCAACCAAACAAACAAACCAATAAACTACTCACCTTTAAAATATTAGTATTGATATAATTGTTATTGTTACAGTTCCTTATTAGGCCAAGATGACGTTCACATTGGAGGAGGGTGGGTTCGGTGTAGGAGACTACGCTGCCTTCGGGGTGCTATGTGCTGCATCCTGCGCTGGCGGAATGTGGTATAGCGCCGTCGGTTCTCGAGCCAAAGCCGTAGTGGACATCAAAGATTACCTGCTTGGAGGGCGAGCAATGTCAACTTTTCCTGTAGCTATGTCACTTATAGCCTCGTAAGTATAAGTTTCTTGTTCGCTTGTTTAACTATCTCCGATTTTGTAACCAGTCTGGGTGTATACCTTTACCTATATATTACGAGTCCAGCAGTTTGCTTTTTAATTTATAGTTCTGTTGAAAAAGTTATGATAGTGAAATATAGGGTATAGAGGCATAGTATATTAGCCCAACTGTGTAGTATCGCATGAAAAATTACGTTGTGACCATTTTTACCATTTACCATCAGGTGGTACCGTCATAGAGTTTGCTATTACAGTTACAAAAAAACATTGCTCGAGTATACATAAATGCTGTCCCCAAAACGTAAGACATACGAGAAAGTTGAAGGAGTTAAAAGGTTTAATAAAAACAGTATTACAAAGGTTATTTTTAAACTGTCTTTTATAATACGTTAATCAGGTCTTAACACAAATAATTTTATGGTAAATAAAGGTATATTGATTATACGTTAATTGACGTTTTGAGTAGGTCGCACTAGCCGTGGTCACGAGCCGAGGGGTAAAGCTATGTCAATGTCAGTAGGTGTCAGCAGTTCTACTACCGTCACTAGTTTTCTAGCGAAAGATCACGACACAGTACTCATGGTATCCTTACACTTTTTGACGAATACTACCGGTCTTTGTTTGAACTTATTTATACCGGGATTTCACAGATGATAATTTTAACCCATCTTCCCGGTTGAAATTGAGACATTTTTAATTTCTATCGCTTCCGTAGACCGATTAATCGTATTAATAGTGTATCACAGATGATATTCAGTCGGTCCTTGAGAAGACTTGTTATCAATAGATTTACCCTGTCATATCAGGGTTAGTTTTAATACAAAACAAGGTCTAGAATCGTTATGGTAGTAACTTATTTAAAAGAAATTATAACATACAGTCAGTACTTACATAAATGACAGCCATTAATATAATTTACTGCACATAACAGATTTATATTATTAAGGTCGTCTAAAAATATTTATTTACAACATTCATATATTGTTAAGATCATTGTTTTGTCCTAGATTTGTGAATGAATTTGTTTCAATTAATGAAGACATGACTCGTGACGTAGAAATTATCAACTCATTTGGCAGGAGTTTAAATTGCATTCGTTTATTTTCAATGGATTGCATCTTTAATTTGAGGTCAATGGACTTTGTAACTACGGTATATAAACTATATAGATAGTTATCATATTCAAGTACTGCTCATATATGCAGTTTTTTGTCTTTTTAATTAATTAAATTAAGTTGGAAATTAGTTGTACCTACTCGTACATTTTGGAATTTGATTATCATATTAGAGGTGGATGGTAGACGTGTCTTGCTATTTGGGAGCACCTATCTACCATGTTCGTCTAGAGTAACGTACCAGAATCTTTTAAATAGCATTACTTCTTTAAAGATACATCGCCTAAAAATATAATTGTTATATTTAACAATATCGCTTTCTAACACTACTGCAGTTTTTTTTGGAACTGCACTGAGGTTGACTGACTCAACTGACAGTTTAGGATAAGATGAGTATAAGGTCAGGTCAGTTCGCCCATCGTGACAAACTAACCAGGAATTAATCACGATGCTTTCCAAAGCGAAACGCGTGGGGGTCAACCTGACTTGGTACATTGTTAGCGATGGAGTAATTAGTTCACATTACTAATAATCATTCCCCCCATGAGGGTAGAATAAAATAAGTAAAAACTCAACAATTTTATTAAATATAAAATATTTAATAAAAGTCCGTTTTTCTTTACATTTTATATGGAAGGATATGTTGTTAACAGGTACGTATCAGGTGTAACGATTTTGGGAACACCGGCCGAGATCTATAATTATGGTACACAGTACTGGCTGGTGGTGGTCGGAGTGACACTCAGCTGTGTTGTGGTTGCCACAGTATATTTACCAGTATTCTGTACATTGAGGCTATCCTCCTCATATGAGGTAAGTTTTTTTTAATATTTTTTTATTATTTGACTGGTGAAAAGGTTGATAATATGCGGTAACTACCAGAATAACACTGCGATCATAACGTTATCGTGTGTTGCCAGTCATGAGTTGCTATTTCAGACGAATAAGATGTCATACTTCTTATTCTGTCATTTCAATATTTATAAATATATTTATTAATACCAAAAAATCACTTGAACCTATAATAATGACCTATTAATGTGTTGCTTCATTGATTCGATGTAAAAAGCGTCAATCTTCAATTAGGTAATGATCAAAACAATAAGTATATATCAATTTATATTTCCGACTAAACTTTCGGTGATAGTTAATACTGTTAACAAATTCAATCCATTATAGGTAAGCTTATCTATAAAATAAGCCTGGAATAGGACATAGGCGAGCAATTGATATATGTAGGTATATAAGTTTGAGGAATGAAAACTAGAATGAAAATATTTACCAATCACGAGATCAATTTCAATCGTTTTAAAATATTGACAGTGTCTTTAAGATTGACTGTTTTTATGCATTGTGTAAGCGTTTGAATGTGATTATTTGAAGTAAACAACGTAACGTATCTGTATAACTAACGATTGATTTATTACATCATACTTTTATACAATTAGATTATTTATCATTGTATCTGATTTAAATAATCTTACCAATCAAGAATTTTTGTTAATTTTGTAACAAAGTTTAATAAATGAGTAAGTTAAATTATACAAAAGACAAATCTCAAGACTAAAAAATCTCGGGGACGAAGTCCACAGAAAAATCACGTAAATATATCTTTCGCATGCTCATCATTAATCTGTATTGCACTATTCTATGTTATATCATAATTTTGTATCAAAGTACAATGAGTATCTACCTTATAAAACATGTTAAAGATAATGTTGTTTCGTCTTAAAAGGCGTAATGTTATCATACTTTTTTAACCAACTGAATATTACTTTTAATTCGCTACTAAGTAAGTATTTATAGCCAGCTATAATAAATAAATATTATATAAAATTAAGTCAAAGTAATGTAAAAGGAAATGTATACACTACATTATAAGTATAATATGAAAAGACACCATACTACCCTCATATTAATATTATAAATGCCAAAGTTACTCAGTATTAAAAAAAAAATAGAAGTCCCGACTAACGGCCTGTAGTTTATAATCATTTAATGTTAAAAAATATATTATTTATTTAGTATCTGCTGGTGCACCAAAAGTATATTAAAATATACCTACATTCTATTATTTAAAACCATAAATGAATATCATCTCACTTTTTCATTTGTAATGTTAGTAGGTCAGATAAGCGAAAAATAGTAATATTAATTTTAAGTTAGTCCAGAAGGACATTCCTATCATGTAAATCGTGCAAACTTATTTTTAATAGACGCATACGTTGGAATATTATTTATTAAAAAAAATGTAGACAATACCATAATGAGTACTCAATATTTATTTCAATTCAGAACTGTAAAATAATTGGGCATGTGTAGACACCTGATTCAATAGAATATCTATCTTAATTTTCGTTTTTGTTAAAGTTAGAAACTTGTGTAAATATAAATTTTATAAATTTGAATTTGAAATGATGACCGCCAGTGGAGATGTTTTTGTTTATATGACGTTTTCTTATTTGACGGTCTTGGTGGTCTAGTGGTTGAGCACACCGCTTTACTTCCAAAGGTCGTGGGTACGATTCCTCGCACGGTACACACATTTGTATGATTTTTTTGGTCTGGGTGTGTTATATGTATAATATAATATGTATGTATATACAAAAAAATATCTATGTAATTATATTAGTTGTCTAGTATACATAACACAAGCTCTGTTTAGATTGAACTGGACTAGATGGCGCTGTGTGAATGATACAGGAATATAAATCTCTGTTCGGTAGATTAAATTAAAAAAAATCCTAATAGCATAAGGTCGCTATTTTCGTACATTTTTCGCTATGCATAACCACGAATAGATTTTCATACGTTTTTCACTATACGAGGTACAGAATATGTATCTTTTGGAATATGTACTTGCATATACATTTTACAGTGCGAAGCAAGGATGGGTACAGAATATAATACAAAATAATATTCATCAACTCTTACCTTGTTAATAATCAACTGTTTTTAAGTAAACAGATTAAACTAAGATCTAACTTACTTATACAACAATAGTTCTTGAGTCGCGTTTATATAATACGAATATAGTTTAATGTGTATCGTTCGGCTGCTGGAATTAACTACGCAATCGTCAAATCTTATTAATGAAATGCTATGAATGAAAACAGCGAGCATACCATATTCATTCGTCATAATTAAGTTGTTTACGATAGCCGGAGTGTTAGTTGGAAAAGTAATTTGAAACATACGGTTTTGATGCAGATGAAAACATTGACTCAAGAGTCTTGTAAGAGTATGTTAATAAAATCGCGACACAGTACCTATAGTGGTACTGTATCGCTATTTTATTATTACATATATTTTTTTTAAATGATAGGAGTTTTTTTTATGTAACTGAAATAACAAAGTACCTAATGTAGTCGGTAGCCAATATATGTACAAGTAGCTTTTTAGAATTAGCACCGCCATTATGAGAATTGTAATAGAATTGTATCTTTGTAACAAACTTCTAAAAAAAGATACGTTTGCAAAGTTTCACACAACGTTGTTTTTATATGGTATGTTAAAAAAATATCTGGTACTGATCTTACACAGATGACTATTTGCAAAGTCTACCTAGTGCGTGTATAAATGTTACAAATTTGATTAGAAAAAATCAGTTGGCACTAATCTGATAATTGTTTATTGGATTTAACCACTTAGACGAAATTACGTATTTATATGCCTCGTATCTGATTTATCCCGCGGTAAACAATGTACTATTTGGTATCTCCTAATTATAATATTTTCATCAATTATTAATTATAACTATTACTGTTTGCTTGCAGTATTTAGAGTTAAGATTCAACCGGCATGTTCGGGCGGTGGCGTCGGTACTTTTCCTATTGGACGAGGTGAGTGACATACAAACTGTTGTACCTTGTATGACATTGTTTTTTTCTAATTATAATAATTATTCTATTGGGTGCATGTTTAATTAATAGGAACAGGGTTATTTTGTTAGGACAATATTAGTTAAAAACAAAGTTCTTTTGTTACAATTTTATTAGTGTTTTGTTCTCATACTTTAAATATATTTATATAATTGTAGATTTTTCTGAGAAAAATATAATAAAGGATTACTAGAATTACAGATTATTAAACACGGTATATTTTTGGGTATTTTTACTTAATTGTTATTTATACTTAACAATTTAAAAATGTTTTATAATTGCGCGGGAAAATATAAGGTGAAAATTAGCTTAATCTATCACTGTATTTTTATAGACTATTCTCGTAGTATTAAAAAACTTTAATGTTAAGTATCTACATTATATAATAGAATATGGTGAGTATATTTCCAAGTTTCTATATCCAAAGGTTATGTTGTAGATATGTTGGTAAAACAGCGATAAAAAAATAAATATTTTTACAGTAAATAAAGAAATCTTTTACTGTTTTTAATCTTTTGTGTTTAATATTCATTATTAATATAGTTAGACGGTTCGTAATTTGTCTTGTTATTTCCTTATAGTAAAAGAACTTCATTGCAATTCTAGTTCCTACATTTCGGTGTGAGGCATTATAGTACCTATTGATTTGAGGACGATGAACTTCTACCAACACAATATTAGTACAATCATATAATAATGTTATTTACATAAATTAATGTCTTACAGAGTAATATACTTAGACCTTGAGTTATATACTTTACTTATTTTATTGTAGCTGGCTGTCTAACATATCCAATGTAGATAAAATATTGTTATCTTAAACTGTGTATATAATAAAGATGTCTACTTCTCATCTTAATTAAAGTACGTCACACTTGATAAATAATTCGTATATTTCTATGTATTCGTAACATCATTTAATCGATTTAAAAAAGTAATGTATTTCCTATTGTACTTTTTGTTGAATGTAGCAGTTTATTCGTCTTGTTTATCATTGATGAATGTTTATTTTTCAATTGTTTTACTTCCATTAGGTTTTTTAAGGTCACTGTGTAGAAGCCCTGTTGATATATACTTAGCTGTATTTATTACGATTTGATACGCTATTGGTAAATGAATGATCGGTACCATGCCTACGGTTAGGGTCACTAGTGACGTTACTAATAGATTCTACCAATAATGTAGATAATGCAAATTGTGACAGAGTGACATATTTGTAGACTAGATACTCGGCATTATGTGGAGATCAATCCGATTATTCTATCGTTAAAGTGCTAAATCGTAGCGATCGCAGACGGCTTCTGAATTTGGTATGTTAACACGGTTTATGACGTCATTAAAATACCAGATGTTTCTACCAATTTATTGATTAAAGAGCCTATTAACAGCTCAAACTATATATAATTAGGCGTTGTACAGTACGGGTTCTTTAATCGGTTTATTAATCGGTTAATTAATCGGTCGACATATTTCGTCTAATCTTTTACCGTTCTATTTTATTATAGTTTTCATATTCCTAAATTTGCAATGAGGATTATTCTTTATTAAAAAATAATAATGCTACTAAGACAAAAAAAATGTTATAGTACCTACAGTGGAGCCTAAAAATATTATTTCATTTCTATAAGAAGCTCAAAAACATACGTAATAACTGACCACAGAACATAATTATGTTAATTCTTTTACTATTTATTGTACCAAAGAATATTAAGTAGGTAACTATTAAATAATTATGTCACGTATTTATTTTTGTTTTTACTTTTTAAATTGACTATTGGTATCATATATTTCTTAAATAATTTATATGTCTTTTGTACATAATTTTAAAATAATAGATTTATTGGTAGGATAGAAATATAATTATATAAATTATTTATTTCTTACTTACATTAAATTAAAATTTGGAATAACTGTTATGTATTGATTGAATTTCGACATACGCGCTTAATTTAAACTTCAGATTAAAAAGCAATATCAAAAGAAAAAAAGAAAGAAAGAAAGAAAAATATTTTATTCAGTGCAATGTAAAAAATAAAAGACGAATGTAACATGATAGAATTATAATAAAGTAACGCTTCGGCTGACTAGCTCAGTGCATTACAAAATATCAGGAATTTCCCATTAGTGTCTACGAATAGGTCATTAACTTTGCTTACAATTATGGACTTTGAACACTTTGGTGTCGTTTCAATGTGAACGGTCAACATCAATTGTTCACAACTGACCAATTGGGCCATTGTAGAAGGCTACCTACAGTGTTGTATATTTTATACAAACCATAGCGTACCTGCCTACCTTTGAAAAGGTATAATCTTATAAATAAAATTCTCGTGTCACAGTTTTCGTTCCTATATTCCTCCGAAACGGCTTGACCGAGACTCATGAAATTTTGTGAGCGTATTGAGTAGGTCTGAGAATCGGCCAACATCTATTTTTCATCCCCCTAAATGTTAGTCCACCCCTAATTTTTTTTTTTATTTTAAGGCTAAACAACGTTTGCCGGGACATCTAGTATATTATATTTGTCTGGGCTTATAGAAATAATTGTAAGGGAGTGTTTGTATAAAGACTGTCGGATGAGCGGATTAAACAAGCTAGGAGATGCCTAGATTGACTTTTCATGATTCGATAGATTATGTACTTACTATCTGCGAGAGAAGACAAATGAATGAAGCAGGAAATATATATCAGGATATATACAATAGAACATATTTTGATCTACTTATCTCTAAAATATCTGGTCTGAAAATAAATATATAATATTAGAGTTGTAACACTGTATTTTAAATCAGGGTTCAATAACTGAGACATTACATAATACTTTCTGTCTAGGCGGCTCATGTTATTCAATTGATAAATAATTGCTCCAGTTGCTCGTCTGTCTCAGAATATATTTTTGTGGTGGTTTGGTATTTGTCTGACTAATGTTTAAATCCATTTTTGTATCACTGCTCAAAATGTTATTATGATACCTGAGTCCAAAAGTAAAAGTTATTAATATACCTTATTAATAAATTATAATTACTTTATTACACCCAAATATATGACTGGAAGTACAAATAGGTCTTCTTGCTAATGCAACTGCCGAATACGTATTGCTTTTGTATATTTACATTATTTTTTTCGTTTATTGTGACAATCGATGACACTTACATTTCACAGCATAAATTTAATATGACCCAAATCGTTACACGTATACTTTCGTCACCTCTCACCTTTTCACCACACCACGTAGGTACCTATATATTATTATATTAAAGACAGAGACAACACATTAACTTGTCTTAAATGTTTATTTTTGTTTCGATTGCTAGCCAAGGTTGGTCATTATCATGGACTTTGACCATGACTCGCCCGTTACGTTAACATGCATCTCAAGTATCAATAAGATAGTATCTCTCTAATATAATTCTATATTAGGCGGTTATGTATAGCGTCTATCTATCTTCACGCCAGGGTGTAGGATAGACAGAAAGCATTAATTCTATTCTAGTTTTATTCACATTCATAACTTCATTCACTTTACACACAGGTATATACATATCAGTTCTCTCCCAGTGGACTTCTCAATCAGATAGCGCACTATTCATCTTATCATATATGTTAGTCTATACCTCCTGCAATACCTATATTCTTTTATTTTTTCATTAGGTATATATATATTCATTTTACATATCTTTTATCCGACATTGTTTTCGTTCGTGAAGTCTCGCTTTTTATAATATAAAATAGTATCGGCAAGAGTTGTATTTATCGCTAGTTGAGATTTTTGGTATAAATTTTGATTCAGTTTCCCCTTATCGCCATTTTTTATATTAGTCTCATCATTTCTTATTCTAGTTTATATATTGGTATTCTATTGGTACTGAATTTACGTCTAAGATATATAATTTTAGCCACTTGTTGTAGTGACTCATTTCTAATTATAATCTTTCCAATGATTCTGGAAATTTTCTTGCAAAACTCATTACTTTCATTTTTATGAAATTCAAAATTACAATGTCTATCTCACTGAAATTATGATTATCATGTAGTGCAGAATTATAAGTAAGGGAAGTATGAATATTTTCTAGCAATAAACAAATAATGAACGTTTCTCTTTGATAAGGATAATGAATATGTGTATGTATAGAAAAGTAATTTCAAAAGTATCGTTTTACTCACTGTTATTGTAGTGCGTTCTATTGTTGTAATGTTAAAAATTATGTTCATTTATTATATTTTTCAAATTAAATTTACCTGTTTGCTCCAGGTATTATTTCTGCCTATGGTGGTTTATGTTCCAGCGTTGGCGTTTAATCAATGTAAGTATTGGTATGTAATATTATGTTATCTGGGGTATTGGTGATCTTATTTAATTATTTATTTCCACGTTTATTCTGGTGATAAGTTACTGTTTTTAACAATCCAGATTGATTTAATTGTTTAATATCAATTTGTAGAAAAAATACTATGTTATTTATAATTGACAATATAAAGCTAAAATTATTCTTTACATTTGATGGATGGATATTTCATTACCGTGGATATTTAGTAATATTTTATACTATTATATTTAAATTTATATTACATAAAATTTTGCAAATTTTACCGGCTACGGATCTTTCCCCGTTTCTACCTATGTATGCATATTTCTATATCTGTTAAGAACATAAATTTTTCGCAGTGACGGGCATGAATGTGTTTGCTGTGGGCGGTGTTATGGTACTCATATGCGGAGTTTACACAGTATTAGTAAGTACCTACCATAAAAACTGCAACTTTTTTTAATATGTGATATATATTTTATATTTGTTAGATATACTAAGAATTTTGATAGACCAGCATGCGGAGCCTTTGCCTTTGTTAGCACTATGACACCAATTATCTGATTCTTATCTACCATGTCTATAAGTAAATATATAGAATGCTTTTTGTCATAATCACTCACTCAAATGTGCTGTTGGAATTCAGCAAACTTCTCTTATAATAGGATGTGTTATGATTCCACCGCTCACTGTTTGTAGCGGCATTTGTAATTCCCTGATTCCATCAAAATAATTGATCTTAAAATAGTTAAATGAGACTGTAGTTAAAATGGTCACGCTTTAGAGATTGAAAAACTTAGTGGTTGACTGTTTAACATATTTATTTAAACTGGAATTCTACACATACATCGTATAATAGCTGCCGAATAGTTTTCTATATTTTTGTGTTGTTCCACAATATGTGAAAATTGCGATTTAAAATAAATACAATTATTGTGTAGCACCACAATTGTTTCAAGGTTCTATTTTCCTAACGTTTCCAGTAATAATTTGCATACCATTTGTACAACAACATATTATCAATTTATTTCATTAATCTCTTCAAATATTTGGGTTAAATGTACAATGTAAAATAGTGGCTGTAATTGCTTATGATAAATTTTATTTAAAAAAAATGAGGAAAAATTGTGTTCTTCAATTCAATATTTATTCAAATATGCTTTTGTTATCATCTAAGAATACGTAAGTTGTATAATGTATGCATAATAATTAATTTACTAATGCATAAAAAGGTATGGGTAGGTACGTATAAGAAGAAAAAGGTATTAAGTATTATTGTACAATCGTTAGGTTTTTAAAATTATCGAAATATTGAGGTTATTATATCAAAGTCAAGAGATCGGGAACCCTAAGATTGGGAAAATTGTAAAATTGGTGAAAACCAAGAGTATAGATTTAACCTGGTTTTGTTCAGGGTGGTCTCCGTGCTGTTGTTTGGACGGACTCCGTGCAGACCGGCATAATGTTCATAGGCGTGGTGCTGGTGGCTTCTGCCGGAACGCTTGCCGTCGGTGGAGTCAAGTCTGTGATCAGTATAGCCACTGAATCTGGAAGACTCGATTTATCTAAGTAAGTCTCACGAAACCCAAGTACATTTTTTCGGTGTACATATTCGTTTGGTTCACCTATTTTTTTTATGGATGATAATGGTATGGCGCACCCGCATGCGCCAACAGTTCACGATGGCGGAGTACCAGTGGAGGATGATGAGATGAAGACGAGGTCAGGTCAGTTATCAGGTGAGCCTATCGTGACTAATTCACCAAAAATTAATCACGATAGATTCCAGGTGGAACCGCGTGGAGGTCAACCTGACTAGTACATTGCTAGCAATAAGATCATCAGTCAACATTATTAATAATCCCCTTTCCCCCGTAGGTCACCTATTGTAGCTGCCAAACAATTTGCTTAGTAAGCTGTATCTCAGTAACATAGTGAGATATGTGAATGTAAAGGATACGAAGGCATTACACCTTCTGCCAATGGATGAGCTGGCCGTCATATGATGACGTAATATCCGTGATGCTGTTCATATTTATGAGCGACGGTTACCAGCCAGTTAGGTTATTTTTATTCAGCCAGCCAGTTATTTGCCATTTTGATTATGTCAATAAAATTACTTAGTTATTTTTTTGTATTCATGCTAAATGAACTTAAAATTAAATGTACTTGGTTTTTATCTCTTTATGTAATGATTGAACTTGAATACTTACATAATTAAATAGAATTGCAAAAAAGAACGACATACAGGAAAAACATACGTAAAATTTCAAAGTTTTTATAATAGTAAAGTGGCTTCTATTTTATCAAATTGTAATTCAATATTTATACAATTAATACGAAGTTATAGATTTATGAGATGAAAATGAGTCAGTTCCCACTGTGCGACGGTTGCCAGCCAGTTAGGTTATTTTTATTCAGCCAGCCAGGATTTGCTATTTTGATTATGTCAATAAAATTACTTAGTTATTTTTTTGTATTCAAAATGAACATTATCCTTTTGTTTCGGTTTATTGCTTTCACAAAATAATTAACATACTAATTCGGTTTATTGCTTTCACAAAATAATTAACATACTAATTAAAAAATTCAATGTCGTAAATATACCATTTAATAATTAACCACATATGTAGTTATATTAATATATGTATGGATGTGTATACACAATGTATATACATATAATAGACAATGTAATAATTGATATAATATATGTATTGTAGTAACACAAGTCATATCAATAGAATTTTACCAATGTACATTTTGTACAAAATCTTTTGCGTTGTAGAGTGTAGTTCTATTACCTATCTTAGGCAGAGAGACAAGAATCTACGTAATTCGTATTTTTTTAAGTTGGCAATAAATAGGCCCAAATATTAAGTTGTTGACTATATAGAGTACACATTGTACTACTGTTTGTACGAATATAAAAGATTTTATTATACTGTGGCTTGTTGTAGTTGGAGTTTTTCACCGTACGAGCGCCAGACAGGGTGGGGTGCATTGGTGGGCGGGTTCCTCTACTGGACGTGCTTCAACTCTGTCAATCAGACTATGGTACAGCGATACATAGCGTTACCTTCTAAGCGTCAGGCAATCATGTGAGTTCAATTTTATCGTTACTACCATTATAAATATTGCTTTTCATATTCTTATAGAAATAATATGATATTTCGCGTGAGACTCATCCACGTCAGTGGTGTGCCAAATATTGTCTATGTTTTTTATTTAGAATAAATTTTTCCACCTGATTACGCCGAAGTAAAAGAGGATTATAATTAAGATTGTTCTTATTAAATGAAATAATATTTCATTTTATACACAGTAATAAAAACAGAAGACTAGGTATTCATTCTATTGATACAATAGATGCATCTGTTAACCAAGGTATGTTACTGTCTCAGTTTTAACGATTATCAGTGCTCTATATTTTATTTATTTGTTTAAGTATTTTGCAGGTGTAGAAAATATTAGCGAAAGTGAATACCTACATAATTTCTATATGTATTTTTTATTTAATATTAATTTATTTTTCAATATATATTCTTCTAAATTGGCAATGTGTAATTGCAAGCAATTTAAATATTATATAAATAGTCGACGTGTATTATTGTTTAATTTTAATAAAAAACCTGCAATCAATTTAAAAGTAGTAAATTTTTATTATTTTAATGAAATATATGATATGAGAATAATTTTGAAAATTAAGTTGCCGTCTAGATACTATATACTACGTCACGTTACTTGCATGTGTTCTATATAGAAAGACAATTTATAACGTAAATGACTATGATGAATGTATATTTAAGCTCAAGGTCGTTATTTTTCACATGCAATTTATGTAATGTCACTTTACATAATTATTTTTAATTTTATATACAATACATGCTCAATCCGTAAATTTCATTGTTGCTCAGAGTTTGTTGGGCCTACTCACAGAGCAATTAACAGTAATGTATGACTTGGCATAGTCCCTATTAGGACGAAATCACAATTTAATATATGCAACCACATGTAATCATTCTCTTAAAATAAGTATTTATGTAGTTTCATGCAAAAACATGTTGTGGTCGAAGTATGTTGCGCATATGGAATAAACAAATGAACAATCAAAATAAATTTATGTAAACAAGTAAAAAAGTTGGTTGACCAATTTCATACAAAATTTTTTTGGAATACTACAGCTCGTATTTATTTATTTTATTTCAATTTAAAAAACTACACGATACATGTCGTGAGACGGCCGCTAATGTCGCCTTCTAGCCATTCACACGTCTAAAATGTTCCAGTGCTTTAGGTATATTCTGCGTTGGCGCTATCCTGGCGATATCGTTGTGTGTATGGTGCGGACTAGCCGCGTGGGCGACCTGGGTCCTTGGCGGGTGCCATCCGGGGGGTGTGCCCCTGGTGAATGACAGGCTGCTTCCGGCATTCGTCACCTATGTTTCCAAGACCCAACATCTCCCAGGGCTGGCTGGAGTCTTCTTAGCTGGAGTATTTGGTGCTGGTTTGAGGTAAGTAGCAATTGATTATTCATTAAATTTAATGTCATTGAATGAAATGAATGCAGATGAAAGTAAAATGATTACAAAACTTTCACTGACTTAACATGAAATCCTTAGCCTAGTGGAAGGGAGAAATTTTCATTAATTTAAATCTTATGAACTTCTGCATGATTTTAAACAAGAAAAAATAAACAGCCAGACCTACAAACTTTCGATTTTATAATATTGGTATACAAATATGGCTTAATAAAAAATGAATATACATTCTGATTCTTGTTATTTTAATATAGTCATGATATACCTATAGATTTAGTTATACTTGTCTAATGTCATGTTACATCATATAGATAAAAGCAATATCAAGAAAACAATTTGACACACCGGATTTTGATAAGATCTGATATCTTTTTGAATTGATGGAATTTCTGGCGACATCTCTGTATGAACTCGTTATCTCCTGTTCCTGTTGGAACACAGATATAGGAAATGTGTTGTTAACATTACTTATAAAACTGTGTAGTTATTTATGTAGTTTTTTAATTAATTAAAGAATTATTTAGGTTATTTTCATATGTAATAAATAAAGTTACACAACATACGACATGAGTATACATAACGCACACTAACTCAAAATAAACAAACTTTGAAAAAGTCACTCTGAAGTCTTAGCTTTGAAGACAAATTTTTGAGTTAACCCATTATAGTACTGGATGTGCGATATTCATATTTTATAGATACGAATACATTTTCGACTATACTCAGGGTGGTCATGTTTTCTTTAGTTCATTGTCAGCAGTGCTGAATGCTTGCGCTCTAGTAGCAGTCGAGGACATCCTGCATGGCTGGCTTCGGCTGCGGCTGAAGCCTCTGACTGAAGGTCTGTTGGCTCGCTCTGTGACTGCATTGTTGGCCATAATCTCCATCGTTATGCTGGTTGTTATTGCAAAACTTGGAGGTGTTCTCGGTAAGTATATTCAACGATCTTGTATTACATCGTGCTGTTTCTATATTATGTTAATGACTCAATCGATTTCTTTTTCTTTTTATGGGAGATAAGACGATGGAATAGCTCATAGGGTTTTATGCTATTACCCTAGCACCAGTATAAGATTATGGCATTAGAATGAACTCGGATAAGTTAGTTGAATATGGCGAGTCCACCAGGATTTAACCACTTTAAACAATAGTTTCCAGAGGCAGTTTTCTAGGTGATTAGTTTATATCATTAATAGTATCTGAAGTATGCAGATAGCACACTTTAGATTCGAAACCTCCAAATATTTCCCATCATTTAAAATCAATTGTCACTTTATATATAAGTGGTCACGAAGCCTGCAAAACAGCTTTAAACAGATTACATCACCATGTATGTAAAACTGGAGACGTAATAGTTAAAACAAACGTGTAGTACCAATGTTTGTCGTCTATCAAAGACTATAGTCATAAGCCCCGATATATATCTAGTGCGTATTACTATCGCACTAGGACAACATTGAGTTCATTCGAGACAAAACCTTTACAATAAGCGGTTTTGTATCCTTATTAGGTACCTACTTATTTATGTATATAGAGCACCGTTATATGTTTTTATGTATTGTTACGAGGTATAGAATCCTTGTTTGTTATTCATTTCACATTATTAAAATATTCTTTGTGCATACTTACTGAAATAAGATGGATCATCATTTCAGATTTATTTATATTACTGCTGATGTTGACAATATTTTGTTTTGTACGATCAAAATATTTGCCTAATTATCCATCAAAGTCCTTATATCATGTTATGCAAAAATGATATTGATCATGGCTAAATTTAGTTGACAATGTTTTGATAATCACAAATATTTACTTGGAGAACTTTACTATTACTTAAATATTTATATTTATGGGTAATGGCATTAATTATATTATAAATAGCACCAACAATACAATATCAGTGTCATAGTGATGTCAATATATATTTCGTATATAATATCGCAAGAAAATTCACACAGCGCCATCTAGTCCCAAGCTAAGCTAGCTAGAGCTTGGGTGTTAGACAATTGATACAAATACATATGTAGATACATAGAAAATACCCAGATAGATACAAACAGTCATACTCATGTATACAAACGTTTATACCGTGTAAGGAAGCAAACGCGCGACCATTGGTAATAAAACAGATTGCTAAACCATTACACCATTGTTACCTTCAATAGACCTCGAGAGGGCGATACATTAGTTTTAGTGTATTATTGTCGAGACTATTTTTCACAATATATCTTAACTTGACCAGGTGTAGCGACTGCACTCTCTGCGATCGCTGCCAGTGCCACATGTGGTGTATTTACCCTTGGCATGGCATGCTGGTGGGTTGGGCCCAAGGGGGCCATTGCAGGAGCCATCGCAGGAGCATTGGTAGCGGGTACAACCTCACTTGGGACGCAAGCCGCTGCTGCCAGCGGACTCAGGGCGCCGCCATTAAATCTGACAGCAGAATGCGCGGCAAACTCTACTTTTATTTTTGAAAGTTTGGTTAGTTTTGTTTTATATTATTCAATATATACCTCTGTTTGTATGTATTCAAATCAAGTATAAACTGTTGACCTGAGTTTTAATGTCAGTTCTTAAGTCTAGAATATATTTTAATTGACCTTTTATTCGACTACAATTAGCAAACATTTGTACCACTTAAAGCTTCTGAAAACTATAGATAATCATAGTATTGTAAATTCGCAAATGAGAAGGGAAATGTAATAACCACATAAATTACATTCCTGTAATGACACTTCGATTTACCATATAATAGTAAAATAACAGTATTACTTTTCCTTCTTTATTTTATGCAATACCTATTTTAAAATCAATATTAGTAGGTATACAATGATTATCTGTATAATTAACATAATAATTAAAACAGAGGAAAATTTTAAGCTTTATTTTGATTATATAATTAACTTTAAGAATAGATTAGGGATGTGCCTAAATTTATTATAATACAAAACACATACTGAATATAAAAATAAATTAAAAATGGAAGCTTAAAAAAGAATATATATTTTTACAGGATCCGGAAACAGTATTCCCTCTTTTCCGCGTATCTTACCACTGGATCGCTCCGTTAGGATTATTTTCGACATTGCTAGTTGGCGCTATCGTCGGATATTTCTTTGACAAACACGATCCTACCAAGATGGATGCTGAACTATTCACCCCTGTAATGTGGAGGTGGCTTCCGAACGAAGCGCATGAGAATATAGGAGAGGTTCGTCGCGTCATGGCCGCTAAAGTGGTCGACTCACCTGCACCGTCGGCTCCTCTAATTCTAAACAGAATAAATAATAAGGTAATGCACATTGCTTTTCAACCAAATTCGTATTGGAGGACGTTCGCAATTGACGTTTCTTTTGCGTATAATATGTAATATCATATTTAGTTTGTTATTGCATATAGATTACGATGGTATGGAATACCACTGCCAACATAATATATTCTATATTTCGTGTGGTGCTGTTTATGTATACTATTACTTCAATATGTATTGATTCTGCTTCCGTTTCCATTTCTCTTATTAAACCATGGTGATCTATGAAAACTGACTATGAATTATACTGACTATGAATTATATGACTATGAATTATATAATATAAAATTAATATATAAATAATAAAACACAACCCTCATTTCAATTCATTTCATAATTTGATTTTATGCTAGAGGATATTACTGGTACTTGGAGTAGCAATAGGAGGTTGTGGGAGTCTTGTAAAATAATTCCTCAGATAGTCAGAAGACAAGATACAGATTTGTAGAACACAGAAATAACAAAATTTGTGGGTCATCAACTTTTGTGGGTCATAGTTTCTACGAATCGCTTTCAAGTTTGGATTAATCGACAATTCTAATAGAATTTCTATCAGACTTCACTCTTCTCTTAAGTAGATGCTCTCTTTATATGTGATTTAGTTTTCATATATTAATTATTATTTTTCAGATTGATGTGAGTGGTGAATCCAGTAAATGAGGTGAGGTGACATGAGCTGTGATAATCTACAAATGAACTCATATTGACTAATTATATTAATTTCCTAATTATAATATACTTATGTAGATGAAGTGAGTATTTGATTATATAAAAAGTTGTCAAATTGTGACTTAGGTGGCTACTCAGAGTTGCTAGAATAATTTATTTAGTAGTTATTAACTCATGTCAGATGATTATTATGATATAGTATAATATAGTATAATTACGTCCTTAAATATTTATACAAAAGCGGATATTGACTAGCATATGATAAAAATTTATCGTCGATTAGTCGTACTTAATTTTTATAGATTTTCTACTTAAAATATGTTATGTCTCGAATTGTTAAGTATTTAACGGACGATTTATTTACTATAGTTCAATGTCAACTAGGACGATAAATAATTATTTGGCAGAGGGTTAAATATAGATAATTAAGGGTTTTTGAAACGTTTTAGTAGAATATTTTAATGGTTGGGACCAATTAATTGTAACAGATGTCGTACTCAATGATTGTGGATGATAAACTCGACGTAGTGAATTAAAAAGAAATATATAGTGATGTCTGTTGTTCCTGTTTATAATTTATATATTTATTAATAAAAACTTATTTATAATATATTTATATATGAATATATTTATTATAGTTTGGAATAAATTAACCGATTTATAGATATAAATAAATAACTTAATGTATATTTTTTTTTTATAAATGTTAAACTTTTGAAAAAATGTACGATATACCTACGCAAATTTTCTAATTATTACTATTAAATAAATGCAACAAATTATATTTGTAAATAATACCTAATAATTTCTTTTTGGTTGTATTTTAATCAATATTTTGATGTAGATTTACCTACAAATATTATATCAGGTTAAACATTATGAACATATTATATATTATAAATATGTGTGCTGTATGCCGGCTATATTATTTTTAAATATTTTGATATTATAACTTTTGGAAAATATCATCTGCATTTTAGATTTTTGAATTAATGTTTAATTAAATATCATAATACTATAGTAGTAGTAGAATGTTTCAGTATTTTATTGGTACTTATAAAATAATTTTGTTTAACGTTGTCCTATTAGAGGTTTAAAACTTTTTTGCTGTGAAATACTTTGAAAAATTGCTATTTTACTTACCTAATATAATTTGATACTTGATAATACCGAGAAACTATTCAGAAGTTTTATTATATATTCTTCACACGCAGTTGCTCTATTTATTCTTCTTACAAAAATCGATCTAAAATTTGTACCCTCGAGGAGTAAAAATACGAATTACCAAAAGTGACGGTAAAATATGTACGTAGTCGTACGTATTGGTGTGTTCATAATGGCGATACTAAGAAGTCTACTATTTTATTTGTTTATGATAATGCCATGTACTCGTAAATAGGTATTCATTTATATACATACCTATACTATACATATAGGCATGAAAAATATTTTTGTAAAAAAACACAATTTAAAAACAAATTCAGGATTCTATACAAACTCGTTTATATGATATGATGTCTATGTATAGATAGCTGTGGTATTAAATAAGAGACATGATAATCAGAATATCGTTTGAAAATGAAATTGTAATGAAAGTTTAATGAAGGCAACCTTTATCTTAATTGAAACTGCTAAAATCCAAATCTCCAAATATTTATTTATAAACGATAAGTAAACATTTACGATAAATAACAACTAGAAAGTTGAAAACTTCTAATTAAAATTTTGTGATATTTAAATATATTCGCGATATTTCCAATAAGACAACATCGGTTTTGATAATACAAATGAGACATACATATAAATGTTCTCCTGACTGAACTTAATACTTTTTGACACTAAATCTTAATAAAGATTCTCGTTCGGGTATAAATCAGTTTTATTACTATTTACTATATTTATTGTTAATATAATATAATAATTACGATAAGCACAAGTACCTTGTCAAATGAATCAATGTATTAAATTTTCAAGCTAACATTGACAAGTTTTTTTATTTGATTCTGATACTATTTCTATCCTTACATAGAGCCCGTTATCACAAGGTTTGGGACCTCTTAGGCTTAGCCAAAGAAATAGTACGCTGCATAATCGAAAATAAAAACCGAGGGTCCATTACCAATAGGCTATTTACCTAGTATACAAGTTGATAAATAGCCTATTGGTTCCCTATTTTTGTATAAATATATGTGTTTAACACAAACCAATATGTCATATAGCCAATATCTTTTGAATGTAATCAAAAATGATGTTACAATAATTGCGTTATTAATTATCAAATACTTTTTAGTAGATATTAAATTATATTGTCATGTTGTTAATTCATAAAACTTGGTACTTATAACATTCTGTTAAATTTATACAAATATGTTTAGATAAGTCGTTATATGTAGATATCTATACATAAAATACAATTATAACAAAGTTTTGTGTACCTGATTACTACGGTAATTTATTTAAGAAATTGAATAACTGTAATTACGTTACCATTACTATTGCCTTATATATATTGCAGAAAATAAATTAAATTTATTATGAATAAATGATGTAACAAACATTTTATTGTTTTAATATCCCTATATAACATTTGTCAATCTAAGAATCCATCTTTTGTAGAATCATTTATTATATTACGTTTTACATCAGTTACCTAACACGAGTATAAAGCAAGTGTTGGAAAACTCGCCGCGTGTGCGTCATTTATATTCTGCTCGCAATGCCGCTATTAAAAGTAGTTAGGTACCACAAAACGTGATTTTGTGCCCAAGCTGTCTTGAGAAGTACATGCATACTATTTATTATTTAATTAATTGAATGTTTATTTACAAAATATTTATTATGTTTATATATTTACTTGGTTTTATTTATAATATGAACCTAAATTATATTATTATAATAGTCACAGTAATAGAGTAGTTAGCATAAACGAAAACCAATTATTGAATTAGTAGGTATAGTATCAAAAAAAAGTGTTCACATGTTTGTAGGTACAACTCGTATATGCAATTACTTAATTATAGATGAAATTATAAAAACTAAGTTATTCTACGAGGATCCTGAAAGCAACTAATCAATATCCATCAACAAATCTAAATTTGAATTGATTGTCACAAAAAAATTTCGGTTGTAATTTAACGTGGATTATAAAGTTGGATCCTGAAAGACGAAAGAATGAACCTGACAGATGGATAACAGATAGATAAATCGTACGAAACGAGATAATTAAAGCTTGTTCAAAATTAAGGTACTGCAGAGGATTTGTGCTATGATAAAATTAGTTTTGTACGTGTACATTTTAAGTTGGTATCTATAATAGTACTTAACCTATTTTTAAATATATATTTATATTTACTAATATATATTTTCATATTACCTATCTCATTTATATTGAGTCCTGAAATAAAATTGCAAATTTCTGTCAAGAATCATCGTAAAACTGATTGTGGCGTCGAAAAGCCTCTCGCACTGTGGCTGGATCGTAAACTGGATCGGCGTGGGAAATGTTTAATTGTGTGCCATAGTCTGAAATGAAATTTGCGTAAAACGAGACGGAATAAAAGCAGGTATGAAATTTCGTATCAGAAAAAATATATTTCTTGGATGTGCCTATAATAATTTAAAATGTTATTATTGGAAAGTAATTATTTAATTACTACAAAAATACTGCAATCTCGAGAAACAGTACGGGAATGAAATCTATTAAAAAAGAAATAATGATATCTGTTCAGAATGGACGATAATATACTCATAAAAAATATGGAAAAACACAGATTGAAATACGAGCCTCTTTATTTTGTAACTCACAGAAATTGCATAAAAGTAGTAAATGAAAATGTATAGATAAAATATATAAGAGATAGACATAAAAGTAAATAGGATGAAAACTTTATGCACATTTTATATAAAAAACGGTATTTAGGTTCGAATATCCATAACGCAAATATATTACGATGTTTCAATACAGGTATGTAAAAAATAACTAAAATGAACTACTACAATAATAACTCATTTTATCTTCATGCTAGTAACGTATTAAAGCTATATTCCAGTAACTAAATGAGTATATATTTGTGATGTTAGTGTCTATACCAGATAATGACTCTCGTAGCAGTCACCGCGAAAGATAAGTTTATAGTCGTCGTAAAAAGCACGCGGTAGACTCCCAATTAATTAATGAGCCAACTTGAAAATAAATTACCCCATTGGGACACGGGAGGTGCTTCCAATGTTCTCTTACCTAAGACTTCTGCGTTAAATTTTATAGATTTCGTGATCTGTTTTAATTTTTACTACCTATCATTTGTAGGAGCGGCTTAATGTAACGTTTGCTTCTTAATTAGAGTAGCTGCAGCATATTAATTAGGATGCCTTAATAAAATATATTTAAACTTCAATTTATAACTACAGAAAACACTTTTGTTGATAATATTATTGGATACCGTAAGATTACGACTATTAATTTGTACTAATCGAGATAAGAGTACTCTAAGTTCTTCTCCATACCTACTACTTTTTTTAATTTTTCATAAACGTGAACAGTACAGGACATGAGAAAATAAATTTTATCACCAGTGATACCTACTTCACGTGGTGCCATTCCTGAGGTCTAAAATGTTTTTTTTATTGGTATGGCTTCATACGACAATATTCTTTAGTATCTGCTAAAGGAGAAATAGGCGAAAAAGACAAACTACTTTATATAACAATGTGTCTTTATAGACACATTTATTATCTGCACAAGAGGGAGATTAAATAAAAGAATTTTTATTTTCCTTTCATGCTCTTTAAAAGATCCCTAAAGTTAATTGTATGCTTGTAGCGAGCTTAATCGTCTGGTAACGTGAGTCGGTCGTGCCACGGCGTTGTTTTAATTGAGTTTGCACTTAGCACCTTTGCCTTTGTGGCGAGTGTCGCGCTGAGTACCGAACAGGGGAATAATATGCGACGAAGCCAACCACAATGGATGTGCTATAGGTAATTTTCTTTGTAAACATTGATTTTACACTAATTTAGTGAACACTAATTTAGTGAAATCGATTGCGCAGTCTACAAAAAGGTTTTTCTCCATTCTGGTGAATTGGTGGTAATTAGTTTATATAAGTATACTTATTATTGTACTATTAGAATGTTGATTGATTGATTTCGGAGTATAGAAATTTGCCAATTGGAATAAAGTCAAAGCCGAAAT